CCAAGCAAAGAGGCGGGAAATGCTCTGCTGTCAGCATCCCAAGGTAGAGGATGTCTACTGGCCTCCATGCTAAGGTTTGGGGTTTAGGCTTTAGGTTCTAGGTTTAGAGTTTGGGGTTTAGGGGATGTCTACTGGCCTCCATGCGGTCCAGTCTGGAACTCTGATGGCTACAAGGATCCAGGATCTAAAGGCCACTTGAAGGGAGAGCTTCCTGCCTATAAGGGGGGGCTACAGAGCTACAAGGCTACTTGAAGGGGGAGCTTAGTGCTCACAGGGCTCATGGGGTGTAGAGGATCAGGAGTCTCGGACTTGGGGCTTTGAGCATATAGGGATTGTGGGGGTAACAAGCCCCGGAGTATTACCCTATCAGTGCCCTGAGCCGCAATGACCCAGGGCGTTTAGGGCATAGAATCTGAGATTTATGGTTCACTGATCAATGATTGAACTTGAGAGGCCGCCAATTGAAAGCAAAATCTTCGCCTGGCTGCATACATTTTTGATTTTGGGGTCCTTATAATAAGGATCCTGGTACTATATTAGGGTCTCCTAGTCCATCATTGAGCCATGTCTACGCTGCAACATGCACATACGTGCATACAGACGCACATTCATGCATACATACAGACACTTATATGAAGGGCTATATGGGTCGTTTTAGATAATAACGTAGGTAGGGGTAGAGACATGAATAGGCTGCATGTACGAAAGCAGCGCTAAGACGGAAGCATTCCATTGAGACACCCCAACGCTAGACCCTAAACAACTGCCCAAACCTTTGACCCTAAACCTCAAACTCTGAACACCCAAACCCTGCACGCCCCCCGAACGTCCTGACATGGTTAGAGACGTCATACTTCTGGAGTTGACCATAAGACAAGCAAGGCAGCGCCGCGCCTGCCACTGCTGTCGTAGATCCGGCCTTGCACATCTTCCTCAAGCTGCGTTCGATGTGGGGCGATATCTACTTGGAAGGGCAGGGGACTTAGTAAGTAGGTTATAAGTAGGGTTATAATTGGGGTAACTCCATTTAGGGTACTTATAACTCTACTTATAACCTACTTACTAAGTCCCCTGCCCTTCCAAGTAGGGTATTCAGATCAAGGGTTTGGAGCTTCACGCATTGACTTTGGCTTTGGCTTCGGCAAGGGTTTATGGTTTCGGGCATTGAGTTGTGGAGTTTGGCATCGGGTTTCTTGTTTAGGGGGTATGGGACTGGAAACTCTGAAGACATGTAGTTAATTTTGAATTCGCAGCTCCTGCATTGCAGTGTGTAGGGTTTAGGCTTCAGGCTGGGGGTCCTCGCCCGGACCCAAGTAGCTTGACAAGGCGACTAGTGCTTTTGGGTCGACTGCAGTATGACCTGCACACATCAGCGACAAACAGTAACGCCAATGGAGAACCGTATAAAACACCCCCTAATACTAAAACTTTCAGGCAGTTCCCAGGAATCATCCACGCCTTACTTTCAAACCGATTTTCACGTAGAGATGCAAGAGCAAGAGCAGGAGCAAAAGCCAGAGCAGAAGCCAGAGCAACTAAGAGCAAGAGCAAATGCAGGAGCAAGGGCAAAGGCTGCAGCAGGAGCAAGAGCAAGAGCCACAGCAGGAGCAATATCCTCCCGAACATGACAGTAGAGACTTAAACAACACTAGCAACAAAAATGCGCTTCGAGCTTTTGTTGGAGGGGGGCCGTTTAAAATCAGGGGGAAGGCATTGGTTATACTAAAGTAAACAACATCCCAAAGCCCTCATATTCTAATCATTTGGCCTCATTTAGCCCCTCTATTGAATACTCTATTGAGCCACAGGAAACCTATTCCTTCATGAACGGGGCAGCCGAGTCTCCAGAGTGTAGCTCCTCTGGCTCAGGAGGTCTCGCAACCTTTGCTCCCATCGACTTTGGTAGTCGAAGGCCAGCCGCTCCTTGGATGGGGCTTAGTATCAGAGTTTAGGGTTTAGGATTTAGGATGGAAACTTCTGCAGGGTTTAGGGTTCAGGGTTTAGGGGTTTTAGGGGGTTAAGGGGTTTAGGGTTTGGGGTTTAAGGTTTCGGATTTAGGTGTTTAGGGCTTAGTGGTTGGGGGGATAGAGCTTGGGGTTTAGGGCTTGCTTTTTTTATCGCCCTTTTTCCGCCAGACAGTGCAAGCGCCTCAGGGTTTAGGGAAATTTAGGGTGTAAATCTCGTTTTCCTGGTGTTGGTGTTTGGGGCTGGTGGGGTTAAGGGTTTTAAGGCTGAGGCTCTAGAGGGTCTTGGGGGTTCGGTTTCGGGGTTTAAGATCTAGGGTGTGCTTGTCGGTCCTTTCTGTGTGGGGGTGCATAGCGGCTTTGAATAACTAGGATGCCCAGTAACCTGGAATAAAAAGGGCTCCCTTTTTGGTATCGGGCAACTTAATCTATATTGATTAAAAGAGAGACTAGGACTACAAAAAGGGAATAAGGGTACTACTGGGCATCCTAGCTAACTTGCTTAAGGTTGCCTCAAGGCAAGGAAATTCTTGCAGTGTTTGATTGTAGGATTTCGGGTCGGCCTATGACTATAGGACTTTGGACGTGTGGCGCGAAGTATTTTCCGAAAACGCCCAACATCAACAAAAAACGAGCACAAAATCCTAGCCAAACTTAAAGCCCTAATCCCCGTAACTTAATACGGTACATGCCACACCCTGAATCCTAAACCCCCGAACGTTCAATGATAGACTCAACCGATATAGTTCAGAAACATCCGGCGGATGACATCAAGAAGTCCTACGGTTGATGATATATAAATCCTGCATGACCCATAATAAGCAATATACCATAATTCCCATAGTTTAGGGTCCTTAAGATAATGCAGGTTTTCTATCATCAACCGTAACAAATTCAACCTACTTTCAGCCCTTGAAGCGAGTCGCCGTCTTAGGGGTAGCAGAGCTCTGCAAAAGTCGAGTCCAGGTGCCATTCAGCATTGCGCACAGGGCGGGCGCAGAGAGAAGATTGCCGTTTAGGGCTTTGGGCTTCGGGTTGAGAGCCTAGTCTCAGAGTTCAGGGGTTTCGGGGTCACGGCCCCCCAAAGGGGGGAAGAGAGCTGGATGAATGCCTCATCCTCGTTCCCTCTACAACAACCAACCCTGGCTCCTCAAAATGATGGGGCCCCGGTTTAGGGTTTAGGGGTTTAGGGATTAGGGTTTAGGGCCCTGATTGAGCTACGAAGCAGCGACCCCCCAAACTGACTCGCGTCTGGCTATAAAGGAGACGAGAAAGGTGTAGCCATGGGCACTGGAAACAGCTGCGGTGGGGACACTACCATACCGAGAAGGCTGATGCCCGCGTAGAATAATGCTTCTTGGAGGCTCATACTCATGCACAACATCTTGCCGAATCTGGCCATAGCTCCTAAGTCCTGGGTTCTATGCTTCAGGACTTTGGGGTAGATGGGGAAGCGCTAGATCTGTTTTGTTCATGGTTAGTTGTCAAAATTATGGTCCCTTCTTGTGTACCCCAATAGGTGCCGCATTATAACAAGTACCCAAAAAGGGACCATCATTTTGACAACCACCCTCATCGGCAGTAGCCAGGCTTCGAAACTCATCGAATAGTTCCAAGGGCCGAGCGTGGAGCACAGAGCCTCCTACGGTTGATGATATAAATCCATAAGGGTACCTTTAAGGGGTTCCCTTAAGGGGTTCCTTTAAGGGATCTATAGGGGGTTAGGGTTTGGGGCTTACGGATTTTAATTCTGCATTACCCATAGTAAGGAATATACCATAATTCCCATAGTTTAGGGTCATTGAGGTAATGCAGGATTTATATCATCAACCGTAGTACAGTCTAGGATGTCGCAAAGTGCTGTGACCTTCAAAGAGCTCTGAGTTCAGAAAACCGCAGTTAAGATTGGGGCGACAGCGTCTTGGGCTTCCCGGGCTTAAGCATCACATCCCAATCTATCCGGAACCCGAGCCTGACTCCAAAATGGTCTGGGCTTTTAAGTTTCTTTGGAGTCCTGGTAATTAGACCAAAGTTTTTGGGTATGACATGCCTTAATTAATCTTTATGAAAGAAGCCTAAGGCACAGTACTACTAGTTTTCCTTTTCGGCGCGCTCAATAGGCCCAACGCCTCCGAGCATGGCTTCACGCCTCGCGAAAACCACTGGTCAGCAGCTGCTGCTTGGACCACGCAAACCTCTAAAGACCAAACCTTGATTCTCCTAGACCCCTATACGGCGCCTATACGGTACCATAAAGCCTAGGGTGGCCTAGTTTGAGAATTGTTTATGGCTTGAAGGTGTTCAGGGCTGTAGGGTCCATGCAGAGCCTAACGACGATTAGGGCTTTAGGGTTGAGCATCTAGTTAGAGTTGTTTGATCGGGACCAGAAACCTTCACCCTGAATCTTGGTAGGTGTTGGTATTGGTGCCCTCAAAATTAAGACCAAGAACCACAAGAAGACTTGCGCATATGGGTCGCTCCAGACGGAGACACAGTGGCCCTACCAACAAACATGCATCGCCTAAACACCTCAGAAAAGGCTCCGAGGCCTTAAAAGCAACCCCTCTGCATGCAGCAAGCTGGGCGACCACAGGGAGAAATGCTGGCGCCTCGACTCAGCAGGTAACCTCCGCGCCGTAGGCGTCTCAAATGGCCCAGGGCGGTGATTTCAGACATTGGGATCTTGAGACGTGGTATCACCCTTGACAAGCCATCATCCCAGACCTTCCAAAATCCCTTCATTCACGAATATACCTTAAATCATCTTAGGGATCCTGCAATAACTTAATGTACGGTATAGTCCTTACTCAAAGGATTTCGGAAGATATATTTAAGCCCCTGTATTCTATCTTTACAATAGCCCTTGTAGCATCCCATATAGACACCTTTCAAGGAACCCTATTCTAATTATTACGACCCCTAAACCCTAAACCCTTATCGTAGCCCTTATAGTATAATATACCTAAGGTACGGTATAATCCTTAAATACAGAATTTTGGAAGGTCTGCGACCAACAGGGACATGGCTCAGAGCTCCTCACGCACGAGCAGCCTGGATTCGGGGCTCAGTTTAAAGGCGGGGTACCAAAACAACTTAAATCCCGAACCCAAGTGGCAGAGTTTAGCAGGGTGTAGCATACTGATATATATATATATATATATATATATATATATACATATATATATATGTATATATATATATATGTATATTATATATATATATATATATATATATATGTATGTGTTTATGTATATATATATATATATATATATATATATATATATATATGTATATATATGTATATATATGTATATATATATATATACATACATATACATATATATATATGTATATACATACACTGCAATACAGTCTGGAGGTTCAGGGCAGCATACAAGCGCCTTTCAGCCAGTCTTTTTGTGTGATGCACCTAGGGCCTTCGGGATTCGAAGGGGGGGTAGGCCGTTCCCAGACCTTCCAAGACCCCTTAATTAAACAATATACCTTAAATCATCTTAGGGACTATATTAGGGACTCTACTATATCTTAAGGTATATTCCTTAATTAAGCGGTTTTGGAAGGTTTGGGTTGGTGGTCTGCGCATAGCGAGACATCGGTTGTTGATGTCGTGGCTCCATTAGGTTCACGGTTCACTGTGACAACACTTGGGTCAAAGCAAACCTCGCAAGACCACAACCACGACAGACCCAAATCCAAACCCCAAAGCCTTGACTTAAAGAAGCAGCGCCAAACTTAATGCAAAATCCACTGACTACCAAACCCTAGAACCTAACAACTAAGACCCTGTAGAAACACTTAATACTCACATCATCGCCACCGAGCGACCACCTTTGACTCTGACAGCTCCTCGAGAATAAGCCTCGTGTTTGGGAGGGCTTCTACCGACAAGCTCGCTTAATGAACACCCTTAGAGGGGAAGCCAATTAGAGGACCTCATAGTACCCTGGAACTCTATGAGACACGTTCCTTGCAGGAGCGTCATTCGGGTTTCATGTGGCTGTTTCTTGGGTGGTTTAGGGCTTAGGTGTACATAGGTTTACACATAAAACACATTGTGACATCTTAGATGCCGCTATGCTACTTACCCGCTTTCAGTATCATGAGGCTTGCACTACAGGTCTTTGCATAAAAATGAGGCTCGCGGTACTCGACACGTGCAGGCCAACAGGACAAGTAAAACATGTGCGTATCAATGGCGCAAGTTGGGGTAACACTAGAACCAGTAGCAGATATTGGCACTACGGTGTCACGACCTCTCACGACCGCCATTAACGTACAAAATGTGATGCTGCGGCATTCCACTAACAAAACACCATGAGTGCAAAGGGCAGGCGCAAAACTGAAAGAGCGTGGATGCACACACATGAAAACGAACATGTAGAACGCATACTCTTCGCCCTCTCTCCATGTGCGCATGCCATCCACCGAATGCGCTTGATGCATGCTGCAGGTATACGAGCACAAGACACACATGCATCTGCGTGTTAGAACATGCCTAGATCTAGTTTTACCTACATGCTTCTGTCCACATACATGCACACAAATTCAAAAGCCCCGGCGGCCCCCGACAAAGCAGCCCTCGCAAAGTCAATGCAAGGTTCCTAACTGACAGATAGCAATATACTACTTTGGGGGCGCCTGTGCTCGGCCTAGGAAAAACCCTAAACCCTAAACCCTAAGTGTTAAGCAGGTCTTAGGGACGGGGGTTTAGGCCTGAGCCCTGAAGATTCGAAAACGAAGCCCTGAACCCCCAGTGCGGATATGCATGGCTTCGTAAGGTTACATGTGGAATATGATTATACACTACCCTCAACCCCAAGTCTTTTGCACATGCAGCCTAAACGCTAAGCAAAGGTCTGGTTCAGTGCCTAGAACTTCAAAACGACACTGACCCAAAACTTCAAAACCCCTAATTTCCTTCTTTCACAACACCTTTAGAGCAATTCGCAAACGGGAGCCCAGCCGAACGACTGAAACCTTTGTAGGCGGCTAAGGTGCTTGGACGTGAGGCCAGCGCCCATCAACACAAGGGGCCTGGGCTGAGAGGAGAGGACACTTAGAGGATCATGGGACTTAGTAAGTAGGTTATAATTGGGGTTATAAGTCCCCTAAGTGGGGTTCTCCTAAATATAACCTAATCATAACCTTACTTACTACTTCCCATGAGCCTCCAAGCAGGGGATTCAGGCTATTGTTTCGGGCCTTTCAACTTGCGGCCAAAACTCTGGTTTGTGGCTTAGGCCATGTCTTTGGGCACCTTTCGCGCTTAGGTTTAAAGATTTACGGTTCAGGATTTTGCTGCCTAGGCCCACGGCCCAGGGCCTCGGGCCACAGCAGTGTCAAAACAGAGCGCTGCACCACCGCCCAGCAAGGGTGTGCGCTGAAGATAGAAACTGAAATATCGCGTACACTCTACGCCCTCCTTAAACCTCTAGGGATCAAAATAGCCCAAAAGCCTTATGTAGTATGGGCTTTGGTCCCAAAAGCCTCAATGAGTGAATCCTTGGATCCCTAGGGAACCTGACACCTTAAGGTTTCTCCCCTCAAAGGCCCGCGCACACCATTTCCCGGCCGCGTCCCGGCCCCAACGAAGAAGAGCCGGTCGACCTCGCCAAAGCAGGAGCAGTATACGAGTCTGATTGTCTGATTGTCTTTGCCGCCGTCATTGTTGTTACTAGCACTAAACTTTGTCGGCATTGACATTAGGCTGACTACTATCCGCGTCGCAGTTTTTGGTGTCCGGGCCTGATGTATCTGCAGCTGTGGGATCTAGGGGCATATTGCCTCGTGCTACAGCGATCTGGAGTTGAGAGTTCAAAGTGTATGTAGGGCTCAGTTGGGGCTTGAAGTAATTAAGTTTAGGGTGCGGAGGTTATGGTTTAGGGTTTATGCTTGTGCATGTAAGGCTTGGATTGGGCTCAGGGCTGAGGGATTGCGGTTGAGTGCGCAGGGTTTGTAGCTCTACAGTTTGTCCTCATGAGCCACTGCCTGGAAGTTCACGGTATGGTCGCAAGTATCCTCGTGGCGACTAGACATGCCACTCCCACAACAAAAACGGCTGCACAAACCCCTGAAGCGCACCACTAATCCCTAGACCTTGCCACATAAAAGCACTAAACCCGGAAGGCCAAGAAGTCGGAAACCCAAACCCCAAGACCCATACCCTCAACCCAAAATCCTAAGACCCTAAACCCCAAATCCTGCTAGCCCCCAAACCCTAAACCCTAAATCCCTAAACCTTCCGGCCTCGGGCGCCCTCGGCGCAGGCCGCGTCATAGCAAGGCCACCCTGCCAGGGAAGCAGGCCGTGGGAAAGGCCTCGGCGAACGCAGGCTTCGATCCTTCTTAAGGGTTTCAGACAGACTTAGGGGCTCTGAGGTTTTAGGGTATAACATACATACATACATACCTACTTACGTACGTACATACATACATACCATTACAATAAATTATTACATTCCATTACATTCCATTGCAGTGGATTGCACTGCATCGCATTACATTACATTACATTACATTACATTACATACATACATACATACCTACATCTACATAAATGTAAATGTACACATATATATATATATATATATATATACATATGCCGTAAGTGCTGCGTACGGGTGTTAATTCGTGTTCATGGGATTGTCTACAAGCACTGATAGATAGTGCAGAAAAGGGTTTGCAGGATCGATAAAGACGCCTGTCCATTCCAGCATCACTTGACTGAAGAATCTTCCTCAGTTTCCCTAGACCCAAAACCGTATGTACGGCCTACCAGAACTTCTTACCAACGGACGAGCAACAAAAGGAGCGGCCTCTGACCTAGGGTTTAGGGTTACCGGTTTAGGGTTTCGATATAGGCATTTCAACTTTCAAATCCTGAGCCATAAAATGCCATAAAGGGCCCGAAATCCGGGAATTTACCGAAGTTGACGATGTGGGCTTTCAGTTGGCCCACTCCCCTTGCTGGGTCCTAGCCTCATGGCTCCCTGGCCTCCACGAAAGCCCTCAACCCTACAAAAACCAATGAAAGCCTTCTCAAACGCTGTCAGACCCAGTAAAACCCTTCGACATCAAGCCCAGAAGCAAAAACCCTGCAACCCCAGGACCTTTATGCCCCATCACTCAACAAAAACCCTAAACCCCCTTAACCCGGAACAAAAACCCTACACCCCCTTAACCCTGAAAAAAAAAAAACTAAAGCCCAAGAAAACTGCTGCCGAGCAGGTCCAAGGGGCCGAAAGTCGCGCCGTGCTCGAGGTTGTACAGCTCCCCGATGGTCTCCGGGTCTCGAACCTTCCGTCTGGGGGCTTGGGGTTTAGGGTTTAGGGTTTAGGGTTTAGGGTTTAGGGTTTAGGCTCAGGGTTTGCGGTTTCCAACAAAAACGCCTACTCATATAGTGTATTCATGCGTTGCTATCTGTGTCTTTGATGGTTTGAAGGGCTTTCATCTACATGCCTGCATACTCGGAATTAGGTATTGGGGCATAGTACCTATAAGCAGTCGGTGCTGACGGGCAACAAACACCTGTGCCCTGTGCATTTGAAAAATAAGTACCCTATAAGGGAATACGGCTTCAAATCAGTCAGGCCTCTAGATCTTTGGCCAGCGTGCTGTCATTTTTTGGCCGTATGGTCAAGGTTTCGGCTCGGGTCGTAGAAGCCTTTCAAGATTCACAAAGGATCAATCGACTTAGTACATAGGGGTTTCAAACACCTTCATTGGGGCCATAGGGGTTTATGACTCGAGTTATCTTCATTTCTATGCCTACTTCCCTGAACTCTAAACCCTCAACCCCTAAACCCTAAACCCCTAAACCCTAAACTCTGACCCCTAAACCCTAAACTCGAAACCTTAAACCTTGCTACTTCTCCTGTTATCGAACCAACCTTCAAGTTGGAAGAGTTGACTCGGACTACAAGGGTCCTAATAGTGAAATAGTTACCTATACTTTAGAAGCTGCCCCCACCCTGTAATAGTGACTATAAGGATTATATTAGGGCCCGATTCTATTCCGATTATACCACTGTTACAGGGTGGGGGCAGCTTCTAACCTATACTAATTTGGTGGCTTCCTGATGATTTTTGCAGTACAATGGGCCCAAAAACCCTGTTCTGCTCATAGGTCTGTAGTACCGCATAAGAACCTCTGCGGCTCGATCTAGCTGTCGGAGAATGTTGAGTTTAAGGTCTAGGGTCTAGGGTTTCTTGCAGCGTGGGGTTGGGGTTCAAGGTTGAGGGCCGAGGTTGCTGGAACGGTGCATGCGTACACGGCTTTGAGATTTGAGGGTGCCCATGGGTTCGGTATGCCACTCAAACCATGTCAAAGGTTGCCCAGTCCTGCAGGCCTGGGTGCAAATCGCAGGAAACTGTGGGATGTCATAGGATGTGCTTTGGTGTGGATAAAGAGCTGTGTCCGTTTAAACGAAGTCGGAAGTACAGCTCAGACTTGAGAGTGTTAGGAATCTTCGACTCAGAATGGAGGTCCTGGTGCGCAAAGCGCTAGGATCCCACAGGTTAGACTACTGCGGGGATACTTTATCCCGGAGCTTCGGACCCCGGGCTATGCGAAGCTTGCAGAGTTTAGGCTTCAGGGCTTCGGGCTCAAGTTTTGGGATTTACAAAGCTTTCGGGTTTTGGGTTTAGGGTTTTGGGTTTAGGGTTTTGGGTTTAGGGTTTTGGGTTTAGGGTTTTGGGTTTAGGGTTTAGGGTTTAGGGTTTACTCTAGTTGTCTTATCTTAGAGCCGAGAAGATCCATGCCAAGTGACGGTCTCTTCCACAATGTGCTTCTCGATGTCACCGCAGCCCGCCTCCTGATAGGCTTGCGGCTTAAAGCGTTCCCGTATTCGTGTAGAAGAAAACCTGAAACCTTCACATTGAAGCGTTCGCAACTAGAACAAGGGAGCATGCCGAGACATCCTCCAACTACTCGCCCTTCTGCCAACCGTTAAAGACTCCTAAACCCTAAACCCATATATACGCACCAAGCTATACGCCTTCCAACCCAAAACTCGAATCCGAACCCACGACCCCAAACCCTAACTCCTTGACCTTGGGCTTGAAACCCTAAAACCTTAAAGCCCCGAACCCTGAATCGAGCCCCAAACCGTAAGTCCCGAACCTTAAACCCCAAACAGTAAACCGAAACTACACTGACCGGAGGCCAAAAGGGGGGTTTGAGATTCTTGGGGTAGGGATTCCTCAATATGAACCCTATTATGGGAACCCTAATCCCTACTAAACCCCCATAGGCTAAAACCCCTTTTCGCCCCCTATGAAAACCCTAAGCCCCGAACCATAAACCCCATTCAGTACGTCCGAAACTGCAAACCGTAAACCCCTAAACCCTAAACCCTACCATTTTGTCTCAGGAATTCAATCGCGAAACCCCAAACACTAAGCCCGAAACTACAAACCCTAAACCCTAAGCCCAAAGCCCCAAACCCTAAACCCTAAACCCTAAGCCCCGAACCCTAAGCCCGAAACTACAAACCCTAAACCCTAAACCCCTACACCCCTAAACCCCTAAACCCTATAATCCCCAAGCCGCGATCCTTGAACCGCCTCAGAACCGTCTCCCGAGCTTTCGCAGCGATGTCCTCGACCAGGGATCGGGTCGCTTTGGGCTCCAGGGTTTAGGGCTTTTCGGGGTTTCGAAGTTGATAGCGTTTAGGGTTTTGGGGGGGGTTCGAAGTTTTTGGTCTAGGGTGTGAGAGCCTCGGGTGCTGATTTTAGGGTCTACACACGAGAAGTTAATGGCTTCGCTGTTTAGGGTTTAGGCCTCAGGAGAACTGTTCGTTTCACGGTCGGGGGAATTGCTGGTTCCGCGGCTTTTGTTTATGATCTCAAGCCTGGGTAGTACATGAGTAAGTGCTTCGTGGGACGTTGCATAGCTCAGCTAATGCTTGAGTGTGCAGGTCTACGAGTGTTCGGGTTTGAGGGGCTCTTGGGCCTGCGGAGCCTAGGTCATACACAGAAAGCCTCAAGCCCCAGGCAGAGAGCTGGGATACTACATCTGCGGCCTGTTAGGGCTAGTCTAAGGATAACTATAACGTCAGCGCCTGATGGATGAGACTACGGCGTTTGGCTTTGGGGGGCTGTGCACTTTCATCATAATCGGGAAGACAATGGAAGAGTGGTAGTGAGAATGTAAACCTCTGAACCAGTCTTCCAACCATCCCGAGACTGGACGCCCCAGTTCCTGAAACATGCTGCAACGGTGAAAGCTCGATTAAAGGACGGTTTACGATGTTGGGACTATGATGTAAGGTTTGGGGGTTTTGGGATGAAGGCTCCTAAACCCGAAACGTGACCTCTGCCCCTTCCCCTCCGTGATGTTTAGTGATTCGGAAGAGTGTCGGCTTGCTAATTTCACCTCAAGAGAAAACTTGCCGTTAGTACCCTTACTGCTTCCATGACTACTGTCAGAGCAGTAGCGGTAGCTGAGGTGGTGGTAATAGCAGTCGTCGTCGTTGTACCCGTAGCGGTAGCAACAAAGGTATCAGTAGTAGTAGTAGTAGTAGTAGTAGTAGTAGTAGTAGTAGTAGTAGTAGTAGTAGTAGTAGTAGTAGTAGTAGTAGTAGTAGTAGTAGTGTAGTGGTAGTGGTAGTAGTAGTAGTAGTAGTAGCAGAAGCGGCAGCCAGTGGTAGCCCACCTTGTAGAGGTCTCCTTTGGCACCCGGTTTGAACCCGGCCTGAGCTGTGGAGCTCCGGATTTACGACTTGGGACTCCGGGCTCAGGGTTAGGGTTTAGGGCGTTTAGGGTTCAGGGTTCAGGGTTTAGGGTTTAGGGTTTAGGGTTCAGGCTTAAGGTTTAGGGTTCAGGGTTTAGGGGTTAGGGGTTAGGGCGGTTAGGGTTTAGGGGAACGGGCCTTGGGATGTTTGGTGCTTCCCTTACCTTTAGGACCAGATGACCCTTCAAAGCAGGGGCCCGAAACCCTTAACTATGAATCCCTATATGGTCTATGAACCTTGAACCTTTTAAGCTTCATTTCGTGCCTTAAGGAGCCTTAGCGTGTTTAGGTTTTGTCATATAGCGCTGGAGCTTCGGGTTTAGGCGGCCTACTCTGGGCTGTCGGCACGGGGGGGTTAGGACTTGCGGTTCAGGGTTTAGGGCTTCAGAGCTTTGGGAGTTCAGGGCTTCAGGGCTGTGGGAGTTTAAGGGTTCAGGGCTTTTGGTGTTTACAAAGTTTAAGGTTTAGGGGCTCAGGGTTTGGGGGTTTAGAAAGTTTAGGCCCTTTCCGTTTTTAGCGGTTCAGGGTTTTCGGGCTTAGGACGTTCAGGGTTGAGGTTCAGGTGGCTTCAGCCGCTGGTATTCAGGGTCCGAGCTCGGGGGGTCTCAAGCCCCAAGGGGACTTAAGGATCAGCAGAGCCGAGTTAAAGTGGTGACTTCCTAAACATAGAAAGCAAGTGCTGCCTGGTTCAGGAATTACGTCTGTCACCCCAACAGCACAATCTTTACTTCATGTAGGATCTAGTAGCAAATCCGTTCAGGATTTGCCCAACCTCAGACGTAAATCATGGCAGAGGATTCGGGCTTAGGGCTGAGGGCCGAGCGTGGAGACCTTCAGCCTCAAATACGGATTCGGATTCGTGGATAGACTACACTTACCTTTGTTTAGTAGGGAATGGAGGAATGGGGTACAATCACAACTACTATTACTACAATTCTTCCATTCCCTACTAACCAAAAGTAAGTAGAGGCTAGACAGCTGAAGACTGAGGGGCTGAAAGGCGGAAACTCTGAACCCCGAAGCCTTCAGGATGGCGGGTTGAGTTTTTGTCTGCGTTTTAAAGGTTGGTTTGACGGGTTGAGGTTTAGGGTTTAGGGCTTAGGGGTTAGGGTTTAGAGCTTAGGGCTTCTCCAAACGCGACAGAGCTTCGGCGGCCATCTGCTGCATGTTCGCAACGGGGAAGAGAATCATGATGCTCTCCTGAGCTCAGTGCGTTGTGCTTAGGGTATACTATGGTTCTAGCCACGATGATATTGGACTATACTTGTTACTATCGCTCCATGAGTTATAACTTCTAAGTTAACTACTATCCGTGCATGCTTTATGGGAAGTGCTCAAGATCTGGAGTCTCGGAACTCCGAAACGGGTTGGCCGGCAGGGAGCCCCAAGCCTCTCTCCGTGGTACAGAAGTGCAGCTTAGGGGTTCGGGCGCATGAATACTTCGGCAAAGGTCCCCAGGTTGTTCGTCAAAAAAACGCATCGAAGAGCGATGTGGAATCGGAAAGAACCCAAGCTCGACACCCGCGAACCGCTGACCCTGAAGCATGGATGTTGCTGCAGGCAAACATGCGGAAATTGGCCGGAGGCCTGCCAAGGAAATGGCAACTCAATCTGGAATGTGCATCTCTGAATGCCCCTTGACCAGAGACGAGGTTTTTTAAAATCCGTACTCTACACACCTTGCAAGGTGACAGGTTGTAAAGAGCTTGTGAGTTCGTCCAACTGCCTTGCACAGAAGACCTCTACCTGGAAATACTTCTCCGCATATGATGGAGTGAACACCCCGGCAAGCGCGGCTGCATGAGGGTTCTAAACTTCACGCAGACCTCAAAAAGCGAAGTGAAGCAACGGACTCCGACATCTTGTGCTTTACGCTGCAAGAACGACGCACAAATGCTACAGAAACCCTGAGTACGACCATGGTATGGCATACCTCAACTCTACACCCCTGGACCGGAACCCTCCTTCAGAACTTGCAAAAACAATAAGCCCGAAAATGAAAGCCTGGGAATCCCAAACCCTAAGAAAAACTAATCCTAGACATCCTACACCCTAAAAAAACTATACCTAGAAATCCTAAACCCCGGGAAAAACCACACCCTGTGAAGCCCTGGACGGTCAACATTCAACTCCGGACACGCCGAGCATCGCAGCCCTCGGGAGCAGCAGACGGATCCGTCCTCCCGGGCGAAATAAGGAAACAAGAACTTGGGGCTTCAGGGTTTAGAGGTTTTGGGGTTTACGGCTTCGGGCTTAGGGTTTAGGGTTTCAAAGTTTGAACATGAATTTAGGATGATTAGTGCCGAAATGCCCTATGCTTTAAGGGTAATGATGTTCCAACTTTCTGGCTTCTACGTTGCTTAGGAGACAAGGAAGGTACCATAAGGTCAATGCATAGGTACCAACAGGGTACAAGGGCAGTGGCATGTCACCATATAATCCTCGGTATGATGCCTTCGGCAACATTACGGATCCCATCAACAGCGCTTAGGGAGACGAGTTTTCTCGCGCGGGGATTCTGAACAGAACCTATCTCGGCCACCATCCCCCCCAGATGTTGAAAGAAGACCAAAAAAAACAGTTCTTAGACCTCCAACGGCGAATTTCGCGATGAAAAGTCTCTGAGCTTGAGACACTCATACCCCGACAGCTTGAACTCGTGCCCCTTACGGAATCCTATCAAAAATCAAGGAAATACCAAACAAAACCGGCCTAACTAAAACCTCCAGGAAACATTGGATTATTCCTATTCGAGGTTTACACAGTGCGACACTCCTCGTCGGGCAATGCACATAGAAGTTCGGCTTGTCGGCTATCGATTCTGGGCTGGTGATCGGCGTCCACGCCTTTCCGGAATATGGAGTTAACAGCGGAGTGTACAATGTTTGGGTTGGTCTCGGAGTCAAGCCGTTAAGAGAGTGGTGGGATTTATGCTTTATGGGCGGATGTAGCAGACATCTTCCAGTTGACCGTGCAGAAACTCCTGGCCACTACGATCCTGAAGATTCCTCCTTGGTCTTATCTCTGACTACTAGCAGGCCCGTAACAGCATATAAAACCTTCCAACTTTGGGAGCTGTGCCTCGAAAAGGCAAGTCGAAACAAGCATCAGCATTTGGGCAATCAGCGTCTTAGCAAAGGGGGCAGTTCAGATGAGAGCTTACGAATCAGGTGAAGGAAAGTCGGCTTGGGGCTTGATGTCAAGAACTTCAGATTTTACCGTTCAATCTCATCCCGCAAGCATCCGGCATGAACCCGTTCTGATTGGCCGCACTCCAGAGCTCCTGCCACAAAAGCCTCTTGTGCAAGCCCGTTGGACGGATCCATGCCCTTCCACCTTTGGGTGGTTGTCAAGATTATGGTCTCTTTTGGTTCCCTATTATAATAAGCCACCTTTTATTTAGGGTATCCAAAAAAGGACTCTAATTTTGACAACCACCCATATGAACAAAACTAGCAATTCGTTGGCCTTCTCCTCGTTCTCGGGCGTTCCCAGGAAAATGGTATGGTGGCCTTGGCACCCAAATGGGGCTTCTGAAAAGCTAAGGTTTCACTGAGGCTGCAAACTTTCGGCTATAGGTCAGAAACCTCTGAGGTTTAGACACAGCAGCTACGTGCCTGCGGAGTTGCTTCCTTCCTGCCGCAACAACTACTGCCCTTACTGAATATCTCATACAATGCTACGGCTGCGAGCCCACATAATGAGGATGGAATGTCAGAATGAGGACTCAGGATCTTAGGGGCTGCGAACCCTAGCCCGAAAAAACTAACTTTCTCAATTATGGTAAGATTACATTAACCCCAAAAAGTTAAAGGTTACATACTCAGCCCCGGAGTATCAGAATGAGGACTTAGGATTGTGGCTCAGTATTTTCAGGACAGCGCCTGGGCAGCCCGTGAGCAGGCTCCTAATTCCAAGAGATAGTTACACTGCCACTGTACGGCAGAGAAACATCAACGTACCCACAGGATGCTGTAGTCATTCAGGCTTCGATATTACGCTGAGGATGACTGCATCGGCTTATCAAGGGCATCATTGGTCGCAGGCTACACGGCCTAAACCCTAAACCCTCGAACCCTAAACCCTAAACCCCTAAACCCTGCCCTAAACCCCCACCCCCCTAAACCCTCGAACCCTAAACCCTAAACCCTAAACCCCTAAACCCCTAAACCCTAAACCGTCAAACGGAAGCTTCAAGCCTGAGCCACTTCTGCTGGGGCCCCGGACGGAGGTAGTCCACCTTGCAATCCACAGCCTGGTCTCCCGTCTCATGGTTTAGGCTTTAGGGTTTGAGGCTCTAGGGTTCTAGGGTTTAGGGGTTTAGGGTTTAGGGTTTAGGGTTTTAGGGTTTAGGGTTTAGGGGTTTAGGGGTTTAGGGTTTTAGGGTTTTGGGTGAAGACTTTTGTTTTCACTTTAGGGTACTTTAGGGTTTAGGGTCGAAGAGCTACGGTCTCAAACCCGACTCCATGGCGGTTGGCTTTTGAGTAAAGGCTTGTGGTTACACTCTAGGGTTGAAGAGCTACAGATTAAGGCTTCTGGGTTCGAAGTGTCGCAGCTCAGTGATGCTCAGAGCACCGTGTCGGGGTTGTCCCGCAACTCGAACAAACAGCCCCGCAGCTATCCTCAGGCCCTAGCCCAGAACATCGCGATGACGCCGCAGGAGTATTCCTCAGCCGGGGCCATGGAAACTCATAAAAAACACTGTGGAAGTTTGCTTGGAGGTTTAGGGGTTTAGGGGCTTTAGAGTTTAGAGATTTGTAGTTCTTTCTTGAAGACATCTGGGTTGAGAGTTTAGGGGTAGTGGGGTACTTTCCAGTTTAGGTTATGTAGCTAGACTACCGCCATGACCTAGAAAAGCCCAAGTAGGGTAGCCATAACCCCGAGGGCTAGATGCTTGAATTACATCCTCCAAGTTTGTCCCTACACGTCTGTCTTGGAAGCACGAAACCCCAAACCTTTCCCAGAAACCCCAAACTCAAAAATCCAATCCTTCGATGCAAAGCCTAACACGGCTGGCCATGGAGGCACCGCACATCAATCCCAAACCCTAAACCCTGCAAAATGTCAGCGACGCCCCACACGTCTGCAGCTTCTGCTTAAAGCCAGGCACCCGCCCATCCAAGTCTGCAGCAGTTGCTGCGACACTGGGCTCCTATGGCCAGGAGTTTCGTGCGAAAGTGGGAATGTCATGGCAATAAGTCAAGATGTAGTCTCTTTGCACCAACAGCCACCTCTACATACTACAGCCCCTTGGCATGCCATGCAAGACCTTTTGGTTAGTAAAACCCCTGAACTCTCAGCTCTAAGCGTAAACTCCAAAGCCTCAACTCAATCTTCAGCCCTCAACCCTCAACCCTCAACACTCAACCCCAACCCGAAGCCCTCAAACCTCATCGATCCAACATTGCAGAATAGTTATAGAGCTCCTGGGGGTCGGCAGGCGCCTTGCGATGCAGTTTTCAAAGAGGCTTGGTATTTGGATTAATTTTTTTACAAAAAAAACGCGAGGTACCCATTTATGTAGGGGTCCTGTAGTAAGGACCCTACGGCTTAGAGATCTACATTAGGATCTCTTGCTTCCCGAACCCGAAACCCCCTTTTCGGGTTAGCAACTTAACTGTATGGTTCTTAGTAGGGACTGGGGGAATAGATTATCGAGACTATTATTGGGGATTGATATAGGGACTACTATAGGGATCCATTCCCCCATTCATTCCCCCATTCCCTTCTAAGAACCAGACAGTTTTAAGATTTAGGGTTGGACTTAGAAGTGCTGGAGAGCTTCCGATAGCCGTTTATATAGGGGCCTAAATAGTTAGAATAGGGCTCCCTTTAAAAGGGGTCCTTTAAGGGGTTTGATATAAGGGATCTGCAAGGGTACTATAGTAGACGGGCCTTAGTAAGGGGGCACCGTTATATTATAGTTATACTGAGGAACCCCAAAATAGTATTGGTAATTATTGTTATTGTGATTAAGGCCCCTATATTGCACTCAAGGGTTTAGGCTTGAGCGTGATGGGCTGCTTTTCGCTTGGCAACTTGGGGTCCGTGGCACAAGGCTTGGGCCATTCAGCTGAGGTCGTAGCTGACAGTGCAAGGAAGCAACACTCCACTACACCATCGGGGTCGGGAAACCATCTCATCCGGTTACAGGATATGCCGAAAGACTACGCGCTCATATGCGATGAGTCACTCTTGGCAATGAGGTCCGAGGAGAACTTTGACATATAGCATTGCATGAATGTCGGAATTACCTGCGGCGCCCCCACCGCCCCCAAGCCGCAAGCCACCTGCAACACCACACCCTCAAGGGCACATGAGAAGCAGCACCTTCCACGGCAGCAGCCCTCAGTCAGAACTCCTCCCAAAGAGCAGCGGAAAACACCAAGTCCGCGCAGATTCCAGAAGCCTCAACTCCGAAACTCAACACCCTGACTGCCTGAAGCTCTACACACCCTAAATCTCCCAACCTTGAAACCCAAAATTAAACCCCTACAAAAAGGCCAAACAAAATCCTAGCCCTAAACCCTGAACCCCATGGAACTCTCAGAGGAACCCTTTAAAGGAAGGCCAAACCCTAAAACCTAAACCCTAAAAAGGAAGGCCCAAGGCCTGCACATCGTGAAGCAGGTTCTTGTATGCCCAGGGTGTGTCGGCATTTACCACGACGACGTCGGCCTTCCTGGGTTACCACGGTCTCTGACACTAGGGTTTAGGGATTCAGGGGTTTAGGGGATTGGGTTTAGGGGTTTATGGGTTTAGGGTTTAGGGGTTTAAGGGTTTAGGGGGTTAGGGTTTTGGGCTTACGGTCTCAGGTTTGAGTTGAAGGTCCCAAAGCACTAACCCCAGGGCTCCAGCTACCCAAATGGTAGGTTGTTGGGGTTAGTAACCTACTTTTTAAGTGACTGGAGCCTAAGGTAAGTCACTAAAGCCTTCAAGTGCAACCAGCCGCAAGCCGCCTAAAGTCCGAATCTCGGCAAAGAAGCTCTTCCTCTCCGCTTTTCAGGCGGATGCCCACAGCCTTGCCGCCCTCTACCAGAACCTGCAGCTCAGAAACCAAAAAGAATTTGTTTTAAATGCAGTTGTTGGGGTCTTGGGTTTGGGCTTTTGGGGTTAACCAAAAAGAGGCTTTAGTTGTGAGTCTTGGGTTTGGGGGGTTTGAGCTCTGGGGTCCTGGGTTTTGGTGGCTTGGGTTTTGAGGTTTGGGGTTTTGGGGTGTTGAGTTTCGGGGGTTGTGGGCTTCGGGTTCAGGGTTGAGGGTAATGGTGTGCCGGGTCATAAGGAGGGTGTCACGAGCGGTTAAAGCACAAGAAGTCATGGGTTTCAAAAAAGCTGATTCTACACGAATTCGACGGTGTCGTTTGAAGTATTGAGATCTTAAGGAACCAATGACCTTTAAAGGTAGTGGCCCTATCCCTTATACTCTGAATCCGTAGACGATCTTGTATATGATCCTTAAATGCCTTTAGGGATCATGTCGTCCGTAAGGGAGGCTTGGTAGGTCGGTCGGGGTCCGGGGTTAAAGTTGCTACCAGTAACCCGTGATCTGCCTCTTCTCTTCGATGACAGCATCAGGGCTCAGCACTGGAGCTTCTTGACAAGGCGTGACAAGTAATTACATGTGGGTAGTTGTCAAAATTGTGGTCCCGTTTTGGGTCCCTAGTGTAGTACGGCATCTATTATTTAGGGTACCCAAAAAGGGCCATAATTTTGACAGCCACCCATGTACAATAGACTCTAAGGCTTCTATCTTAGCAATCAACATTATGAAGTATCCCTCATAACCGTACCTAGGAGCCTTCAGGTGTGTGGGGGCGCGCAGTTTTGGAAGGACGGGGGAGAAAAATGCCGCCGCCGGGAAGCTGCTAAAAGAACTTGCCACGTATCACACAATGTGCCAGGATGCAGGGGGATCTGATTCGGAATAACTCCAAACCTACACTACATACTTATCCACAAATACACGCCTTCAACACGAAATCCGAAATGCAGAACCCTACTAAAACCCCAAGCTTCAATCTCGACGATCTGCCACGGGCCTCGTCCACCTCCGCACCCGTTTTTATCTCCACGCCGTGGCCCTCTGCGAGGGAGGCGAGCGTGTTCTTCACGCCCTGCCACCCTGCGGTTTTCGGTTGAGCGATGGTGGATAGGGGCTTCTGCAAGCTCATAAGCCTTTCCTATGCTCTGAATGTGAAGGACAAAACACAAATGTCGCAACGCAGGACAACCACACAAAAACCCTGTAAGCCTCAACCCCCAACGAAATCTGCTGAAAGGCCCCAAGAACGAAGTCCTAACACTGAAACGCCACCAAACCTGAGGTTCGAAGCCCCAACACCTTAATCCTGAAAGCAGAAAGCGCGACCCCCCAAAGCCTTAACCCTAAATTCTGAACCTTCAGCCCTACAGTCTATACCCTAAAGTCTGAACCCTAAACCCTAAAGTCTATAGCCTAAAGTCTAAACCCTAAACCCTAAAGTCTGAACCCCATACCCAGGCCCTAGGATGGAGCCTCCCACGGGGTACCACACGCCGTCCGTGAGGTCCGTGCCCGCCAGCAAGCAAAGCGCCCCCGGAGAATTGTAGGGAGTCAAGCCAACCTCTGGGTTCAGTTCAATGTTCATCGTTCAGGGTTCAGGGCTCAGGGTTTAGGGTTTAGGGTTCAGGGTTCAGGGCTCAGGGTTTAGGGCTCAGGGTTTAGGTTTTATATAGGGGAGTCAAGCCAACCTCAGGAAGTTTAGGGGTTAGGGCATAAGGCTTAGGGAATAGGGTATGTAGGGCTTAGGTTTTAGGGTAGCCAACCTCAGGAATCTAAGACGTTTATGACATGGACTGGGATTACAAACACTTATTGCTTGCTAGAAGTGGGTGTTCTGACTGCGATGGTGACGATGAGGAGGAGGACACCGAGCTTCGACCAAGGACCCAGGAGTCCTGAGCCATACACCCCAAGCCCCTGAACCCTAAACCCTGAACCATAAACCCTAAACCCTAATTTTAAACCCGACACCCGAATGCCTAAAGCCTAAGCTCCAAAGCCTGTACTCTGAAAACAAGAGAGTCACCTGCAGCGCCACCCACATCTCAAGATCAAAGCAGGAGTCAACAGAAGTTTGGTCTTCAGTCTGACCGCGCACTGACCCCCAAAGCCCACACTAACTCCTGCAGCCCTATACAAATTTCTATACAACGCCCGAAACTCGAGTCGTCTCGCCCGAAACCCTTTATCAGGAATCACATGCAGCATAAGCAGCATAGAGGGTCTGGAATGTAAAGATTGCTCGCAGTCGGTCGTCCTTGAACCATGACTTCATCAAGTCATCGACAGAGAAAAGCCTTAGCTTGCACATGCAACTGACATCTGACGCACGCAACCCTAACAAACATTGATAAGCATCCGCAGCTGTCTAAAGCGAAAGTGCTCGAGAACGAACGCCTTCAACTGCACCCATGACCTAGAACTCTTTGAGCTTTAATCCGACAGCTAAGCGCAATCCCGGATTGTAGTGCGGCGCGACTGCCCCAAGACCCCACCCACCAATTGCCTATTTTGAGATGTTTGGATCATTTCGGCTCATTTCTAGAACAGTTCATTCGGCAAGTAAGCCGTAGGAGAGCGAAATGGAAAGCTGGCTTAACATCGTTCCGGCTTTTACACGTAAGCTTCATACCTCAAAATCCTTACGGAAACATTTAAGGGAACTCTTGGAGAGGAATGTCGTACATCTGTGGGTTTGAGTCTCAGGGTCTGCGGCGAGGGACTCTCCAATAGTTTCAGGCACACCCGAAACCTGCAAGCCCTTAAGCCAACGAAAAGCCCTGAAAACCTAAACCCTACACCCGCCGAACCCCGAAGCCGTAAACTCTGAACCCGGCACCCTAAACCCTAGAAGCAGAGGAGCATGTTAATCAACGGAATGGAGAACCAGCCTGCATTCGATGCCGAGCTTCTGAATGGTAAGATTTTCCTATAACTGTGTAAAGGAGCCTTATAAGGATTACTATCTATTGAAGCCTCTATGCTACACACTCCTAAACCCTAAAGCATGATTTGCTCTGGCACTTCAAGATGTTTGAGCCCTCGGGTTTGAGGCTTGGCGGTTTAGGGCTTAAGCTTGGGGGCTTGGGAGGTATATAAGCTTTGCGATCCAGACTTTAGTGTTTATGTAAGGTTGGTGGTGTTTGAGGTTTTTGGAACCCGCAACCCTACACCCTACTTGGAGGGGCAGGGGACTTACTTAAAACCTACTTACTAAGTCACCTGCCCCCCCCAAGTAACACTAAACCCTGAGCAACCCGTCTGAGGGCTCAAAGCTTAAGGTTTTGACTTTGGGCTCAGGGCGAAAACCTCCGCGAGCCGCTACCTTCCTATCGCTATAATCTTTGGGCAGTGATAATTCGAATAGGGCTCCCTTTAAAGGAGTCTATAAGGGCAACTAAAATAAGGGCTACTAGGATTTAGTATAGGGGCCTTAATAGCTAGAATAGGGTTTTGGGGTATATTATATTATAGTTATAATAAGGAACCACCAACGTGGTATTTAATTTTTTAGGCCCCTATAGTATGGCTTGAAGGCTGTTATTACAAGCGGGCAGGGCTCTAAAGACCCACTCTCTAAGCCCCAACCTTAAACTCTGAACCTCAAAAACATGTTTAAGAAGCAGGCGCCCGAACGACGACCCCTCTAGAAGCCCCAATCAGCACCTCGAAAATCCAAACCTTACCGCCACAAACTCCCACAAGACCTAAACTCTACATCCTCGAAGCCCTAAACCCTAAACCCTAAGCCCTAAGCCCCAAACCTGAGCCTTGGCCAAGACCCCCCAGCATTCCTGAATCAAAGCCTACTCTTGCAACTGAGACGATGGATCAGCGCAGAATCTCGATACTGGTGGAAACACTGTTGATGGACAAAATCCTGCATTACCCATTATAAGGAATATACCATAATTCCCATAGTTTAGAGTCGTTAGGGTCATGCAGGATTTTGTCCATCAACAGTATCAACCTCCTGTAAAGCCTTAAAGTGGGAATCCCTGCCTGGAACCATAAAACCCTTGACTCTAGACTCAAAAGACGACTACTACGGTTGATGATATGAATCCTGCATTAAATGAAGGACCCTAAACTATGGGAATTATGGTATGTTCCTTATTATGGGTAATGCAGGATTTATATCATCAACCGTAGGACTCTCATCCTCCTGTTCGGTGGCCTTTCTCGATCATCTCAGGCAGCAAGCCTAGATTTGAGCTTCCCGAAGGGAGTTGGTGGGCTCTCGAGCCCTGAACCCAGTGGTTTAGGCCTGTTTACGGGTTTTGGGGTTCAGGGTTTAAAGGTTTAGGGTTTTTTTAAAGTGCAATGACACTCCTTAGGGTTTAGGGGTTTAGGGGTGTCTTTCGGGGTTCCGGCTCCTCCCGGTGAAGCTATCGTTTTCAATGTGAGAGATGCGAGTCAGGCACTGGAGACATACGGGCCGGCATTAGAGTAGGGTTCTGAATCTGGGAAGTACGACAAGAATCCTTAAGCCACCTACGGTACAACTCCAAGCTCGGCGGGACATAGTGACCCAATGTTTCATCTCGTACGGCTAGTCTAGTGTAGGCACTCAGTAATGTCGGTGGGGAAACCCTCAAACGCAACTTCCTCCTCGCAGTGCACGTGAAATCACCCAAAAACGTGAGTATCCTGAGCAGAAAACATCGACTGTCAAATGGGGCACTCTTCGATACTTGGTGCCAGCCGGTATCACCTTAAATGATGACTTTCATCTTGTTACCTCTCGGCCACCCGCACAAGCACAACACGGAAAGCGTTCCTTTGCATTGCAGTCATCGCATGTAACAGGCGCTGCATGATTCACGCACGGAAACTCAGCCGCAAAAAGCGTTTCATGCCAGCCTGTGACCGTCGGGCCTGTCTGGGCCTGGGAAGTAGCTGCCGATGGCACTCATGCCTGCTTGGGCAGACCGACACTTCCAAAATCGAAGGTGCGGTTAAGGGCTGAAGGGCCCTCACCGAGCGAAAATTTCGGATCGGGCGCATCCCCAATCCTCCAGCTCGGAGCACACCAGCTCATCTTTCCACCCGGCCTCCTTTTGACCTGGTTCCTTCCCGTTTGCTGTGAGCTTGAAGTCAGTGAGTCGCCTAGGAAATTGCACCATCTCGCAACCCTAAAACCTCCAAAACCATCCTATCGTCGCTGCAACAACCCACGCGCAACCTCAGAGACCCACGAAACAGCTTGCTTCCACGACCCTTAAACCAACACTCAGAGACTACTAAGCCCAAACTCCTTGCAACCACACAGATCAACCCTTAACACAGCACCAAATACCTTCATTCAACAAGAAAACTCAGCATCTTAACTACTACCCGAAACCCTAAACGCTAAATGCTAAACCCCAGAACACTAAAACTGTAAACCAAGGTCCTTACTACCCGAAGTCTCTGCGAGTAGCCGATGGGATCCACCAGCTCAGGCCAGGATTCGAACTGACGGTCGACGAAACGCTCCTTGGGAGGGTCACAACACGTCCAACAAACAGCGTCTGCGAACGCCCCTTCCTCTCACAGAAGAGGCAGAAGAAGAGTGAAACTACAACAGACACAAAAATCTTTGTTCAACATGGACATCCAAGGGAGGGTTCAGGGAGTATTATTGGTTTCGGGTTTTGGGTTTGGGGTTTGGGGTTTGTGTTTTATGATTACAGGTTTAAGGTTTGGGGGTTGGGGCTCCTTGCAAGTCCATATGTTCTACAAGGCTTCTATTGAAGAGCTCCAATAAATGGTATTCCTGCCCATTCGCTCCCCACGTATTTCGTGGCAGATGGGTGGGGTACGTAACGATCAAGGCAAAGGCTTCAAGCTTCCTCCAGGAGGATAAACCTCGTAGCCTCGTAGCACATGGGCTGGCACGCCGGCGGCGATAATCTTAAGCTTTCAGACACTTGTACCTGTAGGAGAAGCGGAAAGTGGGCACCATCGTCACCATCGACATCCGTATCATCGCGATCCTCATCAATACCTTCGAAACTATCACGGTAACCGTCGGCACCAAGGAAACACCATACTCATCGTCGCCATCATCACAGAATCAGAATCGCCGTCACTATCGTCACAGCACGGGAGTCTGAAAGCGCCCCCCGAATTGTCGCTCCGAGCGTCTAAGCCCATGTCAAGCATCCGCCGGGCCACCGACAGAAATCGGTAGTAGTTGCCTCGGCATGTGTAGGAGTCGGGATTTAGTGCCTTACGGAATTATACGGATTTTAAGGGTTTCTTCGAAGGTTTAGGGTCTCGGGTTCAGGATTTGGGGCTTAGGGTTCAGGGCAGGGTTTAGGGTCGTGGACTCAAGAGGGTTCCGTTAAAGTAAGGGCGTATTGCGGCGGCAGGTGCTTGTGCATCCAGGCTCGAACTTCTCCATTTGCTCCGTCCTCAGCAACCGTCAGACTCTTGCAATAAAACCCCCAAACTCTGAGCCCTGAAAAAATGAACTTTACATAGAGCGGTCTTGGACCAGTAACCTTAAAATTCTACATCGCGAAAAGCAAAAGATATAGGCCGCAAAGGGGTTTAAAACTACCTTGGAAAAGGACCCGTATCAGGAACTTTAAAACGCGAACCTCAATCCTAAACCCTGAACCCTCAACCCGAAACTCAAGGCACTGGCCGCCTACCTATTGTGGATGGGCAGCGTTAAAGCCCAGCGCAACCGATCACGAAAGCGCGACAAGTACGCCGGCCCGCCTCCACACAGCCATGGGACCGTAGCACCCATGTACCGGAACACAGGCCTGCCCCCTGCCCTGGCCTCGGCGGCCAACTTGGGGCACTCAGCTCTGCCGTGCCCAGGCTGCCCACAATGTTCGAAAGCATGTTCCACTTCGCAATCATCGCCGAACATATAATAACCCACGTGGAAGGCCTGGCACGTGCCCGTAAATTTGCCGTCCACATCAGGCTTCTTCGAACCAATGGTCGCACCTTGTCTGCCATCTCCCTTTATAAGGCCACACGATCACGCTGTTTGCCTGCCTTGCCTTCCCTTTCGCTGTTGGTAGGGGACGCGGGCGTGGCTGCAGCCAAAGGTGTTACGTTTTGCTTACCATGAGAATGTCATGAAGAGCCTGATCCAGGCCAACAACGCATTTAATTCGCGGCAGAGTTCAATGTCCGCCGCCTCAGCCTCGGTCAGGGAGCACGCAAGCCCCTGTCCGGGCCACCTCCCTTGGTGTACAAATCCAGGAACTTGCTGACCAGTCTCTTGGAAGAGGGCAAATGGCACCAGCCCGTCAAAGCCCAAACAATGCCGCGAGTCATTAGCAGCCATTGAACACCAAGGGACGCACATGGGTCACTTTCCAACAGATCCCACTGCCCGGAAGCTTCAGAAAGCAAGCTCAGGAAAGGTTTTCCTTCTTTTGCACGCCCTGCTTGACATTCTCGCATTGCGCTCCGGTCAACAACTGCTTCCAGGGGACGAAGCACAAGTCGCCTGGCGACTTCTAATTTTTTGCAGGGACGGCGCTGCACCTCCTTTTCGATTTGTTCCGCTTACTTCAGCAGAAAGCTTGTGCCCAAGGCAGCCAGCAGGGCGGCGTCCGACAGTTGATCAGCACCTTTGACGAGTGCAAGCTGAAGTTAGCAACGACAGCAAGTGGAGTTCCGCCAACCTGAGCAAGCAACCTGCACAGCTGCCCCAACACGAAGGTGGACGGACAAAGAGATCCCGAGGGACCAGGGATCAGATAATCGCCGTGATGCATGTCAATGGCATGTCCCCAGTCTTCGTAAATTCCTGGACATAAACGCCCGGCGGGCTCCCAGACTTGGATGTTTCGCCAACCTTGACCACGCAGCATGCCGTCCTCCACGCACACGTCTTGGACGGAGACCCTTTGAGCATTGGAGAAGCGGAGAACCGACCAAATCATAACAAGCAATAGGTCCGGTAGCCTGGTATCAGCAGAGCCGCCACGACACGCGGCATTCCCCCAGAACAACGTTTTCCCAGTTTGCCACCACCTGCAACGGCAGCGGCACGGCTTCCTTTGCCGCGGCACCACAGAGCTCTTCAGCATCACGTACAAGCCCTCGAATCCAAGGGTAGCAGCCACCAACCTCATGCTGGAAACGCAAGCCATGGCAGAGCGACCGCTGACCGACAGACCTCCGAAGAAGGCGATGAACTATAAAAGCCCAAGCCCGAGCAAGTCGCGGCGAAGAATAGAAGCTGCCTTGCTACGAAGCACCTGACAGCGAGGGAATCATCGCCTCCTCTTTCGATTTGGCAAAGAGTGGAGAGGACTGACTCTAGAAGTGGCTCCACCAAGCTGGACCAGATGTCTGCCCACCTCTGCCATTCAGCCTCCTCCGGAGCTCTTGCTGGCACCGTGGAAGTGGGCTAGCTTAGCTCGACCCTGGCTGCTGCATATGGCCTCGGGCGCTCCTTTGGCAATACCAGGACAAGATCTCCGGGCTGCACGCGCTTGCAAGTAGATGGTGGGGGCTGCGTCTTCGGGCAGGACTCCCACGCGGGCCGTTCCAAACCGCCAGACGCGCGCCAGCATCGCGCGAGCAATGGCCGGGTTAACATGTCCGGCAGCTTTTCTTTTGGGAACGTCAATTCTCCTGGCACTGTAAGCTGTGGCCGTTCCAATGGCACTGCAGCAGCACGCAAAAGAAAGCAAAACAATACAACTGGCTGCACACACAAGCTGTCGATTAGCTGCCCAGCTCGAACTACCCAACCAAGATCGGACTGCTGGACAGCTATGCACAGACAACTATACACAAGACGTGCGCGCGAGATAGAGAGGGCCGCAGTCACGTTTTAGAACAACCCAACTCCATAGCCTAAACCCGAAACCCTAAGCCCTAAGGTTTAGCGTTCAGGGTCCAAAACCGGGTTTAACGTTGGGTTGGCAAAAGCCATAAAACCTAAACCCCAGGGCCGTGGGCTTGGTTGCCAAAGGACATCTTCATGGGGTCATAATCCACATCCACATAGGTCTCGTCGCCGAAAGAGACTCGGTATGGCGGATCAACCTTGGCAGTTTCAGGGAGTTTTGGGCGTGGGCTGAGGGTGTCAAGCTTAATGCTGAGTGCTTAGGGTTTAAGGGCTGACGACAACTTGAGATAGTCTTGCGGCTTATACACAGTTGTTGCAAGAGGTTTGTTGAGGCACATCGCAAAAACGTTCACGTTGGACGACATGGATACAGACTTTGGCTCAAACACGGAGCAACAGAGCGATGTACTTCGGTGTGTCTGGACAGGGCTGCGCAAGAATTGTAGGCCATTATAAATCTGAAATCCTACACCCTAAACCCTGAAACCTAAATACTGACAGAGGGACGTTAATGATCAGAAAAGGGCGTTGTACAAGGGACTGTTAGAAACTACAGTTCATGACTATTCAAACCTCTGTATGAGTCTGCTTGCACTGCATGGGTGGCGACGCTTTTCCTGAATGCGTTGTGGCGCTCCTACACCCTATAGGCCCTAGACATAATCCTTAGAGCCTAAATCTCGAACCACAATATCCAAATCCTGATCCCGAGCCCCTGAAGCATAAACCCTAAACCCCCGAAACATAAACCCTAAAATCCTATACCCTGAAACCCTAAACCGCCCTAAACTCGACCCAAGACCAACAGAGACCTCCCCCAGGTTCTTTGCTCTTGCAACCCGAAAACACGCTTGAGGTTCAGCTCCTTCTTCATGTCGCTGCCCAGTCGTTTGTAGGCGTCCTGGCTGAGATCTCCCAAACCCCTTGAATAAGGAACATAACAGGATCCCTCGACAACTCTATTGATTCTATTGATCTGTGCGACGTGCTGCAGCTTTCTTGCCCATCAGATGCAGGCGTTAGGCTCTGGTGATTCTGAGCTTGTGTTGTTTCGGGTGTAGCTGAGAATTCGGCTGTCCTACATCGGATCCATGGGGCCCTGAACCCTAAACCCTAAACCAACAACCCCTGAACCCTAAACCCCAAACCCTAAACCTTGAACCCCAAACCCCAAACCAAACCCGGTCCGAAGAACCCTAAGTCCCGAACCCTCTTCCTATGTCTTAGATGCTAGGCTACAGGCCTCGTACTTCTTCGGGAGCAGCAGCAAAGAGGGCCCTGTGTCCCATCCTGATAGCATCTTGCAGCTTGCTTTGTAGCTTGATACGGTTTACGGTTTAGGGTTTAGGGTTTAGGGTTTAGGGTTTAGGGGCTTGAGGATTTGGGGCCTTAAGGAAGTGTGGATGTTGTGCTGTTTCCTCTTGCTGGGGGCTTGGCTTCAGGGTCCAGGGCTTGGGGTCACCTGCGAACACCACACAGCCCTGAACCCTGACCCTTTCTTTCACCCTAACTTGGTTTGCAAGGGAGGGCATGCCACGGGGTTTAACGTTCTGTACTGACACATTTGACATCAGGAGTAACCTGAATGAAAAGTGTTGCAGCCGTGGCGGATATCAATGTAGGGTTTAAGCTTACTTTAGGACCTGGGGATAATTTTTTGGTTTGCATCTAAATGCTGGGGTTTGGGGTCCAAGGTGTAGGAGCTGGGTCATCCGCCGCTCTCTTTCACTCAGGCCCACGAACGCCATAACTCTGAGGCCAGCACGGTATCCGTCGACCTTCGTCGACTGCATCGATTGACAGCGTCCGCCCACTTGGCTGTTCTTCTCATAGAGCGTCACCTCGTCAGATTTTTTGGGGCCTAGGGAACACAGCTTCGAATGACGAAACCAGAATGCAAATCGGAACTTCCCGAAATCCATGTGTTCCTGCAACCTCAGCCGAAACCCAAGTCAAATGCAGACCAAACCCTCAGTGAAAGCAGAGTACGAATCCTTTCCTGCAAGAGCCTTGAGAGGGCTTAAAGTTCAAACCGACCATGTTGTTCTTCTATCCCAAGACCTAACAGCAATACCCCCATATAGTGCCGATGTAATTAGTTGTATTGAACCAAACTCCTCGAATCCGATTCAATTTTTTAGAAATTAAGGCCCATATCTTTCCCCTCCTAAGGATGGCCTTGAGGCCCTCTTTCGCAAGCTGCCCTGCTGTGGCCAATCCCGCCACGCCACCGCCGACGACCAGCGCACGCCGCTGGCAGATTGAGAAGAGCTGAAGGTTGAGTTTAGGGTCTAGGGTTTTGGGTTTGCTTAAGTTTGAGGGGTGTGATTAGGGTTTAGGGTTGAGGGTTTAGGGTTTTTTTTGTTTAGGGTTTAGGGTTTAGGGTTTGCTTAAGGTTGAGGGGTGTGAAAGGCTTACTTGGAGGGGCAGGGGACTAGGTTATAAGTAGAGTTATAAGTACGCTAAATGGAGTTACCCCAACTATAACCCTACTTATACCCTACTTACCTGCCCCTCCAAGTAGGGTTTAAGGTTTGTTTAAGGTTCGAGGTTTGGAGCATTCATTGTGGCTAGAATTGCTGTGTGTATGGAGGTTAGGACGGCTGTGCGAAGGTTACAAACGATGCTGCGTTGGGTTCCGTGCCGTTGTCCACCGGTTGATGGGACGCAGACACAGACTTCACCTCACTTGTACAGTATTCTAGGAGAATTTAACGATAAGCTTCGGGATTAAAGATTGAAGGTTAAGTCTAAACATTAGATAAACCCCAAGACCAGCAACAACTTGAACCTTGAACCCTGAACCCCGAAACTCTAAACCCCGAAGCCCTAAATCCCCCAAACCCCAAGTCATGTACTGCGTTTTGTCCTGTGTTGCCTGCCCGTGGGCTGGCGACGCTGTGACAGACGAAGCTGGAGCCTTTACGCCGGTAGCGGCCTGCCATTCTGGGCTCAGGGTTTTGAGGGGTTTTCCAGCCTATACGGTTTGGGGTTGTCTAGCATATACGGGCTGAGGTTTAGGGCTTTGGTTTTGGGGTCTGGGGTGTGGGGCCATTATACTATACTTGGAGGCCCATCTATGAGGCTTTATGTCCCTTTGAAGGTCGCACCACCGTGTCAACAAGCACCCTATGCTGCCCCTATGAACGGATTCATGCAATCACCGCTTCGAAGCACACATCATTCAAACACTCTGGGTCTCGATACCCAAAAACTGCGGGATCTCCGGCTACCAAGCCGCCAGGAAAAGAGAAGAACGATAGGGCAAGACAACGTCGCCCTCTTTCCTTAAAGGAGAAAACCTAAGCCTTACAACCCCAAGCCCTAAACCGTATAGACCTTCACAACCCTGAAACTCTAAACCCAAACCCTCAGACTAACCCTTAAAGGAACCCTTGTCTGGCAGCCCATGCAAGTCCCTGAGAACCAGAGAACATTCTCGGAACAGCAATACTGCTAACAATCCCTTGGAGCTTAGGTTTTACATGTATGATAGCACACTGCAGCAACCATGATTGTTATAAGAAAGAGTAGTATTCTGTATTCTTTGTCACTTGTTAGTATCATGTTAACTACACTAATGTAGAAACCTGATTAAGAAACCCTGACCCTATAACCCCCAATATATTAAGACTCATATAAGGGACCCTAATAAGGGCCCAGGGCTTCTTAATCAGGTTCCTACATTCTGCCTCTATGACTGTTCATACTTCTTTTGAACACTAAACTTGGCTGACTTCTGAACCCCTCCTGAGAGTCAAATTTTTATCTCCTTATTATAGTTCATATAGGTGGTTGTCAAAATTAAGGTCCCTTTTTGGGAACCCTACGTATTAGGTGCCGTACTATGTTAAGGACCCAAAGAGGGCCCATAATTTTGACAACCACCCATATAAAATCCCAAAAAATTAAAATTAGAGTCCTAAGAGCCAACCGGTGGTTTTGGGGTTCCCTTGGCTCTTTAGCTCCTTGTTTAGGAGGGACTATCATCATCCCCGGCTCCTTAGCTCCTCCAATATCAATGGACCATAATTTGGTAACCACTAAAATCCCAAAAAATTACCTAAACCCTAAACCCTAAACCCGAAACCCTAAACCGTAATTAAAGGCTTAAGAGCCAAGGCAAAGTAACGGGCAGCGGCCTGGGCTCGTCTTGGCACAGCCGAAGCTCGTCTCTCAGAAGACCGCCTGGCAACCCTAAACCCAAAACCCTCAAACGACCTCTTCGAGCATCCTCAGCGCCCTGTAACGCATCTGACTAACCCTGCTTGCCAAGTCAAGTTGCCGTATTTGGGGATTAGCGCTTGGGCGTCTTAGCTTTTCAAGCCACTGCCTCTTCACAGCAGCCCCTGCTGCCAGAACCGTGGCGACAGCTGCCAACGCCGGCTGCGCGCCTTGTCTCAAGAATTAACCATTTGGGTTTCGGCATTTGAGGCTTAGGTTTGAGGGTTTATGTGTACTGGGGATTACAGCCTGGCGATGCTTCAGACGAGTCCGGAAAGTCTTCCGTTGGGGTGTTCGGGAATGCTTACACTGCCTTGATTCCCAAACCACAAGCGCGAACCTACTCCCTCGGCCAGCACCAGAACTACAGCAAACCTGAACCGAGAACCGTAAATCTCAACCTCGAGCCCTAAACCTAGACCGTGAATCAATGCCCTGACCCTAACAGCCTTAACTCTAAGTTTTGGGGTTCACGGGCTGAGGGAATTGAAGGCGTTTGGGGTTTACTGATTCGGGGATGTAAATTTCAGGCTTTGGGGGCTGCATTAAAACTCGAACCCAAACCTGTGAGAGCATATTGAAGCTCTGGACCCTAAACCCTAAACCTAAGCCCTAAACACTAAACCCAAAAGCCCTACGCCCTCTAAGCCATGAAATCTAAAGCCTGGACTGCCGTTCAGCAGGTTGGACAGCGCCCTCACGGCAAATCTACGGGTTTGGTTTGCGAAACTGACACTGTGGGGAGCAGGGGCGGGTGTTCTCATAACGAGGTGTCCTTTCAACACGGATCCTCCTGAATCCGAGCGCAAAGTACCCCAAATTCGACTCTCTCAACACTTCTTAAACGATCCTGCCAAGTCAGGCAAATGGGATTGGTAAGATAGGTTATGTGATGTGGATTTTGATGGCGGTTGGGTTTATAGCAAGGGGTACAGGACAGGTTGAGCTGAACCACTGTTTCATGACAAAAAACAAGATACCCTAAGGAACGGTATCCGAAATTATGCCGACTCCCACAGAACATCAGCCATCCAAAGCAGACCTCGTTCCGGCACAGGCTGCGGGGATCGGCCAGCTTTCGAGGCAGGCCTTAGGCTCGTTTAGGCCTTTCGGGGCTTTGTTGCTTAGCACGACTAGTGTTTAGGGACTGGGGCTTTAGGATTTGACCTGCCCAGATTGAAAAGGTTGCAGGGGATCAAAACTTAGGGTTCGGGATCTCCTCACACTCCACGGCTGACGCTCAAAGGCCGTCAGAGCACTAGGAGGACAATTCGTGGCGAGACTACCCTTAAAGCATATATTGCTTGTTCCTTCCCCAGCCCGCCTGAGAACAGGCAGCACAGGCTGAGGTGCCCCAACAGCGAACGCCTCACAGTCAAAGCTTGCTTGGAGAGGAGGCGCGTCACACAACTTCCAGAACAGTTCGGACAACAGTGGCAGTAGCAGAGCAAGTTAGACAGAACGCACAGCACTGCTCATTGCATATGACTCAGAAATCCCAATATCCCTCAATTGAGGAATATGCCTTACATTATACGGGCCTTAATATTAATTATGGTTTAAGTTTAAGGAATTCCCTAATTAAGGGGTATTGGGATCTCTGTGGACGATCCAGGCTTTCGCTCTCCCTCCACCCTCCCTGAACCCTCTACCCAATAAAATCCCAATGCCCCTTAATCAAGGAATATGCCTTAAACCATATAGTATTAAGGCCCCTATAATTTAAGGTATATTCCTTGACTACGGGATATTGGGATCTCTGAGTGCCCTAAAACCCTCAACTGTAGACCCGACAATAAGAAACCCGAAACCCTCAACCCTAAGCCCAAAAAGCACGCATGCCGGCTGGTTGCCTTTGACTTCAGCCGCCAGAATGAATTTTGAAGGTTCCTTAACATCACCAAATATCATATACAGTATCTTAAACCACAAAACTACTCTAATTAATAGGTCCCTGCACTGCCCATAAACGCCGAACCATGAAAGTCTAAAGCCCACACCCCCAAAGTGCCCTGAAAACCCAAGCCTTGGAACATGCCTGCACCCCAAAATTCACCCCGAAAGCCCGGGGAGCTTCCGCTGCGCTACTGTTGATGATATACATCCTGGGGTTCCCTTAAAGGGATCTATACGGGGACCTTGAAGGGGCTCCCGTAAGGAATCTATAAGAGGTTTAGGGTTTAGGGTTACAAATCTGCATTACCCATATTAAGGAACATACTATAATTTCCATAGTCTAGGGTCCTTAAGGTAATGCAGGATTCATATCATCAACCGTACCTCGTTCAGGAGAGCCATGGCGACAGAAGCGTATCACTCGCACGTGGAATATGGAAGAGGGGGACTTCGAAGAGAGTAGGGTAAACCCTCATGAAGGGTACCATGCTACTTGAGGTCTTTCTCTTGTGATCTTGCGTGGTAGTCATGCCAGCTCGTCGTCGTCGACAGTTCAAGTAAAGCGAGGCTAATCATGCTGAATTTCGGCTAGCAAAATTGCAAAAATGGCCTGAATGACCAGATTCTGTAAGATGAGTAGCAGCCGAGGCGAACAGCATTTCTCAACAATCAAGATCCAGCCTGCCTCAGCGCATTCGTGCTCTAGCAGGTCCGCAACCGTTCTTTTCTGCAGATGCTGCAGTACCGACGACAGTCCTTGTAATCGCGCTTACCAGGATTTGCAAGTTCATAATACCATCAGTACTTGTTCCTACCGGAAATGCCGACTATGACTAAGCCACACACACACACACACTAAACCCCTAAACCTTCATACCCTAAACCCTAAACCTGCTTTGGCAACCGGCTTTTTCTCCATGCGCTGGCGCGATTCTTCCGCTCTAGGCAGAACGAGAAACTGAGCTCTGAACCATAGGACGAATGCAGTTCGACACTTAGGGCTCAGGGGCTTGAGGGTTTACCTTAACCCCAAATAACCTACCTTTTTCAGGACTCATATAAAGAAATCAGCACAAGGGACCCAAAAAGGTAGGATTCTTAGGGGTTAAGGCAGGCTTTGAGGTTGAAGGATGCCTAGGACGTCCTAGGGCCCAGGGCTCCGAAACGGAGATCCTAGACCTAAGAAAACACCAAATTCTAAACCCTAAACCACGAACCCTACACCCCAAACCCTGAACCCCGAACCCTGAACCCTCAACCACTAAACCCTAAGCCACTAAACCACAAACCCTGAACCCTAAACCCTGAACCACAAACCCTAATCTTAAACCCTCAACCACAAAACCCTAAACCCTAAATTCCTAGACGGATCCTCTCGGTACAGGTGCGAGAGGCTGCGGTGCTAGATGCGGTCTCGAAACCTGAGCTCAAAGGAAGGACCCAGACCACCAGAAAGATCTAGAAAGCGGATCCACCGTTTTGGGACCCTATACTACCAAGGGTACTTGACAAGAACCCCCCATTAAGGGATCTACTTTCTAGAACCTCCCGGTGGTCTGGGGATCTAGTTTTGAGCAACCTCGCAGGGAGTTGGGGTTTCGGGCTGTGAGCTTCCTTATAGGCCCAGAGTTTTAGGTACCCTAGAAGGAGTTACCCCAAAGTAGAACCCTACTTACAACCGACTTACTAAATCCCCTGGGCCTCCAAGTCTGTAGACCCTAAACCCTAGAGCCTACACCCTATAAAGCCTACGCCCTATAATGCCTACACCCGAAAGCCTACTTGGAGGGTCGGGGGACTTAGTAACTGGTTATTTTGAGGACTTCTAAGTACCATAACCCCAAATAGGGTCCCTTTTAGGGTACTTATAAGTCTACCTACTACCTACTTACTAAGTCCCCCGACCCTCCAAGTACACCCTAAAGCCTGAACCCTTAGGTCTTTGGGTTCAGGGCTGGGGCCGAGGCTTTGGGCTTGAAAGGGTTTTCGGGTTCAGGGATTGAATTTTTAGGGGTTTAGGGTTTAGGGTTCAAATTTCAGTTTAGGGGTTTAGGGTTTAGGGTTCAAATTTCCAGGGTTTAGGGTTTCGGGTTTAAGGTTTAGGGCTTAAGTTGGTGCGAGGGTTTAAGTGGGGCTTTCTTGGGCGAACTGCACACGCCCTTCACGCCCCTAAGACCATGGCTCCTGCATATAATTAAGCCCAAAGCCAAAAGGCCCCAAACTCTGGAACCCCGAAGGGCCCCAAAAAATTAGAATAGTGTTGGGGGAATACTATAACTCAGGCATATTGAGGAACTCCAAAGGACAGCCTTGGTAATTATTCACGCTCCTATTTTCTTCGACCCTCCACTTGCAACCCTGAACCGTAGCCGTAAGCTTGCCTAGGGGTTTAGGGTTTAGGATTCCGAGTCCCAAGCCTTGCATGCCTTGACCTAGCGAAAAAACCCCCTTGGGCCCAGAAGCGGGTTCGGTATCCGGCGAATCTCCGCCTTGAGCAACACCTCCGGAGCCAGAGCCCTTTTATTCTTGTTTGGCAGAGAAATCGAGGGGCCTTAACAATTAGACTTAGCGTTTGAACAAGTACATTACTTAAACTATAATAAACTGTCAAAAGGAACGCTAAGGTAGTTTAAAGGAATAGTATGACCAATTATTCAGGCTTCTACATTGGGCTGTTCAGTCGATCGTTGACGGCGGGTTCAGGCATTGGGGATGTGGAGGTGCTTGGAGGGGCAGGGGACTTAGTAAGTAGGTTATAAGTAGAGTCATAAGTACCCTAGATGGAGTTACCCCAATATTAGCCCTACTTATAACCTACTTACTAAGTCCCCTGCCCGTCCAAGTAGACCCTAAACCCTAAACCCCATAGATCCCTTTAAGGAACCCTATAGACCCCTTTACGGAGCCCTTTCAGACTTTGTTTAGTCAGGGGCCTTCATAATTACCCGTAATTACTATTTTGGGGGTTCATTATTATGGTTGCAGTATAATGGGCCCCAAAATCCTACTCTAATTATTGAGGCCCCTAGACTAGCTACGAAGAGGTCTGGCCCGCGAACAGGCTCCACGCGCTCCTGCGCCTGTGTCAGTGTGACCTTGGGTGCCAAAACGGAATAACAAGCCCAGACCTTCAGCTGCTTTTCCCTCGCCTTGTCTTGCCGCCTTGTTCGTCTCTCAAGGCTTCCATGGCAAGCCATGCTCCACGCTTCGGCCGTGCAAACACTTGAATCTGACGGCGGACTCGCGCGTTGGTCGTGAGGGACTCGAGATTGTCGAGGTTGATGGCTTAGCCATCATCATCCAAGTACCACCACATCAGAAGGACATGTGGACACGCTGAAGCCTTCCACACTCCGTCGCCTCACTGGGTCATCGGCCGTAGCACTGGCTTCAAGACGACTCGAAATCTATGCAACATACGGCAACTACCCTTACGACTCTTACGACCAAGCCAGCAGGATCCTGCTAAACGGGATGACGAAGACAATAGCCTTCGTCGTCCTATGCCACATCTGCCTTAGGTTTGGGACCTCCTCAACTGTGGTTCCAACTTCCATTAATTAACTTCAAAATGTTGGGGGCTAACCCTTATAACCCTTGCCTCTAAACTCTAAACCCTTACGACACCGTTGTACGACCTGTACCGAGCCCTTCTAATCCACGATAACCCTCGATGACAAAACAAACGTAAACCCGTAAACCCCAAACTGTCAACCCTAGCCCTAAACCCAAACCGTCAACCCTAAACCCTAAACCCTCAACCTTAAGCCCTAGCCCTAAACCCTAAACCGTCAACCCCTAAACCCTAAACCCTCAACCTTAAGCCCCAAAACCCTCAACCTTAAACCCTAAACCGGAAGCCCGTTAAATCCTCAATCCCGAACCCTTCGGCACCGCAGCGTGGCTCGGAGCGAAGCGGAGTCGCCGAAAGCGCAGGTCCACGCCAGCCAAGTCCACGTGGAGCGTCGCAAAGAAACCTTTTGGGGCTCGCAAGCTAGGGTTCTTTCAAGGGCTCCTATTATGGGAGCCCCTGAAACACGGCCTCAAGACAGCCTTTTGCAGAAACTCCTTTCATAAAAACCTCGAAGACACCCTTGAAACCTTAAAACGAACCCTAGTCCAGGTTCCCCAGCAACCCCTAAATCACAAGCGTATCCTTTTTTCTCATAACGACGGCAAAAGGGCATTACTGGGGAACCCTAAAAGCCCAAAAACACCTAAACCCTGTAAGCCCGAAAAGCCCTATAAACCCTAAACCCTCCACCTTAAGTAAGCGTCTTGCCGAAGAAGGGCCTCCAAGAGGCCTTTATCAAGGAAGATGCCTTACATCATATTGGGATCCTACTATAGTTTAAAGCACATTCCTTAAACCCCCCATTTTTCAAAACCTTATCGATCCCTTATAGATCCCCTAAAGGAACCCCTGGGGATCCCTTAAAGGAAGCCTAGGGAGTCTCTGGGAAGAAGGGCCTCCAAGAGCCTCCTCCAGGGGCTCCAGCGCTTCTTCGGGCTGCGCCCCAAGAGCCTCCCCCAGGCTCCGTGCTTCTTTGGGATCGGTAGGGGTTCCTTTAGAGGGATCTATAAGGGTTTAGGGTTTAGGGTTCGGGGATTTCGGAGTTGGGGTTTCGAGTTTAGGGTTTAGAGTTTTAGGGTTTTAGGGATCAGGGTTTGGGGTCTAGGGTTTAGGGATTGTTTCCTTTAAAGCGTTCCTTAAATGGATCTATAGGGATTCGGATTTCGGGGTTTCGGGGTTTGGGTTCAGGGTTTAGGTTCTCGGGTTCAATGGTTACGGGATTTGGGGGTGTTGCGTTTCGCTGAGCTTAGGGTTTAGGGTTCCAGCCTTTGTGTAGACCCCCCGGAGCTTCCTACCTTCCGGAATATCCTAGGGGCATTGAGCCAACCTTTGGGATTATACAGGGGTTATAGTACCCCAAAGAGGCGTTGAAGGTTGCCTACTCTGCTACTAAGTATACCCATAGGCCCCGTAGTAGTCCTTTTTGGGGTTTACATTTAGAATCCTAGAAGGTAGTCCCAAAAAAGAACTACTTTGGGGGCTATGGGTAAACCCTAAACCCCAAACCCTAAACCCCAAACCCTAAACCCTGAACCCCAAACCCTAAACCCTGAACCCTGAGCCCTGACCCCTAAGTCTTCCAATCCTAGACTCCTCAATGAGCCCTAATGTGGAATTTATAGGGACCCTCCTTTTTTGTACGTTTTGGTAGGTTACTTGAAGGCTCATGGGACTTAGTAAGTAAGGCTGTAAGTCGGTTATAATTAGGATAACCCCACTTAGGGTGACATATAACCCCAATTATAACCTACTTACTAAGTCCCATGGTCCTCTAAATTCCTCTAAGTAGACCCTAAACCCTAAACCCTAAACCTTATAGATCCCTTTAAGGAACCCTATAGATCCCTTTAAAGAGCCCTTTAAGAACCCCTAAGTAAGGTAGAGATGAGCACAAAGTGTGCCTCGGCTTCAAGTTTCGAGGCATGGGCTTTGGGGAAACTGGGGAGTTGGGGTTTAGGGCTTAGGGTTGGGGGTTTAGGGTTTAGGGTTTTGGGCTGGGGGTTTTAGGGCTTAGGGTTTAGGGCTTTATGGTTTTGGGCTACAGGGTTTAGAATTTAGGGTTTAAGGTTGGGGGTTTAGGGGTTTAGGGGGTTTTGCGGTTTTGGGTTTTGGGTTTTGAGCTTAGGGCTTGGGGTTTAGGGTTTAGGGGCTTGTGCGAGCCTCGCTGAGACCTTGGATTCATTGGATATAGGAGGGTTAATCAGAAACTCAGGGTTCGTTTAAGGCTTCCTTCAGTGCCATATGGGTTGAGGGTTAGAAATGAAGGTGAAACAAAGCCGTGTTCACTTGCGTGAAGGATGCTTCTTGTTGGGACTCTGCCAAGTGCTGCAAAAGAAATACTCTCGATCATGCGCAAACCAAGCGCTTCAAACCAGTGGGGGGGAGGCCTGTACTTTGAGGGGCAGGGGACTTAGTAAGTAGGTTATAAGTAGAGTTATAAGTACCCTAAATGGAGTTACCCCAATGCTAATCCTACTTTTCCCTAGTTACTAAGTCCCCTGCCCCTCCAAGTAAACAAAACCCCCCAGCTCCATTTTGTCGGCGTGACCCATTGGACAGCTAGAGTGGCATGCTCGGCGTGTGCTGCACTTGTGTGCTCACATATCATGCGCTGCAGCGATGCTTTTGTAGCCATGTCCATACAAAACTTGAAGTCCTCATCCTCAACCCAACCTGCAGCCACTTTCTGAAGGAAATGCACAAGAAATTCATATTCAGGAACCGTACAAGTATTGGTTGCTCGAGTTCAGGTAGCTGTATAAACAAATCGATCGTCGTTGCCCGAAGGCCTCCAACTTCACGGTGGGCACGGTGCCTCCCTGGCCGCAGCGAAGCACCCCGCGCAGTCCATGCCCAGCGTGGCGTCCTCATCAGCACCGCGAACCCGAAACCGCAACCGGAAAACGTTAAACCCAAAACCTGCAATCCGAAACCAGCAACCCTAAGCTCGAAACTACTTGGAGGGGCAGGGGACTTAGTAAGTAAGGTTATAAGTATAGGTTATAATTAGGATAACCCCACTTAGGGGACTTATAACCCCAATTATAACCTACTTACCAAGTCCCATGGTCCTCTAAGTAGGGCGCGCAGGGAGTCTGGAGTAGAAGATCTCGGGCCGCAGGGTGGAAGGCTTATTCGGGCTTAGGTTTTCGGTTTAGGGTTTAGGGTTTAGGGTTTAGGGTTTAGGGGTGGCGTAGACACACAAACCTAAACAACCCCGGAAACCCTGAACCTTTACTCTTATAAAAACCCCTATGCAGCCCGTATGGTACCTTTACAGAAACCCGACAAAGCGCTGTAAGGCTGAGAGTCTGGCTTCTGAGCAGCTCCGCATAAGGAATTTTGGAGTTCAGGGTTTACGGTTTAGGGCTTAGCGAGTTGCGGGTTTAGGGGTTGCTGTTTGGGAGGGTTCGGGCCCGTGAAGGATACTATCAGATTGAGGGATCCAGGATCTAGGGTTGAGTCATAGAAGTGAGGGTTCAAGATCCAAGGTTTAGTGCTCAGGCCCCAAACCCCAAAACCCCTGAACCCCGTAACCCCTACACCCTGAACCCTAGACCCCAAACAGGGTGCAAGATGTCCTTCGAAGGTCAGCGTCTCAGCCGCAGCATCAATGATGACCTGGGAGGTTCACGCGAAGCCTGAACTCGACTCGAAGCACAAGGCCAGTATAGATTAGGCTCAAAAACCTCGCGGCGAGGTGGTGGCGGTCGTGGTCGTGACCGTGGTCGTGGTCGTCGGCGTCGTCGTCATCGTCGTCGTCATTGTCGTCGTCATAGTCGTCACAATAGCAATAGCAGTAGCAGGAGTAGGAGCAGTAGGAGTGGTAATGGTAGTGCTAGTGGTCGTGGTAGCGGTAGTGGTAGTGGTGGTGGTCGCGGTCGTTGTCGTGGTCGTGGTAGTGACAGTGGCATTGGCAGTGGCACTGGCAGTAGTAGTAGTAGTAGTAGTAGTAGGAGGAGGAGTAGTAGTAGTAGTAGTAGTGGTGGTAGTAGTAGTAGTAGCAAGAGGAGGAGGAGGAGGAGGAGTGCAATTCTGGGTTATGAGAGTGGTTGTTCTGGTTACTGACATGGCCAGTGTCAGGAGGTAGTGGTATGACTGGCTTAGTCTATGGCCGTTGTTGCGTCTTCATACATCATGTCAAATTGCACATTACCCAGCCCTAGCCCCTCACCCGAAACTCTAAAGCTTACATTCATGCATGAAAGGCGCACCCTCCGAGGAGAAGATAAACTTTGCACCTTCCACTGTCGGAGAGGCGGCTGCCACCTTGCAGGCTCACTGTTTGTGAAGTGGATTCAAGATCTAGGGTCTAGGAGTCTAGGCTTTAGGGTTCAGTTCAGGGGTCAGTTCATTGTCTGTGTCTTCCAGGCTGTATTTAGCTTGCTCCACCAACCCCCTTCCTACACGCTTCTTGAGCTTACCTCCCAGCACTTCCCAGAAACTAAAGGCAAATTGGCAGAGGAAGGAAACAGGGGTTGGGTATTTCAAACCCTAAACCGCAAACCCTCTATAGAAATCCTGAACCCTTTAGTAAAACTCAACATCCCAATCCTCTACGAGAACTCTGAACCAACTGGAAGACTAAAACCCTCTACTAGAACCCTAAACCCTACACCAAAACCCAGAAACCTTGAACCCAAAGCCCTGAAAGGATCCCTTCTGGGCTCTTCGTTAAGGGCTCCTTCAAGAAAGGCTCCTTGACGGGCTCTCCTTTCAGGACTCCTTTACGGGCCTCCGGGCTTTAGAGTAGGGTTTAGGGTTTAGGTTTGTTTGTAAGGTTTTCGGGGCTCTGCCTTTCAGGGAGCTCGAGCCCGAAACTCCTCAGGAACCCATCGATGCTTGGGGTTCCCTGAGGTCTTGGCTTGCAGAGCTAAGGGGGCTTATATTGTGAGTTTCCGAAGATTAGGGGTACCAGGGTCTCGGGCTTGGGGTTTAGAGGGTTTCGGGTTGGGGTGCGGATGCAGCATACGTTGCCAACTGACAAACGCAGCAATGGTTTAGCCCCCTTCCCAGTGTAGCCGATCCCGAACGCGAGGCTGCAGTGAGGGATTGCGCTGAACCGCCAGCACTCGCAGGTTCACGTGCAAGTCATGCGTGCACTGCTTCTGAATCTTCTCCCTTTCTCGCCAATGTACATGGCGGTCGACCCTGTACCGCTGCAGCAGTGAGTTCCTGGAGGCAGCAGCCAAGTTCACGACCTTCAGGGAAGGACCAGTGCTGCCTTCGTCCATATCGTGCTTTCTCTCAGCATGCATCGAAGTGGTTTGCTCGTGCCGGTTTAGGCTTGAGGCCTAGACTTTAGGGTTTACGGTATAGGGTTTAGGTTGCTGGAGACCACTCCGGATCTGGTGCTCTAGTGCTTAGGGTTTAGAGTCTAGTAAAAGTAGTATAGGGTTTTGGGCTTAGTGTAGGGTTTAGGGTTTAGTTCGGGGTTTAGGGCGTAGGGCTAAACTTCGGGAGCAGTTAGGGTGGAGGGCGCCCGCCCACCATTACGCAGAGTACTCACGGTCCCTGCTATGACTGCTGGTCACAATAGCCTTTACAGCAAAACCTGCTTTAAAGCTCAGGGTAGCTGTCCTCCAAGTACTGTTTTGGATCCACGCTGGATCGAGTGCCTACATCAGTGCCCCCGAGGTGGTTAAGACTGAAGCATAGAAGCATATATCACATCGCTAGTTGTATAGGAATCTTACAGCAAACACTGTTGAAATCCTGCTAAGTATCGAAGATCCACATGGAGAAGTAAGCTTGCCGGCAAGGTAGACCTAGATATATATGCAACCATCACTGTCTTCTTGCCTCCGTTGTAAGCATCACAGCGACAGTGCCTGTCGACTTCGTGGGACCCAGGACAGAGTCCCTCTGTACTGGTACTTAGAGGATCATGGGACTTAGTAAGTAGGTTATAATTGGGGTTATAAGCCCTCTAAGTGGGGTTATCCTAATTATTACCTACTTATAACCCTACTTACTAAGTCCCATGAGCCTTCCAGTACTGGGAGTTTTCATAGCCAACTTTGCCCTTGAGAACGTCAACCCGCTTTGAGCCCAAGAGCCCTGAACCCCAACCCTAACCCAAGACCTCAAACCCCAGCACCCTGGGCCTTGAACCCCAAACGCCCCGAACTCAAAATCCTAGACCCTTAGGGTTTAGGGTTTAGGGTTTAGGGTTTAGGGTTTAGGGTTTAGAATTTCTGAAGGAGCACCGCGCCTGTGGATAAAGTAGAAACTGGCCGAAGTCGGCCTGCGCAAGCTACAGCCAAAGACTCGCCGATCCCTACACTCAATATGGGAGTCTCTGAAAATTAGAAGTACCTTATTTTGGGTCCAGATAATAAGGATCCTACTATTTAGGGTACTATATTAAGGTCCCCTATTTTCGGAAGCCCCCATATTGAAACCCTGAACCCTACATTATTAAACCTCAAAGGCAGAGTGACTAAACGCAAATCCGACAAACCTTTCGCTCCCTTGTTCAGGATTTAACTTAAGTTGGGTACCCCGGTAGCCCGACTATTTGCTTTAGTTCTCTGCTATGACAACTTCAATGAAGTTCGTTGACAAGAAGACTATGCTGAAACTTAAAATCGCGCAGATTCTGGCTCCTATACGAGGCACCCGTCATTTCGTGCCCTCTACACCTTGCTTCCACCCAGCGCCCAGAGACACTGACCCGCACTGGGCAAACAATGCGTGGAGCCTGGACTCTTCTACAGTATAGAGGGTGGTCGAATACGCCCAAACTAGATGGGTATACCATGACCGTCTCCAACAAGACAAATGGAAGAGCCCCCCCGAAAATCCTAAAGGAAAGCTGGGTTGACAAAAGATGTGGGTGGTTGTCAAAATTATGGTCCCGTTCTGGGTAGCCTAAATATTAGGTGCCTTATCATAATGAGGACCCAAAAAGGGACCCTAATATTGGCAACCACCCATGGGCTTCTACCTACACACCCTGCTGTGGGATGGTACCGCTGGCCTAGCAGAGACTGTCGGCCACTACGCGCCAAGATGCCCTAAAACCCGAAAACACCGAAACCCCCCGAACCCCAAACCCCTAAGTAGCCTTATGCTACCTTTGCAGAATCCTTCAAGGGGACCCTTAAACAAAACCTGAAAGGCCTTCAAGAAACCCTTGAATAAACCGAACCCCTGACGGAGCTTCTTAAAAAAAAAAAACCTTCAAGGAATCCAATTACAGAAGCCCTCAAAGAATGCCCCAAGAAGCGGCTCAGAGTCCCCCTTCAAGAAACCCCCCTTCGAAGGGACCCTTAACCCGGAAGCCTTGCCTCATTGAAAATCGCTTCAGCCCAGCCATCCGCCACAGCCGTGAGAGTGACTCGGCCCTGGACGCTGAACCCTAAACCCTACCTTCCTAATTCCTATTCCAAAAAAACCAAAAGTTCTGAACCCTAAACCCTACCACAGACGTTCTTAAATTTCCTTAAACCCCAAATTCCTAAACCCTAAAGCCTAGATTCCCAAATCCTGGCTCAACCCCTAAACCCCAAAACCATCCTAAGCCCTAAGTTCCCAAACACTAAACCCCAAACCCCTAAACCCTAAACCCAAAATTCCTAAGCCGTAAACCCAAAACTCCTAAACCATAAACCCTAAAGCCTTAACCCTAAACCACTAAACCCCAAACCCGCGAGAATGACTCCGCCCTGGGTGCTTTTCGCAGGAGTTTACCGACTCGGAAATGGAACGCTCCGCTCTCTTCCTTTAAGAGCTCCTGCTCCTTTAAGGGCTCGTTTTAAGGGCTCCTTCAAGGGTTCCTTTAAGGGTTCCTTTAAGGGTTCCTTTAAGGGCTCCTTTAAGGGTTCCTTTAAGGCTTTCATTAAAGGCTTCCTTGAGGGTCCCTCTTAAGGGTTCCCTTAAGGGATCCTTTCAGGGTTCTACAATGATGAAGGCTCTACAAAGGTTTAGGGTTAAGGAATTTAAATTTAGCGATAATTAGCAGGGATCTATCGTAAATAATCGGGTGTCCATAAGGTGGTATCTTAAATTATTGTTCCTTAACAAGAACCCATGGGGTTGTATGCGGCTTAATATGTGTTGTATGACGGTAGTATAGGCGTCAGTTTGAGAATTAGTTTGAAGGATCATACGCAAACGATTCGGTAGGGATCGTGGCTGATCATTGGACTGAGAAACTCGAGCTTATTCGCTCCGAAACCCCGAGTCCTCACCTGAACTGCCGCAGCAAACGTTTCAAGCCGGGGTGTTGGACAACCCTAAACCCTAAACCCTAAACCCTAAACCCTAAACCCTAAACCCTTTTCCAGACGTCCAAACCCCAAACCCCCACAGCCCCAAAGCCTCAACCCAAAACCGGAACCCTACACCCTAAACCCCCTAACCCTAAAACCCTAAACCCCCAAACCCTAAACCCCTAAACCCCTAAACCCCTAAACCCCCAAACCCTAAACCCCTAAATCGGCCAACGCGCCTGGAGCAGCTCCCCGTAGTCCAGGGCAGCTCCCTCCAGCGCCGCCACAACCAAGCGCCGGGCGCGCAAGCCGAGCTTCGTGCACCAGTCTTTGCCTTTCTTGGGGGTTTAGGGGGTTTAGGGGTTTTAGGGGGTTTAGTGGGTTTTAGGGGGTTTAGGATTTAAGGTTTTTTGGGGTTAAAGGGTTTAGGGTTTAAGGGTCTGTAGTCTTTGCCTTTCGAACTTAGAGTTGGTGCGGTGCTAGGGTAGTTAATGCAGCTTCATTGCTGGCAGGAATCCTCTCACCAAAGGACCGGGTGACAGGCAAAGCGATTCGGCGATGTCAACTCTGCTGCTAAACCCTGAAACCCTCGAGCCCCAAAGCCCTAAAACCCGTAATTCTGAACTCTGACGCCCCGAAACCCCAAACACTCAGCACCAGCCTAAGGGGTTTAGGGTTTATGATTTGAGGTTTAGGGCTTAAGGTTTAGGGTTTAGGGCTCACGGTCTAAGCCCCAAACCAACCGAACCTCGCGATCTTAGCACTCGAAGCGCAACAGAACGCGTCCCCCTGTAGGAGCTCACTTGGGCGTCCCCATGTGGCGAGTTGCCAGATAACTGCACGGCCTGAAGGTTTAGTGCTGTTGGGGTCTGGGGTTTAGGGCCTAGGATTTCGGGTTTTGCGCTTAGTGTCGAGGATATGGGATTCCGGGTTTGTATTAGGGACTTTGGGAGTTTCCGAAAATAGGGGACCCTAATATAGCACCCTAAATAGTAGGATCCCTAATAAGGTACCCCTCATTTTCGGAAACCCCCATATAGGGTTTAGGGATGGTTAGGGCTTTGGGGGTTAGGGTTGGGCTGGGAGCCTTTGGAGATTCCTCTAAAGGGAACCCTATTATACGGTTGATGGTATAAATCCTGCACTACCGTAAGGACCATAAACTATGGGAATTATGGTACATCCCTTATTATGGGTCATGCAGGATTTATATCATCAACCGTAGTACCCCAAAGTAAGTACTCTTAATGGACTCCGTGAGGGAGCCGTTATAGCTCCCTTTCAGGGGCTCCCTGAAAGGGGTTCCGTCAAAGATTCCTTACAAGCTTCCTTTAAAATCTTCCTTGAAGGGAGCGTTTATAGGCTCCCGTAAGGGCTCCTTGAACCTGGACCCCCCAACTAACCTAGTCTATTTTGCCCCAAGTACCTTTCATCAGAGATCAGAAGGGCTCTATTCAAGGGCCCTTGGGGGGTCCCAGAAGGGTTCCTTTAAGACCTTGTTAAAGGTTCCTTAAAAGGGAGCCCTATTATAGTGCCCTATAGTAGTACCCTCTAAGTTCCCTTACAGGGCTCCTTGAAGGGCTTCTTTAAGGCCTTCTGGGTTCACTTCAGGGAAATGCGGCGAAGTTCCTCCAATGGTGGCTGGGTGGACCAGGGCTTGGAGCTTCTGCTTGGGGCTTTGGAGCTTTTAGGGTTTTAGGGGGGCTTAGGGGTTTAGGGTTTGCCGGTTTCGGGACTCAGATCCCTGCGCGTCCCGGTGCGTGCTTAGACCGACAGCCACAAGCCCTGGACCTTGAAGCCTAAAGGCCTTAATAATTAGACTGGAGTTCTGCGGCCCATTATACTACAATTATAGCAAGGAGCCCCCAACATAGTATAGCCAATTAGAGTATTCAGGCTTCTACATTAGCGTTTTGATTCGGGGTCAAGCTGTGATGGGAGGCCAAAAGGGTTGTTTAAGATTCTTGGGGTAGGGATTCCTTCATATGAACCCTATTATGGGAACCCTAATCCCTACTAAACCCCCATAGGCTAAAACCCCTTGTTGGCCTCCTACATTATAGAACCCCTTATAGTATACCCTTATAGATCCCTTATAGTACCCTTATAGTAGTCCTTATAGGAACCCTTTAAAGGGAACCCCTTGTTGGCCTCCTATGAAACTGGATTCTGGCCTGGACCCTTCCACGCAGCAGGGTCTCCCAGCGGCTTCCCACGGCCACGACGACAGCATCGTAGTTTCGCAGGAGCCTCGGTTTGAGTTTCGAACATTAGGGCTTAGTGTTGAGGGCTTAAGGTTTTTTGAGCACCTTGTCTATGGAGGGTTTAAGCTTTCGGGGTTTAGGGTTACGTTCTCGCTTGAGTTTCGAGTAAGTTGTGTATGGGTTCGGATTTAGTATGCATCTTTAGGGGTGCACTGTTTAGGTATGGATCTCTAGGATGTAAGGTTCGGTTACGGTACGGGTCTTCAGGGTGCTGGGTTCAGGCGGGGGTCTTGAAGGTTTAGGGCTGGGTTTTACGGTGGAGGCATTTCTCTTGAGTCATTGAGGGCTGAGGGCTGGGGTTTGGCTGCTTAGGGAAGATTGAGAAGCAGCAGGGTTGAGAGGTCGTGGTTTTTGGGTTTAGGGCTTAGGTTTCAGGGTTTGGGGTTTACGGGTTTTGGGTTGGGGTTCAGTGTTTGGCACCGAAGCGCTTTTTTCTGTGGCTTTTTTGTTTAGCGGAGTGTTCGCAAACGTTCGCAAGCGCCCGCGTGTGACGCGAGGTGTGTCGCGCAGCGCTGTTAAGGGGAAACTCCACAGAACGCGCGTCCGGACTGCGTTCTGAATCCGCAAAGCTAAGGGGTCAAGGCCGCTATGATTAGCATAAACTTGTATTTGTATAGATCGTAGCATATGCAACCCTCAGGAAAAGTACTCCTAATCATCCCGGCCCGCATGTTACGCCGTAAACCCTTGTTATATACCCACACATACATACCTACATACGTACATACATCCATAAATACATCCATATATATATATATATATATATCTCTCTCTCTCTCTCTCTCTCACCTGTATCGAACCCCTGTTAAACCCTTGCAGAACCCTTATGGACCTCTCATACGGCCCTTATCGACCCTTGCTAGAATGGACCCAAGCCTGCCAAAATGGCGGGGACAAGATTAGGGCCCCAAAAAGGCACATAAGCAAAAATTAGGATAGGGATATCCAATATAAAGCCCCTTATAATGAAGGCCAATCAGGTACGGATATCCCTCTAAAACGCTTATGCTTATGTGCTTTGTGGGGTCCCTAAAGATGAGCAACCACGGTTAGGGCGGTCGGACTGGCGAACTTTGGGGTCCGCTGGGGCGTTGTCGCATTGGGGGGTTCGGGTGCTGGGGCGTTAGGATTTAAGGCTCCTTGCAACCCCAAAGACGTAAGCGAACTCGGCTCAGCGGATCCCGAAGAGCCCCTCCAAATAGATTAAAATCTGGCGCCCTAAACATGAATCTTCCATGCACCTGCCTTACAACAACCCTCGAATCCGAAAGCCCCCACCGCTGATGGCGGCCGAAAGCGCAGCCGCACGCCGGCTTCCAGCACTTTCGAGACGACGGCACCGCTGCCGTCTTGTGGGGATGGAGGCATCTTCACCTGAGGGTTTAGGTTTTCGGGACCCTACACCCTACAGGAGCAGCTTGGGACTTTCGGGCTGTAGGGCTTCAATTGCTTGAGGGCTTCAGGTTAGGGTGTGAGGTTTCAGGGCTATTGTTGGTGTTTTAGCGTTTATGGTCTTGGGGGCTTCCTGGCAAGGGCTTTACGAGTTCTTGTTTTAAGGGTTTGGTTTAAGGCTTAGGGCTTGAGGGCTTTCGGAGTCAGGGATTAAAGCTTTCATGATCTGAATAATTACAGTTTAAAATATGGAGTCCTCAGGCCAGTCTGTTCACAGGAATTCAATGTAGCTTGCGCTGGTAGTTGCGAATGAGGCTATGGGAACAAATAATTGCAGCGGCATTTACATTCATATGGGTGGCTGTCAAAATTATGACATCTATCTGCGCTCAGCTCACAACTTTTCGGCCAGAATGGCTATGCCATGCTTGTCTGTATGAACTCTCACGGCAATAGAGTGCCCCTCCAGGGCACATCGCCTATGGAATGAGAGTATGTTCACATTCTCCATCCCCCGGTGTTTGGAGGGGACGGAGGGCGGTGACACAAAGGAATCTCGAGAGGAAGTGCGACGGCCGATATACGGCTGAAGCTCGACTCACGTCAATCATCTACACAAGTAGTGCTCATGACATCTATCTGCGCTCAGCTCACAACTTTTCGGCCAGAATGGCTATGCCATGCTTGTCTGTATGAACTCTCACGGCAATAGAGTGCCCCTCCAGGGCACATCGCCTATGGAATGAGAGTATGTTCACATTCTCCATCCCTTATCCGCTTGCGATCTGTGAATAAAGCGTTAGAACCAGCTCTGCGAGAAGCCGAGCAAACTCATACGGATAAGCATATGCATCTGTATGACGTTCACGCGCACGGGCAGCGATGAGGTGCTTCTTCCCCCGGCGGGAGCAGATGCCAAATTGCCCACTGCAGCATCGTTCAATGGAGCTAAGATCGATGCCCCCATAAAGAAGACCCGTGCGCATTCGATAAGGCATGCCAAACTGACAGAAATCGAGAATCCCAAACCGCGAAGTATTTCGAAACTGTGCAAAGTCCGGGTGACTCCAACAAGGGCTTGACCAGGGATTCTCAAAAGCCCAAGGAACTGAGCCCAGGCGGCAGAGCTCAATGAGCGAGGCAGAAAACTTCAGCATTTCAGCCTGGGCTCGGAGACGACGGCGAGAACCACCAGACCTGCTGTTGTTATCATGTGGGTGGAGGATTTCTTCACGAGGCTTGCATGCATGGCTGTAAATAACTCGTGGCATGGATATCCAGACAAAGAAAACCCGCCCAGATCTGATGATATTGTATAAATGACAACGAGTTTTAGCAACCAGTACATCATCATTAGGGTCGTTTTTGATGTCAATCGGAAAGCATGGGATGCCCAACTCTTTGACAGCATTCGTAAGCCGACCCGCACCAGAGAAAACCTCGATCATCATTTTTCCTTTCCAGGTTCGCCACGAGCTAGTCTCTAGGGAAGCTGAGCCGGCAGGGTTCCGTCCAGGACTTTCGGCATGCGACGCACACTCTGCTGGCAGAACTCGAGATGGGACTCTTTCAGGTCCCCTAGCAGCTTCTGAAGCTTCCCAGTCTTTGCATAGCGACGTAAGCTGGAATCGGTCTTCCAACGACCCCGCTCGCGAACCGCGATATGGTCGCGTAGCTTGGAGTTGAGATCCTCGCTTGCCCCACCGTGTCGGAGCTGATATGGATGAAGGTGCTTCAATCCAAGGGCCTCCGCAGCGCTCTGGAACTGCTTCCGAAACTCCTCGGGGGTGAACTGGAACACTGGGGAGTCCTCTGTCACCTTTTTGGCCAGGCGACACAGGTGAGGCCCTAGCCAGCTCTCCGTAGTGGGATTGTCCAGCAGGATCGTGTTGTCGAAAGTCCCCGTCTTGTCGGGCTTCCCCATGTCCTGATCCCGAATGATCACAGCAAACTTCTGATACTGCTTCCCGGAACGTGGGATTGGCCGAACAACATGCTTTGCTCTCACGTCGAAGCTCTCCCCTGGTCGGAGGTAGAGGTCGAAGTCCACAAGCACTTTGATCGCCATGTCCTTGAACCCCCTCGCAATCATCACCGTCGCGATTCCGAACGCCACTGGCTTGGGCAATGGGAGGCGACTGGTAGGCGGCCTCATCTTCCTCCACCCTTTCAGAGCCCTCCGAGCTCGCAAGAGCCCCTTCTTGGAGTGAACAAACCGAAACTCTACCGCAGCCAAGGTTTTCTCTCCTACAGCCAGTGAGCTCCCCTCCAAGAACATGTCGTCGAAGAAGTCCGCCAGCATCCAATCGAGGTCCTCCGGGGGCCACTCCTTCACGTGCTCCTTGCAGAAGTCCTTGAATGAGATGAGGTACTTCGAGTACTGGTTTCGCTGGGCTTCGCTGACGCTCGCCATCTCGAGAAGGGTCATGTCGTGATCTGCCTCCTCCTCGGATTTCGCGGCCTTCTCCTTTCCAAGTTTGACCATTCTCTCCACAGCGGTCGTTGGAGTTGATGAGAGTCGCCCCTTCACGACCCTCGACGAAGTCTTCGCTCGTACCTTCTTGCCCCTGCCAGCTGGAATCGCAGCGATGGTCCCCGTGAGCACACGAGAGTCCCGCTTCACCTCCGCAATGGCCATCCTCGGACGCCCGATCCCCGGCCGCGAGCTTGAGACCAGCGGAGCCTTCGTGGTGATCACTCTGCGCTCCGTCTCCGACCGATTTCGCTTGAGACCTCCTCCATTCTGCAACGGCTTCCCAGTCAGAACTCGGACTGAGACTCCCACGTGAGGGACCATCCGCTGGATTCACCTCCGATGGCACCCAACGAGGCCTGACGAAGAAGTCTGCCGCAAGGGATATGGCGGCAGCTTGTTGGCAAATCCGTAGAATGTGAAAATCATGCGCTCTACCCTTGCTGATAGCCATTCCCAATGCTAGGTTGTCGACGAGGATGAGCACTTTCTTACCCCTCTGCTTACTGTCACGGGCCAGGCGCCTGAGAGCCAGAATGAAGCATCTCCCTTCTTTAAGACTGATATGCTCGGACGTATCCTTCCACATGCCAACCTTTGCGGTATGCCACCTTTCTGGCTGCATGAGTGCAAACGGGACCTCGACAAAATCATCATTTGCAACATACTCTTGATTGACACCATGTGGCGGCCCCGGCCTCTCCGCGGTGAAAAGGTCGGAGGCGATGTCATAGTTGAAAGCCCGCTCTCGGGGCCTCCACTCACTGACCGGCAATCTCTTAAACCTCCAACGCTCATTCCATCGGCCAATCTCCTTGACTTGGTCAACCCCCAACTCGCACTCGACGATACCAAAACCCTCAGGTGAAGCATCCGCGCAAGTAACCCGGGTTGTCCATTCACGTCGAAGGTTACCTTCTAATAGGGGAGCGATGGAGATAAATAAACGGCACTCCCGAGCTGCACTATTCCAAAGCCGACAGCGTCCGAGGCCTTTGGTGCTGAAGTCGTAGAGCGACCGGAAGATGGACATTCCACACCTGTTCAGAACACATAAAACCATAGCGTGCCCCAGTAGACGTCGCACAAAATCAGAGCTCACTGGTCTCCGCAAGCAGTGCTCAAACCCGATTATGATCTTCCACAGGCGCGAGGGCGTAGATCTAACAACCCCAGCGCCTCCATCAACAATGCCTCCCAAGGTAGGCATAACGTCACTGGCCGGCACCTCTTCATGAACTTGAAAACCCCTTTCTCGAAGACACTCGCAGACCTTTAGACGATCTCGCTCAACCAATCTGCTATCTTTGCCGATCACGTGCACATTGTCGCAGTATGGCATGGCCAAGCAAGACCCCGGCCTGAAATCCCGCGCAGGATGTGCATCCAACACGAGGTCACGATGATCAAGGGAAAGTGCCTGCATGGTGATCTGTTCGTGGAGCTGCTGAACAATGTAAAATGACCAGGAAAACCCCATCGGCAGAACACTCAGACACGGAGAAACGATGCTATGCTCATCCAGGTCATTGACCCATTCTGGTAAGTCCTGGAACAAGGCCCTGGCTTCCTTCACCGTGAGGTCTTCCTTGAAACAGAAGAAAGATTCCATGCCAGCCGGGAGCCTGCAGCCATAAAAACAATCAGCAATGTCCGCACCCCCGATGTACATGGTCTCTCCCTGCCCAATCTCGATCTCACATAGCGCAGCAAGTGACCCCAACTCCGTCAACGGAGGTGGCCTAAATTGAAAGTTGACTTGCCTGCAATCGAGAATGAGCCTTTGGCGGAGGAAGCGCTGACCGTCTATCACCTTTGGCTTTTTGCTGACAGTGAAGGCTCCTACTCTACCACGGGCACGGTGGGAAAACGTCAGGATGCCGCAACCCTGCAAACGTAGCAGGAACTCACGATAAAAACCCCGATGTCTCATCTTCGGGTCATTGTATGGCTTCATACGAGCGGCCTCTTCAGCCACCGATGCCCATGCTGAAGCATCTTGCAAGAGGTACCCCTCGAAGTCCCGAATCATCGCTCCGACGTCACCAGTCATCTCACTCTCAAGATCAACCCCTGTCCCCTTCAAGGTGGGCAGGGACAACAAACTCAAATCCATTGGCACTGTATCGCCAACACCGGGTTCAGCCTCATAGCTGCCCCCGGGAACCTGAAGCGCCTGAAGGGCTTCTCGGTAGCATGCACCGGCAGGCGGCGGACCCAATGACCCCAATCTATGAATCAGGCTCCTGAGCACATCCCCCTGTCCTTGAGGCAGGTCGGAGATGCTAATGCATGTTTTTGCAGAATGAATCTCCTTCCCAAAGAAAAGTGAATTCAAGGCGACCACGGCCGAATTGAGTCGCCTCTGCAAGTTCCGTCTTCTATGAATTCGCTGCTTTACACTGCGGCTGAGACACTTCTTGGCAACCTCCGGCTCCTCCACCAACAAAGGCAGCGGAAAGAGATCCCTCTGACGTTCATCCCGAGGGCGAGGAGGCTGAAAAACCTTGCTCTGCCGCGACATGGGTGGATAAAGAACGGGACAAGGACCACCCAACCTTGCCCCTGACGATCTCACTTGCTTCCTGTCCCAGGGGTGTCCTTGTTGCCCCCGGGATTTTTCGTCTTTCCTTTGCCAATGCCCTTCTCTTCACGAAGTTTGCGCCGCTCCTTAAGGATCTGGCCTTCTTGATGGAGCTTATCTGCCACATGTTTTGTTAGCGCCGGGACCACTATGGCACCCCCAGGCCGATATCCTGTCTGGAGGAAGTGGTCTGCGGCCTCGTACGAGGGAGCTCCTGGAGAGTACGAGTGCGCCTCTGCAATCAGTTGCTTCCTTCGGACCGCCAACTCGAAACATGCCAAATTTGTAATGTTGAGACCATCAAATTTCACAGCAAGGTCAATCATTCGACTCAGACAGTCGTCCTCGTATATGGACCGATCCCCGCTGGGGATTCCGCTCTGTGACACCCACATGGTATGTTGGGCAAGACACGACTCAGCCACATTGGAGACGGCCTTCAGGTAGTCGCAACATGTTCTCGGAACGAATGGAAAATCATCAAAGTCTACGACCCTCATCTCCTGAACCGATTCCTTGAAAGCCCTGCTTCTCTCGCCATTGGCCCCATATTTGATGGAGAGGGTCCGGGCATCATCCCCGGCGGCTCTGTCGTCACCATACATGGCCTCAGCCTCGCGGCACCTGTGTATTCGAGCTTCGCAGAAAGACTCCAAGTCGGCATCCGCAACCCTCGAAACCAGGACATTGTGGACTGTTCCTGATAGATCCGGAACGCGATGAATTGCCCAATCCCCGTCCCTAGCAGCTCCTGAGCTCAACTCGACCTCTTCGCCGATTTTATGCCCTGGAACGTATTCGGCCAGCACCCAGCGCCGGCCATCAGCGATCTCTGGAGCTCCGACCATGGGTCCGGGATCGGTATCCCCCACACCCGCTGCAGCAGCCCCTCGACGAAGAATCTCGGCCTCGGCCTCAGCTCGGCCTTGTTGAGTGTAATTCGCCAGATCAGCTGCCGACATAGGGGCAAACGCATACACATTTCTTGCTGAGACTCCTCGAGGAATACCACCATGGGGTCCAGGTAGCATAAAACGTGTAAAATCGGGGTTGCTTTCATGAAGAATCTCTGTGAACACATCGTAGTCGGGGGTGAGCACTACATACTCGTGACTGCCATGATCCACGACAGCCAAAACCACCCTGGTGTGCACGCATATTGGTCGCTCGCCATAATCTACATAGACAACATCTCCAGTGTGGAACATCATCCTAGCCAAGAAGCTGGAGGCCTGTGGGAGATCCGTACACGCCCTTGGATTTGCCCTTTACTTGCAGCGCCAGCTCCTGCCGCCCTTCTCCACTCTTCACACTGACCTTGAAAATAAGAGCAGCTTGAGTTGAGATGACAATCAGAAGAGCCAATGCTATCCCTCCAGTAACAAGGGTACTCCAGGACGTTCCACTGGATTGTCCAACACTCGCACACGCACAATGGCAGTTGCAGGCAGGAGCCTCAGGGCTACCGGTAGTGAACTCGCGAAGCAACCAGCCCCCGACAAACGCCACTGCAGCAATTACACAGTGACCCGTGTCCATGGCAAAGCTACCCTGACACAAAGGAATCTCGAGAGGAAGTGCGACGGCCGATATACGGCTGAAGCTCGACTCACGTCAATCATCTACACAAGTAGTGCTCATGGACCCTTGTGGGTACCCTAAATATTAGGTGCCGCGTTATAAAGGACCCAAAAAAGGAGCCTAATTTTGACAACCACCCATGTGTACGCCTCATAGTAGTACTCTCCATCGACCAACCATGGGATCGACACTTTTTGAAGCTGTCTGTTCATAGTCTAAGGGTTGTAACCGAGGGCTTCAGCAGGCCTCATCCAAATTGGTTCAATGACTCAAGGCCCTGGCAGTATGCCTGGGGGAACGATAAGAAGGAGCTTTTCTTTTCGTGAATGTCCTTATGATGAAGAGCCTGGTATTTTGCACTTATTTTCAAAGGTCCTGCTTATACAAAAACCCTACATCCCTGTTCACTTCGCCCTGAACCTAGACGTATATACGCCTCTCTAGGATCATTTGTGCGTAAACCCAAAGCCCAAATCCCCCAAACACACCAGCCCGAAAAACACATCCAAACCCGGAAAAAAAAACAAAGAGTCCCATGCCTTTAAAGTGGGAAGCCACATTACACCACACATGGCCCCTAAACGCCACACCCTGAACCCTCAGCTTGACCTGATTTGAAGACATTCGGGTATGAGGCTTGCCGGGTCTCCAGAAGACCCGTTGTTAAATCTTATAACACCTTACCAGATCGTGCACAGCCCCTAAATTCTGCCTTTGCCAAACCGTGGAAACCCTTTATAGCACATGACATGAATGTGAAAATCAAACCCTATAGAAATAGATAAATGCCCCCCGCCTCCTCCAACTCCAGGAAACCGAGGCGTTCGTCCACCACCCGCCGTGGCGCCAAAGCTCGCACCGGGCGTGGGCGCTCCACCGGGCGCAGGGCGCCGAAGAGCGACGAAGGCCTCGCGATCTGGATTTTTTGGGGTTTAGGGTAGGGGGTATGGGGCCTCCGGGTTCAAGCCCAGACTCAAAACCTTTCGTCTCCAAACCCTACATTGTATGATGTAGATAGTAGTAAATAGTATTGTGTATTGCTTCTGTGTATGTCTGCGAACATCTGTCAATCTTCTACTGCTATGTCAGACCTGAACGGAGAGTCACCTTGGGCTGATCGCTCAGCACACAGTTTTCCAGGCTTGAGCCAACAATGATAAATTACGGAGTGAAACACACGTCCTACATCCTATGAAAACTCTCACATCGAATCACCCCTCCGAGGCCAGGTGATGGGTCTTCCATCCAGTGGCCTCTCGCTCTCAACGTCTTCTACTCCTGTTGTTGGCCACACGAGGTGCGTTTGTTTCTCCTTGTGCTCTCTTTTCGTAATGCTTCATACCTTTGTGCAGATGCTTCGCTTAACCCACGCAAGCTTTGTGAGGTGCGCCTGCGTGACACTTTCTTCGGGGCAAGCTCGACGCCTGTGTTGGCGTCGATCACTGGCCCCTTGGGTTTAGGGTTTAGGGTTTAGTGTTGACATAGAGTTGGCTCGCCTTTGGAGAGCATCCCTCGGAGTTCGGATCTTCGTGAGGATCTGAATCCCCAACAGAACCTAGGTATCTGAGTTCACCATCCAGCACAAGTTGTGCCTTGCTCCCCTTTGCGATGGCTTGAACTTCGGTTGATGACATAAACCCTGCATTACCTTAAGGACCCTAAACTATGGGAATCATGGTATGTTCCTCAGTGTGGGTAATGCAGGATTTACATCATCAGCCGTAGCTTCGGTGCCTTGCGAAAGGCCCCGGCCGAAACACAAGGGTTTAGGATTTTGGGTTTAAGGGGTTTCGAGGTGCAGAGTTTAGGTTCAGGGGTTAGGGGTTTTACGGGGTTTAGGGGGTGTCCCGGCCTGATCCCACCTAGAAACACCGCCGCGGCGAGGAGGAGTGGAAAGCTCCGCGCCATGGCTTCCGAGACTTTGGGGACGGGGAGGTTCCTTTAGGGTTCAGGCTTCAGGGTTTAAGGTTTAGAGTTTAGGATTCAGGGTTTAGAGTTTAGGGTTTAGGGTCTAGAGTTTAGGGCTTCGGATGTTGAGGGTTCAAGGTTTAGGGATTCCTCGAAAGGTTCCTTTGAGGATTTATTGAAGGGCTCTACAAGGGTAGCCAGAAAAGATTCAGAGTTGAGGGTTCAAAGTTTGAGATTCGGGTTGCTTGTTTGTCTTAGGTCGTGAAATACTTCTCGTGCTTTCAGGCTTTCTAGGAGTACCCTACGCGAACTTCTAGTCACCAGTTCCTGTCGTATCCTTACCTCCAGAAACCTGCCTTCTGCCAGGCACCAGGTTTGAGCCATCCTACTGATATTGGCAGCGAGGGACATGAACTATGGACTTAATTGCCCGGCGAAGTCAGGGTTTAGGGCTTAGGATTTTGCAAAACCTCTGCTAAGCGTTCGGCTGTGATTTGTCCAAGAGGTATGCGTGCAGACCTGAAACAAACGGCCTCTGTGAGGAAACTTGCCTTGTGTAAGACATAAGGAGCCCTAGATGGTTTAAGGTATACGCTAAAGCCTAAGTATTCTATTGCTTAATGCAGGGGGGAAGTGGGGCTCTCAGCAAGGCTAGAGATCCCTGAATTGGTCGAGCTCGTGTGCTCTGGCGGTTTCGGCAAGGGCAAACAAACCTAACCCCACGCCAATCCGAGAAGCTACAGCAGTTACAGTCAATATCAGGGGTGACACGGCCTTATCAAGCAGGAACCGACCGCAAGAAGCTCAAGCAGACCCAAATGCATCGACATTCCGACTGGATGATCCATCTTTCAGCACTTCGATGCACATGTCAAATTAATCGATCGCTGGATTTGTCTCATCCATTACTGCTAGCAGTAGGAGTTTGCTAACCAGTGGTTTTGGGGGTTACCCTTATCCATACCCTAAGAGCCCCAAAGGTCCATGTACCCAAACAGTATACACTGTGGCCCAAAGTACCGCATACAGGGCGAGGCCAGCAAGAAGCTTTTCTGTCCAGGGCAGGTGTGTCGTTGTCTTGCGGAAATCTACAGCTGAGGCCTCTCAGCATAGGACTGTCCCAGAAACGGTTTAGGGTTTAGGGTTGATGAAGCCAAAACAGTATCTGATGTTGAAACAAGGACTGTAAGCTTGACTCAACACTGAGACCAGTCTCTGTCAATGTGCGCGGCTGAGCACAGAAAGTATGCAGGCCCCTGGGACATCAAAGCGTCAGCACCTGTCTCAGTGCCAAAATAGCTCGATTTAGCATTCAGAAAGTCCATACCTACCAAAACTGTAAACGCCACGTAAATGTTGCTTCTGATGCAATGCCATGCATCAAGATAGTGGCACAGAACCCTGATCCAACACTCTCGCACATGTCGTTCAAACTAGCACGAAGCTAGGACGGCACCGTGTAGGCACAGCTTGCCGCATGTAATCATGTCTGTCTACATTCGAGATCTTTGACCCTGCGCCCGCACCGCACCCCGAACGTTCAGCCCTGTAACCCACATCACAAATGCCAAACCTCAAAACCCAAACTACAACCCCCGATCGCCAACCCTCAAACTCCGAAACCAAGCTCTAAACACTCTAACGTGGATGATTAGACAAGGGGTTTTGGTAGAACTGTCATAGGGAAGCCTAAGGAACAACATCTATATATGGCCGTACTTCTAGCACTCGCTGGCATCCCAGGGCCACTGCCTATCTACGATGCAGCGCTGGGCAACTTCCCCGCAGAGTGCTGCGGGAACTGGGCCGGCATGCTAGGATAAAGGTCATCATTACCTGGTTATTATAAGGACCCTGAACTATGGCAATTATGGTATATTCCATATTATGGGTAATGCAGGATTTACATCATAAACCGTAAGGCCGTAAGGTTTAGGGTTGAGCAGGTTTGGGCACAATCAGACGATGGGACTTTATGGGGTTTAGGGTACTATGAGACAATTGTTTTGGGGGGGTGGCTGTCTGGAAACCCCCTCTATAGAAGACTGTTGGAAAACAGGCTTCTTGGAAGCTTCTTGGTTTTTTGTTGTAACCTCCTACAGGGCTGTTGTTGTACCATCTTGTAGGCTTGTTACAGGAATATAGGGTTTTGTACAGTTGTTCTAGCATTTTGGGGTGTATCAGGTTGCTCCAAGACTGGGGTTTTGTCACAGTTTTAGGAGTCCCGCTTGGGTGCCCTGCTCCCTTGCTGAACAAAGCAGTCGAGATTAATATAGGGGCCTAAGTAATTACCAATCCTATTTTGGGGGCTCTTTCTTATGATTATGAAACAGTGGGCCCCGAAACCCTATTCTAGTTATTAAGGTCCCTAGATTACGAACTGAATTCTTGCTTCACTGGCTTTACAAGTGGTGGGTCAGGAGACTTCGTAATTGGCCAGCTAGTGGGCTTTATCAAACATGTGTGTCTATGTATAGGCAAAGGTATAGATCTAGGTCTAGGCCTAGGTGCAGGTGTAAGTGTAGGTGTAGGTATCGGTATAGGTAGGTAACGGTCGAGGTAGAGGTATATGTATATGTATAACTCTACATATGTGCACAGGGAGAGAGAGAAAGAGAGAGAGAGAGAAGGAGAAGAGAGAGACGGGGAGACACGGAGAGACACAAAGCGGCAGAGAGACAGACAGACGCGAAGACAGAGAAACAGAGGGAGCGGAAGAAAGAAAGAAAGAACGACAAAGAAAGAGAAAGAAAGAAAAAGAAAGAAAGAGAAAGAAACAGAGAGAAAGAGAGAAAGAGAGAGAAAGAGAGAGAGCGAGAGAACGAGAGTAAAAGAGAAAGAAAGAGAGAGAAAGGGAGAGAAAGAGAAAGAAAGAGAGAAAGCCAGAGAAGGAAAAAAGGGAGGAAGAAAGCGAGGCAGGATCTGCGAATTGTAAAACTTGCCTCTTAACCTACAACAACAACGCGCTTGACGAGACACAACTCCCGATTATCAATCCGAGACATCTACCATAAAACCGTTGCGATCTGATCTTGAAATATGAACTCTTTACATTGGGTACTGCCGCCACCCTGCAACAGTCTATATTCGGGGCCATGGTCTGATACATACATGTGTATATATATGTGTATATATATATCTATATATATATATATATAACTACAACAAAAAAAGTATCAAATGTTATAGAGCGTGCGGACAGTACCCAACCTATACAGCACGCCTTGGACATGCTAGGTTAGCACAGGAACCTGCATAGCTGGTATGGGGTTCCGGCGGTATGCTCTGCTAGCCCTGTGTGGGTTTTGAAGACCCAAAAACTACGAAAATACCGGTGGCTTCTCTTTTAAGCATGATGTGATAAGTTTCTGGATTCTCGGCAACGGTTCACTAAGTTGTGCGAGCTGTTACTGGTCCAGCTTCTCAATGGGGCTTAGTCTGTTGGGACTCAGGGTTTAGGGTTTCGGGGTTAAGGCATCTCGCAGAACGGCCGGGGCACGTGTAGGGTCTTCACCAACAACCGGTCCAGCATTGCTCGTGCTGCAGGCACAACAATCAGGGAAAGAAATTGGAGCTTCCAGCTGAATCCAGATTTGGGGGGAAACGGGCTGGATGGTGTGTGGAACCTCTAAAAAAAAGCTGATCGTATAAACTCTAAACCCTGAATGATCTTGAATTTAGCTTCAAAGGCACCCAAAGCTTTGGCTTGTGTCTAGGGATTAGAGTTTAAGATTAAGAGTTCGGGTCAAAGGTTTCTGTCGATACTTTGGGAAGGGAAAGCTTACCCAATTACAACCCTACTCATAACCTACTTACTAAGTCCCCTGCCCCTCCAAGTAAAGAGTCCTGTTGAAAGTGCTTTCTGCCACTTTCAGATCAGCGCAACCGGCTTTGGGGTTGAGGGTTTCGTGGGCCCCAAAGCAGGGTTCCTGCCTTGTATAGACACCGCGTTTGGTGCTAAGTACTTACCAGGATATTCCTACAGTTCCTTTATTAATATCGTTCTAATATCAAGCACCCCGTGCACCCAGTTCGAATCATGAGGCCGCTGTCGTGCAGCCTTCGGGGGCAGGCGGCATGTTGAATACTTAAAAACGCTGAAGCTCCAAAAAGCTCGTCTTGTGGCAGGGGGGGCGTTTCACCGACCCCACCAGCTTCCGCGCGGGGCGAATTCCGTGGAGACATCGCGGCGGCCGGCCCCGAGAGTATCTCAACAAACGGCTTCGAGATTAAAGCTTAGGGGCGAAAGGATCCCTAAGAGACCTTAAGGCTCAAAAAGCATATAGGGATTCATAGTGTAGGTCCCCTACTTTCTCAAGGCAGATGATGCAAAGTCCGAATGATATGCAAGTGATGCAAGTGATGACACCTCTCTAATCAAGGGCCTAGTGTAAGAGCCCCACCTGATGTTGGTACCTAGAGGTTAAGGTCCAAACCCAACAACTTGCAATCCGAAATCAACCCACCTACAAAACTTACATCATTGACACCTGCAATCCGTTACTCTGCAGTCCTACAAAGCAACCTGGCTCAGGACAAACGCCAAGCAGTTCCGGCTTAAGGTCTGGCGCGTATAGGATTTTAGGTGTAGCGTATCTAGGGTATAGGGTTTTCGAAGTTGCATGAATGCAAATAGTCACACTGGTTATGACAGCAGCAGGACGAACACCAACAGGAATGGCCATAGCAATGGCGATATGACGACGGCAATCACATTCACAATGACCGTTGCCGCTAAGGGTTTTCTTAAGGCCTTTAGAACCAGCAAATACATGAAACCACAAGTGCTGGCAGATGCCGAAGCCCTGCATCGACGGCCCCGGTGGCCCAAACAAGCCGTAAAGTTGGAAGTTTGGGTTTAAGGCTTTGGAAGATGACTATCCTCTATCCTCATGTCCTTGCACTGCAGCATGGGGTATCCCGGGCCGAAGCATGCTTATCATCCCAATGTCCAAAATTTCTGCGGTTCTCAACAACTCCGCCTACAGGCACAGAGAAGATCCGAATCCTTCAACAAGGGCCCGCTCACGCGACATCTCCTACATGTGTCGGTTTCGTCCAGAGTGCATCGACCTTCGGGGTGTCTGGGCTTTATTCAATTGTGGGAGTTTCCGAAAATTGAGGGGGAACCTTACTTTGGGGTCCTTATATCTGTTTGGGGTACTATATTAAGGCTTGACAAGGTCGCAATTTCTAGGGCTCTAGGCAGAGTTCAAGATGCGGGTTTGGGGCTTCATAGGTATTGACCGTAGCCTGTGCCGTGTGCGGTTCAGGGCATATGGCTAGCTGAAGTAACCCAAGTGACTATTGCAGAATTTTACCTAACGTCCGGTAGTCTCAATGGATGCAGAGGATTGCGCGCAGTTCGGGGCAGAATCGAACATTCAGAGCTGAGGGTTTTGGGATTTTGCGCGTGGATTGCTTGAGATCAACCCCGAGTTACAAGCACATGTCCCTAAACCCTAAACCCTAGCTTAGATTCCAGGTTTCTGAAGCCTGGCGGTTCTTCCTGAGCGTTTAGAAAAGACTGCACTGCTCGAGGGATCAGAACGCAAGAACAGGAATCGAAGGATCCCAACTGCCTTCACAACATAGAGGCCTTAATGATTAGAACAGGGTTTTGAGGTCCACTATATCAAAGCAATGGTAAGGAACCCTAAGGAATAATACTGGTGAGTCTTTTTGACCCCGACATTACTAGTAGAACCTGCAATACAGAGCATGCTCAGTCAGCGAACTCTATGTACACATCATACGAAAAAGCCTATGTATGACGTAGACCCTGGGAACCCTGCAAGCAGAACTTGGTAAGCCCCGTGCCTTCAACTCTTCGATGCTTCTAAGGGGTCAGAAATAGTCGGTGCTTCAGGGCTAAGGGGACTTGGCAAGTGGTGTTACAACTGGGGTTTGAAGTTCCCCAAGTGGGGTCAGACTATTCATACCCGCACTTTTAACTTATAACCTTACTAAGCCCCCTCGGCCTTTAAGCTATAAGTTCTATAACCCCAACTAGGACCCCAATTAACCCACCTACAACTCTGGTTATTACCTACTTATTAAGTCCTCCGACCCTCCAAGCACTCCTAAACCCCTACATCCTTGTAGATCCCTTGAAGCTCAAGGGAACCTTCATGACCCTACTTACTCAGCCCCTGAGGCTTTTCAGAATAGTTTCAGAGTCTCTTTGGGAGTTTGAGGGTGGAGGGCTCCTCGCCAAAAAGAAACCCCCAAAGCCGCCAAGTCAGATCTCCCAAGTAAACCCCGAAACTCTACGTGGAGGGGCAGGGGACTTAGTAAGTAGGTCATAAGTAGAGTTAGAAGTACCCCAAATGGAGTTACCCCAATCATAGCCCACGTATACCCTACTTACTAAGTCCCCTGCCCCTCCAAGTAGATCCTAAACCCTAAACCCCATAGACCCCTTTAAGGAGCCCTATAGACCCCTTTAAGGACCCCCTCTAAGAACCCTTGCTAAGTCCCCAGCCCCTCCAAGGAGCATCTCCCAGTCCCCAAGCCACAAAATCCTGAAACCCCAAAAGCCTAGGGCTTAGGGTTTAGGGTTTAGGGACTTAGAACTCCCAAAGCCCAAAACCTCAGAGCCCTAAAAACCCTCAAAACCTTGCAATAAGAAATCCAAGCCTGAAAGCACCCCAACCACCAACCGAGAAGCTTCAAAGATAAGACAAGCACACCTGAAAAAAGGATCACAAAAATCTAAACCCTAAACGCTTAAACCCCAAACCCCTCAAACCCTAAACCCTTAAACCCCAAACCCCTTAAACCCTTTAAACCCTAAACCCCCTTGAACCCGAAGCCCTACAAACCAAAAAAGCCAACGCCGACCAGTCCCCGGCCTGGCGTTCCGAGGGGGTCCTCAGAGCTCAGAGCCTTCGGACGACGAGGGCTCAGGGCAGGGGATGCCCTAACGGTTCTTAAAGGGGCTCCTTAAAGGGATCTATAGGGTTCCTTAAAGGGATCTATGGGGTTTAGTGTTTAGGATCTACTTGGATCTAGGGCTTAAGGTTTATAGATTTTTGGTTTAGGATGGTTTTGGGTTTTAAGGTTTGGGTGTTTTGAGGTTTTGGGGTTTGATGAATTAGGGTTTTAAGGCTTTGGGTTTGGGGTTCAAAGGTTTTGGGTTTGAGGATTTAGGGCTTTAAGGTTTTGGGTTTGTGGTTTCGGTGTTCGGGTTTAGGTTTTAGGGTTTTGGGTTTTGTGTAGGATGTTGGATTTATGGGTTTAGAAGATACATGGAATTGTGGAGGGAGTGAACAAATCCCGCGTGAATGTACCCCAATTCTCGTCGTAAGGGTAAGCAGCAGTAATAAGTAGGGTAGCGTTGGAGTTTGCCGATCATGCCGATCAGACGTGTAAGGCAAACAGGGTTTCAGAGTGTAGGCTTCAGGCTTCGAATTTAGGGTTTGGAGTTGCAGGATATGGGGTTTAAATTTCTTCGGGGTTGTAGGCTTGTGGTTGGGAGCCCGGGCTAACGGAAACGCGCTGTGTGGGACTTTAGGGTGCTTACAATAGCGGCTGCAGCATGCTCTACGGTTTGAAAGGAAAACTGGATCTGGCCTAGGGAATGCGCGACTCTCGGCATTTACGGTGCACCCTGCAACTCCGTCCTTAAACCCCTGCTTCCCACGGACCAAAACCCGACAGCCTCAACAAGCCTAAATTCAGACCTCAGCTCTGAACGGACAGCAATCGCTGGTCAAGCGACTCGGACTCGGAGGAGCAGGGGACCTAGTAAGTAGGCTATAAGTAGAGTTCTAAGTACCCTAAATGGAGTTACCCCAAGTATAACCCTACTTTTAACCTACTTACTAGGCCCCCTGCCCCTCAAAATAGGGTGGTGTTGGGCTTACGGTTGTCCTGTTTCTAATGACATGCTGATGGTGTTTTGCTTTTGCAGCGGGTCAGGCCCAAAGCTTGGATCCACAGGCCAGCGCCGCAAATCCTGAACTTAAACCAGAAGCCTACAAAACACTCACACCTTCTCAACAGAAAGCCAACATGAAAGGAAACATACCCAAAGCACTCAAACCCTAAACCCTCGATCCTTGAACGTCCACCCCCGGCCTCAGGAGAAGAGCGCGTTTACTGAGTCTGGCCGTTCTGCAGCTTCTTGAATTGATCTGAGGCCACGCCGTGATTGGATTTCATGTAAGGGCCTTATTGATGAGAATAGGGTTTTGGAGCCCATGGTGCTATAAATAAATACAATAAGTTTAGGCCCCTATATTAGGGTTTAGGGCTGTCTGACTCCATGAAGCCCTAGATTACCAGATGCTCCCGCTTAAGAGCATTGGCCGTGGGGTTGAGGGGGCTTTCTATCTCGGCTGAAGACTTTTATGTAGCATTTCAACATACTTGGAGGGGCAGGGGACTTAGTAAGTAGGTTATAAGTAGAGCTATAAGTACCCTAAATGGAGTTTCCCCAATTCTAACCCTGCTTAAACCTACTTACTAAGCCCCCTGCCCCTTCAACATAAGCCTGACTGCAAAAGATGGCGACAAAAAGCGTAGGAGGGGCGCTTCCTGTACCCAACCAACCATTTAGGGTTTAGGGTTTAGGGTTTAGGTCTTTTAGGGTTTAGGGTTTCATCATCATCATCATCATCATCGTCAGTCTCATGGTTCTCATCATTCGCATCATCCTCATCGTTCTCATCATTCTCACCACCTTCATCATATTCATCATGTTCATCATTTTCATCATGTTCATCATCATCGGAATCACCACAACCAAAAGAAAAGCTTGTTCTTCGGGAATGGCGAGTTCACCGTCCTCAAACCAACAATAAGCCGATAACCCATAACCTTAAACCGGCTTAAAACCGTTTGCAGAAAAAAAAAAAAAAGGGCTTGGGGCTTAGCGTGTACGGCTTGTGGCTAATATCTTAAACCGATAAGCCCCAAGCGACAAGGAAAACGGCAAAGACACCAAGCAACGGAACATCAACAAACCGTCAGCTTATTTACATGTAGCGGAACCATAAACCCTAAACCCCTAGACCTAAACTGGAGCCATGAACCCTCAAGCCTAAACCCTGCACTGGAAGCCTAAACCCTAAACCCTGTACTGGAGGTTGATTTGGGCGGCTTAAGTGCTTATGGTTTTTGCTTTGCGCTTGGCTGAATCTGGACTGGGAGTTGAAGCTTGCAGGCTTAGGGTTTAGGGTTTAGAACAAAGCCCTAAAGCTCTAGACCCGGATTCCCCAAATCCCTTCTAACAGCGCGAAAGCCTGGATTCCTGCACAACACACTTTGCCCAGTGTTTACGGTTTAGGGTTAAGGGTTTCGGGTCCCTTAGTAGGCCCGTACGGAACCCAAAAGCCTTAAATCCCTCATAGAACCCCTATACAACAACCCCATAAGGAATCCAAAGACAGAACGTATATAGAACCCTTGAAGAACCCCCTATTGAGTCCTTATACAAAACTCATATATAGAGCCCTTATTTCAAACCCCTCATAGATATCAAGTTTTTGAACTCCAAGAAGCGCTAACACCCGAAGTATCCGCAAGAAACCCACTGAGGCCCGCGCCGGGCACGGGAAGATCGCGGAGACCTCCCAGCGCCTCCACAAGAAAAGAAGGGGCTTCGGGGTTTAGGGTTTAGGGGTTCAAGGGTTTAGGGTGTATAGCGGCTTAAGGGTTTTATAACGGTTTAGGGTTTATAAGGGTTCCTTTCAGGGTTCCGTTAAGTGATCTATAACAGTACCATAGGGCTCAGGGGGCTTGGGGTTGGGGCTTACAGGGTTTAGGGCTTCAGGCTTTCCTAGGCGTACTAAGAGGCTTGCAGGGGGTCTGGCATACGGGGTCTCTGGCGTACTACAGGTTTCAGATACCGGAGCTGCTTGCTTTAGCGGTTTATTCGAGGGGCCTGCATACTTCGAAGAAGGTCTGGGACTACGTTACTTAGAAAGCCAGGGGACTAGTAAGTAGGCTACAAGTAGGGTTATAATTGGGGTAGCTCCATTTAGGGTACTTATAACTCTACATATAACCTACTTACTAAGTTCCCTGCCCCTCCAAGTAGATCCTAAACCCTAAACCCCATAGATCCCTTTAAGGAAGCCTATAGATCCCTTTAAGGAGCCTTTTAAGAGCCCTTTCCCTTGCCCCTCCAAGTATGATATCATTAGAAAGGGACCCATAGTCGGTACCGATAATGATACTACGAGTAATACGGCTGCTGATATAAATCCTACATTACCTTACTGGCCCTAGACTAATTGTGGGAATTATGGTAGATTCCTTACTATGGGTAATTCAGGGTCAATATCATCAACCTTAGTAGTAAAGGCAATAGTTCAAAGCTCTACTACATATTGGGACCTCCATGCGCAGACTTTATCTAACCTTACGCTCGACGGCTTGCTGACCGCACATATATGAGGCTATCTTTAGGCTATGTCGCTTAGGATTTAGGGTTCAGGGCCAATTGTGGGTTATTGGGGTTGAGGGTTGTGGAGTTCGGGTGAAGGGCTCAAGCGATTTAGCCTTCAAGGGCCTCTACCCTAAACCCTAAACCGTGTGGGGTAGGCGAGCTGAAGGCAAGTCTCGGGCTTGCGAAGAGAAAAGGCCCCAAGACCACTCTGGTCCTAGAAATGGCAAAACCCCCAAACCTAAACACTAAAAACCCCAAACCGTAAGCCAGGAACCCAAAACCCGAAAGGCCCCCCCCTCTATCGTAGAGCGGCCTGAGTAATTACCTATACTAAATAGGGGGTTCCTGATTATAGTTATAATACAATATGCCCTGAAACCCCATTCTAATTATTAAGGCTCCTATATTAAGGGGTTCAGGTCTGAGGGCCCAGGCCTTGTCCAAGGCCGCGTTCATGGTTTTCTGCTGCTTCTTCCACTCACCTCGGGTTTTAGGGCTTAGGGGTTTAAGGGTTTGGGGTTTAGGGGTTTAGGTAGGGGTTTAGGTAGGGGTTTAGGTAGGGGTTTAGGGGTTTAGCGGTTTATGGTTTGCGGGTTTAGGGTTTAGGGTTTAGGGAAACCCTAAACCCTAAACCCTTCCGTGTTCCTCAAATCCGGAGTTTGCTGCTCTGCCCCGGGCCCTCACGCTGAACCATTCAAAGGGGCGGGCCCAGAGCGTGAGACGAATAGAAGGGCCTTTGTAATTAGACTAGGGTTTCGGGGCATCCTATCCTGAAATTATTTTAGGGAACCTCCACAATAGTATCAGTAATTATTAAGGCCCCTATTCTTCAATCATTGTAATCGCCCTTCTAGTAGCCCTTATAGACCCAATTATTAAGGCCTCTATATTAGACAAACCCTAAACCCCATAACCCCTATATAGGAAACCCCCCAAGATCTCAGCAAAGCTGAAATCCTGCAAAGCCCTCGCTACCTTCCCCCCTGCCTGTGTAAGAGCCAGGAGTTTGGGGTTTAGGATGAAAGGCTTAGGGTTTCTGGGCTTAGGGCTTCGGCTTAGGGTTTTGGGTTTAGGGTTTAGGGTTCTATCCTCCTCAGAAGTTGTTTCAAAAGATTTTTTAGAGCCCTTGACCGGAGCTTGCTTGGGAACCAGAGGCAAAATAACGGGCTTAGCGATCAGAATACGGTTTTGGCAGCCACATAGGGGCTATATGGGGATTTTGCTCCTCACTAGTCACTATTCAGGCCTCTATGTTCATGGAGACCCAGAAGCCCTCTGGTCCGTGTTTCTGGCTGCTGCTAGATATCCAAAGACACTCCAACATCCTCATCCCCAAACCCTGAATGCAAGCCCTCAACCCCAAAACACATGAAACCATAGACCCTCAACCCTACAAGCCCCGATAACAGGAGCCTGTAACGGAGCGCTCCAAGGGCATCCTTTGGTAATCCGGGCTCGTCACTCGCCGACACGAAGCTCTTGTCCGCAGACTGAGTGGGCAAGCAAGCATTTCGAGGATGGGTTCGCAAAACGGGGACCCTGAATCAAGACGGGATACGTAGGCCAACAAAACTCCGCACCCTAAATAAAACGCCTCGAACTTTGAGAACCAAAATTCGAAGGTTTGCGGAGATAGGGCTTTCGGGTTCTTGGAATGTCGGGATTGAAAAATCGGCGTTCAGAGTTTATCAAGTCCCAAGGCTAGTTTGAGGGTTTAGGGTTTAAGGAAGTTACTGGAGGTCCTTACAAAACCCGTAAAAAACCCTATAGAACCCTTGCAGAAACGGTTAGAACCCTACTGTGATTAACTCTTTTCTTGCCGATGTGGCGTGCTCCCGCGTCGCAGGCTTCGGGCTTCGGGGCGTCGAGGGGGTGGGGGTTGGCATGGGTTCCAGATCATGTTATACTTATAGAAAACAACATAAATGCAAGTGGAACCTTAAAGGCTATTGGTAATTATTCAAGCTTTTGTACGATTTATGGGAGCTTATGCGTCAAGTTGCAAAGCGTGGAATTTAAGCTTTCGGGATCTAGGCTCCGCTTGCGGGCCGTAGTTTTTGCCCAAACCCTGACCCCAGCCCTGAACACGAAAACTTGAACTGTTTCCCCAAACCCCTAAAACCCTCAATCTTCGTTCCAACACCTTAAACCTTGAACCCTGACGTCTACCCTAGCACCCTACATCAACCCTAGACAGATCCTCAAAAGCTTTCTTTAAGCCCTACCGACAGGACTTTCCTGAACCTCACAAAACATCCTGAAGACCCCAAGCAAGACAACCTTTGCACAGGTATTTGACATCGGGTTCTACATGACTTCGGGCTGCTAGCTTCTTGTACGGTCTAGGGGCTCAGCGATTTGAGAATCATGTAACAATTATTCTACTGGCACCTATAAGGCTCGGCTTAAAATTCCAAGCTTGGGCTTGCGCTGTTCAGGCTGGGGGTTTGAGGTGTTTAGCGTGCATCTACACATGCGTGTTCAGAGTCCAAAGCTCAGGGCGATCAACACACTAATCCCCAAACCCGAAACCCTAAGCCGGCATGTAAACTTTTGAAATCACGGGCCATGGACTCCTAAACCACGGAGCGCATCCCCGCCTGCACATTGGGGCGGGAATTCGTCAGCTGCGACTGCGAACCTTAGGAACAACTTAATGTAGGGGCCTGAAGGAATATGGTTGTGGGCTCCATAACAACGCTGGGAAGCCCTGTTCATGCACGCGTTGCACAAATAAGCATTTTGTATCGTAGATACCGCTAAAAGCACAACGTCGGCGCAGCTGCAAACGAGAATGTCTTGAAGCCATGCAGATGCTAACATATTGTGTTTGGTACGATCTATTCGAAGACGGGTGCTTGTCAAAAAAGCGTGAAAAAACTGGAGGAATTTCAACTTTCAACATTGCAAAAATCCACAAAGCTGGAACAGCAAGAACGTCAGAGGTGCATTTCGCATCGCAAAAGCAAGGGCGCGGAGGCCCTGGAGTACAAAACACGGTGATGTTTGTGGATGGTACTCATAAAAACACGGGGAATTGAAAGGGCCTAATCCGAACTTCCTCAAATGCAACACGTCAAGTCCAAGCAGGGCGCAACCCTAAACCCTCGAGCTTGCACATGCAAGCTTTGCATAAAGTACGCATCAAATGAAGCTTCGGACATGACGGAAGTCCCCCCTCCATCCCTTCCCGCCGAACCCGTCGAAGTGTTTGGAAGCACGACTAGTCCCTAAACCTTACTAACTTCCAACCTACAGTGACCCCTAAACTGAATAGTAACCAGTCAGAATCCTTATATGAGCCGAACAGTGAACAGTACAAAGAATTATAAATCCCTGACAACCCCACCCCACCTTACCTTACACCTGTTCCAGCGCGGGTCCGAATAGAATCGCTGTAGAAAGCTTCCCGAATCCTATTCAAAGCCTTGGCGCCAGACAACCCAAAAGCGCATTGACATGGCTCTGACGCTCTGCCGCTGGAGCTTCAGCCTTGAACCCTGGATCCTACGCCCTAAGGTCCCTACATTGCACACCATAAATCCTAATGCCGAGAGCGCCGCTGACCATTTACATGGGCGCTCGAGGTTCCGACCGAGGCCCCGGCCGAGCGTCTCGTCATAAAGATACACCCCAAACCCACGACCATTTGGGGCTGGCCTGGAAGGTCTAAAGGGGTACCCTCAGGGATCTGCGGCCCCAGGCTGGCAGATCCCAGGTCCTCGCCCTAAGCCCTGGCCCTAAACCCGGACCAATGTATTAGGGGTTTTGAGAGCCCTCCCAAACATTTGCCTGAGGGTTGGCTTGCTTGGCCTTGCAGGCTTTCAGGGGGATGCCACTCTTGCTTTGTGTGTGTGTGTCTGCTGCTCCAACCTCCATTTGCAAGGCCTGCCCCAACATTTCAGGGCAGACTTCGAGCGACCCTCACAGGGCACACGGGGCGGATTGTTTGTTGGAAACCCTTGCTTCCCGTCGAGCAGCCGGCACAGGCTGTGGGGACCCACAACTCGATACCAATCCATCTCAGCTGTGGCTTGCTATAAAATGTGGACGTTTATGTAAAATTCGAAGGGAAGCAGAAATCAAGAAAGTGATCCCTAAGCCCTAAGCCATAATTCAAAATAGTCGGGGGGGTTACGGCGGGACTACATGCTGACGCAAGCACGCGATAAGTAGGTGCGCCCCACGTTCTAAAGCAGCGCACCCACCGCGTGCACTGTACACAAAACCCGAGCCCGAAACCTTCAACCCTAAACCCGAGCAACCCTGAGCCCTGAACCCTAAACCCTAAACCCTGAACTTCAACTAAGGCTTCGGCCAGCTGCAGCGCCTTTCGGTGGGGTCAGGTCCTCACCCGGCTCCACAGCTTGGTTAAGGTTTAGGGTTTTGGGTTTAGGGTTTAGGGCTCAGGGATCGGGCTTCGTCTTGCCGTTTCATTTTTTGGGGTCTTGGGCGTTGTATATGGGTTTGGGGTTTTGGGATTTGCGCTTTGGGTTGGGGTTTGGGCTCTGCGCTTTGGGCTTTCTTTTTAGGGTTTGGGACTTTGGGTTTGGGGTTTAAGGTTTTGGATATATAGGGAAACGATTATGCGTGTTGGGCTAAGGGATTAAATTCTGAACCCTTGGTCTCGGAGATCATACAGGGGCCTTAATCACTAGAATAGGGTTTGGGGGTATTTTATACTAGAAAAAAGTAAGGAACCCCAAAAGTATCGGTATTTTTGTTGGAGCCCTATATTACACTAGCCTGTACCCAGGCGCCTCATATTTTGAGACAGGCGGTCAACTGGAAGTCGCTCAGGGTTTTGGGCTTGGTTGCCCTCTCAGAGTCAGCAACAAAAACCCCGAAGCCCCTCAGACACCCAAAAAGTGCATCTTCCATCTCTCATGAGTCATAAGGTTCCTCAGCCTAGTTTAGAAGAACCCCATGTGGCACTAAGAAGTGCAACGTAGAAGCCTGATTCTTAAAGCCCACTTCTACCAGGCCCAAATATGCACTATGTTTGAAACCTTTAGTCGGCCTTTGACCTCAATTCCCAGTTCCCTCAACCCGAAACTCCACACCACTTAACCCCAAGCCCTAAACACCTGAACCCTGCTCAAAACTTGCTCAAAGCCCTGAACTGTGAGGCCCATCCAAAAAGCTAGTAGACCCCACATCCCTAAAGAATCCTGCAAAAACCTACCCTGAACCCCGAAACCATAAAGAGCCCCATGAAATCCCGATACCTTGCATCGAGCGCCGTCATTTATGAACACCCTATGTCGTAAAGCCCGCAACCCACCAGAATTCTGCAAAACACTGTGCCTAAACCAAAAAAGCGTGGAAGGGACTATGAAAAAAGGTAAACCTAATCCTAAAAACTGAAGACATGTATGCAAACCACTGCAAACCCCGGCACCCTAAACCCCAAAAGTTTATGAAACCCCTCTACCCTAAACCCCGAGGCCCTGAACCCTGGGTAACAGTCGAAAACAGGGCGACTATTAAGGGCCTTATATCTGTATTATGAATATTATCCAGCTGTTACTGAGCGGGGGCCGTACCCAACCTAAACCCTCAAGCCCCCGATGCCTTGAACGCCGCCATCATGGAGTGCTCTGCCTTGGCCATGGCTTTCTGTGCGGCCTGGACAGAGCCCGCGGCTCAGGGTTGAAATTTCCTGTAATGTAGGGGCCTAAACAATTAGAATAGGGTTCCTTTACAGAAATTCTATAAGGGTTACTATAATGGGATCTATAAGGGTACTATACTCAGGGTTGAAGGTTCCTCTAAGAGTTCCTTTAAAGGCATCTTTAAGGGGTTCCTTTCAAGCATAAAGGGTGCTAGGCTTTTTTTGGGAGGTTAGGACTTGGGGGTTTAGGGTTTAGGGTGTAGGGTTTAGGGTCACGTCGTGGTGACGGGAGGTTCTTACGGTAAGGGATGCCTCTCCCGTGCGAGGAGACAGCTGCAAGAGGCCCAGATGTCAATTTCTTCCATTCAACAACGATGGTTGTCACAAAGAGGAAGTCGGTAAAAGGCTGGCCCTGCAGGCTCTGTGCCTTTTGTTCCTTCTCCCTTTGTGGAGAATGTTCGAAAAACGTTTTCGAAAACTCTTTGCAGACTAGCATAATGTAGGGGCCTAAATAACTACCAATACTTTTCTGGGTGTTCCCTATTAGAACTATAGCGTAACGTGCCCCTAAACGTGTATATACATATTCTTTGAGGATGCATATGTCGTCCTTCGTTTCGCTGTTCCTCGACAGGCTTTCGCCTGCATCACCCCTAAACCCTATTCTAATTATTAAAGGCCGCTCTTTTCCAGTACCCTTATAGCAACCCCTATAGAACCCCTTTTAAAGAACCCAATTCTAATTATTACTTCTAGTATACAACTTCTGTCTAGTTCTTAGTAGGGAATGGGGGAACGGGTTATGGAGACTACTATTGGGGACTATATAGGGACTACTATAGGGATCCATTCTCCCGGATTCCCTACTAAGAACCAGACAGACTTAGCTGCGGTGTGGCTCCAGTTTTGGGGAGAATGCTGTTTGGATCCTCTCAGGCTCAGGCTCGGGGCCAGGGGTTGGGCTTCCAGATGATAGCTGCGAGATCCAAATAGGGTTTAGGGTTTAGGGTGTAGGGTTTAGGGTTTGGGGAAACCCCCAAACCAAGAAGCTTGTCAACAAAAACAGTTCACCTGTCGGAACCAAGGAGAAAGCATCCAGAATGAAAGCTCGATCCTTGTGACCGGGAAGACAACAAAGAAGAGAAGCTGCAGTGAAACTTTCTGGAGCCCTGCTTCTGCAACTCGAACCGGAACTCGAATCCCGGCTGCCGTTGCCGAAGAAGTGAGACTGTTGTGAAGACGCGCTTCTGCAAATGGCTTAGGCTAATTGCGGGATCCATCCATAGCTACCCTGCAGCAGCTGAAAGAGCAAGACTAAGATCTGCGACCATCACCAGATTTGCCATGATGGAAATAACATTGAAACAAGCATCACTGTTTCGCATTTTCTTCATCATCACCATCATGACACTTGCCATCGGCAGCATTGTACAACCACCCTCTTCATCAGCTGTACCATCCGCGTGATGCAACATAGGCCTACACCCTGCATCGTTCGTCAAAAGCCTTCACACCCCAAAACAAAGCTGAGAAAGCTTGAACCCGAAACCCTAAATACCCTACGCCTTAACCCGATGCCATGAACCCGACCCTTAACCCCTAAATCCCCCGAAGGAGCCTTGATCCCTTCACCTTGAAGCTCGTAATGTAGGAACCTGATTAAGAAACCTTGGGCCTGTATTAGGGTTCCTTATATGAATCCTACTATTTTGGGTTATACGCCCAGGGTTTCTTAATCAGGTTCGTACATTACACCACGGAGTAGGCCTCCAAAGGGTTCTCCTTCTTTCCCTCGTGGTCGGTGGACTTGTCCTTGTGTCCTTCCGCCGTTTGGGGCTCCACCGTGGTGGGTTTTGGGTTTTGGGTTTAGGGTTCAGGGTTTTAGGGTCTAGGGTAGAGGGTTTAGGGTTTAGGTGGACTTCAAACAAAAACGGACAGAGGTGCGACTGCGAAGCAGCGGAAGTTGGAATTGGTGCAGGAATGGTAGTAGTCGTAGTAGTCGCAGTAATGGTAATAGAAGTAGTTGTGGTGATAGTAGTAGTAGTAGTACTACTACTACTACTACTACTACTACTACTACTACTACTACTACTACTACTACTACTACTACTACTACTTCTGTTCTTCCCAAATCCTGAACCCGTCATCATCATCCCCAAACCCCAGTCCACAAAAAAAAAAAAAAAAGCAACACCCAAATCTAAATCCTGAACCCGGAACCCTTTGCTGCTGCAGAGTCTGACACAACACATACGCTAAACCCTTACAATAGCCCCTGCAGCAACCCCTACGGCAGGTAACCCTTACGGCAAGCCTTGCAGCATCCCTGACAACACCCCAGATAGAAACCCTCATGGAAACCCGAAACCTCTATAAAGCTCTCGTACAAACCCAAGAGAACTCCGGACAAAATCCATAATACCTTGAAGAAGTCTCAAAAGAAACCTCTAACCCCGCTTAACCCTAACCCTAAACTCTAAACCCTGAACCCTAAACGCTAAGCATCCCCCCAAACCCTAAACCCTAGCCCCCCCCCAGGTTTTTTGAGCTGCTGGGACCTCCGAAGCCCCACATCTTGCCCAAGGCCGCGATGGACTGCCACAGGCGGTGGGTTTAGGGTTTAAGGGGCTTGGCTTTCAGGGGCTCAGGGGTTTAAGGAGTTTAGGGCTTAAGGAGTTCAAAGTTGAGGGGATAGTGTTTTTGAGGGTTGGAGGGGGGTTTAAACGGTTTGAAGGGGGAAAACAGGGGGGTTGTTGTGTTAATCGCCTCTTCTCTGTGATCTGGTTTAAGGGGTTTAGGGTTTGGGGTTTGGGGAGGGGAGGAGGAGGGGTGTAGGGTGTGGGGAAAGGGTGTAGGGTTTCGGGGGAGGAGTTTTGGGGCTTGTAAATTATGCTGATTGGGCTTGAAAACCTCGGGTTTCTAAATCACGCTGATGCGGCTCTAAGGGCCATTGTGAGGCTTTATCGGGTTTCCTGGGACCGCAGATTATCCTGACAGGGCTGTGGGCGCAGAAGCAGCCCTAATAATCCCGCGATCCTCCTTAGACAAACCGCCTGAAAACCAATATCGGGGTAGTAATAACTATAGTATAGTATACCCCAAAAAAACCTATTCTAATTACTCAGGCCGCCAATCAGTACAAACATTAAAGAACCCCTGCAAAAACATCCAAAACCCTGAATCCTAAACCCTGCGAAATCCGTCCAAGTCTGGACCTTCGGTCCTCAAACCCAAAAAAGCCCTGGGCACTTTACGGGCGAGCTTACGGTTCTTGTTTTGTGTGGATCTTGTGTTCAATGTTTTGAGGGCTTAAGTCTAGGGCTTTACTAGTTTAAGGTGACTTAAGGGTTCTGGGTTGGCCTTTAAACTCCCTGAAAAATATTTATATATGAGGTCCCTTATAAACCCAAACAAGGAAAATAAAAAATGTCCCCAAATCCAACCTAGGGTTTCGGTTTTAGGGTTTAGGGTTTCCGGGCTTCGGTCTGGCGATTCAAGGGTTGGGCGCCTTGGGGTTTAGGGGCTTTCGGGTTTTCGGCTTTGGGTTCAGAGGTTTAGTGGTTTACGGGTTTTGGGCTTCAAGACCTAAGCTTTTGGGTAAAAGCCTGCTAGACCCTAAACCCTGAGGGTTTGGGCTTTGGGGCTGTGAAAGCCTGCTTAACCGTAAACCCTACACCCTCAACCCTGAGAGTTTGGGCTTTGGGGTTTGGCGTCAAAGCCTGCTCCATCTTCGCAGTGGCTTCCTTGCTGTCAACGTTCTCGGGCCCTGGCCCGCGAAGAGGAAGCTACGGCTGCCAACAAAGCTAACATAAACACTAAGCCCGCTGAACCCAAACCGCTTAGGGCTTAGGATTTTAGGTTCTTAGGGGGCCCAGAAGCAAAAAGACAAGGCTGGTGCCTAGGGTTTAGACCTCAAGGTGTCCGGGTGGCAGAGGAGCAATTTTGAGGAGGGCCTGGGTTCAGGGGTGCGCTTGCGCTGTTGCCTACCAGAGGCATTGCCGTGATGGTGAAAATCTCGATGGTGACAGCGATGATGCTTATGGTGGTTAAATGTAAAGCGGTACGAAGACAACGATGATGAAGAATCTGAGTCGGGGTGTACTGGTGAAGATCTTCTACTGCTACTAGCCATGACACGAAACTGCCCCAATTGTACCAGTGATAGTGATGGCAACAATACATGCAGCAGCATGGTGAGAATATTCATACGGTTGATGATATAAAACCTGCATGACCCATAATAAAGAAAATACCATAATTCCCACATATTCCCTATTATGGTGAATGCAGGATTTATACCATCAACCGTTACAACAATGACACTGATGCTTCTGTTGCCATACAACAGTAAGACTCAAAAATCCGACTGAAGTGGGCTTCTATTGCTTAGTTACCCATGTCCCCTTAATGACAACGAAAAGCGGCACCCACCGATACTCAGTTAAGGAGCCCTGCATAAATTCACCGAGCCCCTCATTAAAACTCCACATGCAAACCAAAACCATCGACATGCTTGAGCCGCTCTCCCAAGCACTCCCAACCTCCAGGGTCCAGCTTAAACCCTTAACCACAAGTTCCTACACACTGGACCCCAAACCACACCTGAAAGCGCCAGCCCTCAACCCGAAAACCCGAAACATGTCCCTGAGCTGCTTCAACCCGCCTTGGATGGAAAAAGAACTGCCTCAGCAGCAAGGTTTAGGGTTTGTTGCTCGGGATTTGCGGCTTGGAGTTTAGGGTTTCAGCTTTGGGAAGAACGGCTGAGAGCTTAGATGGTGGCGCTGTGAAGCCTCTGAAGACCGGAATCTTAGCATAAACACAATGCTCGATTCCGTCAATAGGGGACCCTAATATAGTACCCTAAATAGTAGGATCCTTACTGTAAGCACCCCAAAACAAGGTACCCCTAATTTTCGGAAACTCCCACATACCGAAGGTCTTCCTAAGCCCCAACCCCACAAAGCAGGAGAGGCCCATAAAGGCCAAAGTCACTCTAAACACCCGGCCTCAGGAACGTGTTCCGTAAACTACTTGGAGGATCATGGGACTTTGTAGGTAGGGTTATAAGTAGGGTTCTTAAAGGGCTCCTCCAAGGGATCTATAGGGCTCCTCAAAGGGATCTATAGGGTTCCTTAAAGGGATCTATAGGGTTTGGGATCTATGGGGTTTGGGGTTTAGGGTCTACTTGGAGGATCATGGGACTTAGTAAGTAAAGTATAGTTACCTTCGTTATAACCCTAGTTACTAAGTCCCATGATCCTTTAAGTAGAGTCGTGATCTTTACCCCCTAAACCGTCAATTTCAAGCCCACCCCGCGCCCCCACCCAGGTTCTCATCGCACTGGGCTCCCTTTTTCAACCCCACCCACCCCCCCCCCCCCGCACCTCACCCGGCCTCCAACCCCCCACACCCCGACCCCCCAACAACCGCCAGCCCTCCCCTCCGCCACCTCTCCGCCCCCGGCCCCAGGCCCAAATTCAAAATGTGGTTCCAAAAAAGAAACTTGTCAAAAAGATTCGCTCAAAACGTTTCGCTCAAAACTTGGCACCCAAACCCTTAACAATTTCTATAAACCCTAAACCTAAACCCTATAAACCCAAAAACACGGCGGAATCGTCGGGCCCCAACCCCAGACCCGACCTGGGGGCCCCGCTCTTCGACATGAAGTCCAAAGATTTCGACTTGGCTGGGGATGCCTTCGGCGCAACTTTCGGGCTCAGAGCTCCAAACCCTCAACCCTACTTGGAGGGGCAGGGACGGCTTAGTAAGTAGGATATAAGTAGAGCTAAAAGTACCCTAAATTGAGATACCCCAATTCTAACCAGACCTATAACCTACTTGCTAAGTCCCCTGCCCCTCCAAGTAAACCCTAAAAGCCTCCTCTCGGGCCGAGGGTTTGCAGTTCAAGGTTCCTGAAGTTCGGGCTTTGGTGTGTTTGAGTTTAGGGGTTTAGGGTTGAGGGTCCTTTATTTGTTGAGGGCTTCAGGGTTGAACGAGTTCGTGCCTTCAGGGCAGTCGGATGCTGGGATACTCGTTTGGAAGGGATAGAGGCCTCCTTAGCCCCCGGGTGCAGAGTCTAAGGTTGGCTTGCTCATGGGAGGTGAGGCGTGCTAAACACATCGAAACCTTTGAGCATGATTCGTTAAGGCCTGCAATAGGAGGACCTGAAAAATTGGAATAGGGCTGGTGTAGATTATGCTGTAAACAGAATAAGGAATCCCCCCACAATACTATTGATAGTTATTTAGGCCCCTAATTACCCTCGGCATCCTTCCCGCAACACAACCTCAGCGCTAGACCGCTGAGCCGTTGAGAAATAAAGCTCGGAGTTTGAAGTCTCTGTATAGGATTGGTGAGGGTGGGTTTGTTTTTTGTGGGCTTGGGGCTCCTTCGCACTATCTGACGTTGGGGTCGGGTTGAAGACCCCTAAAGCCTAAACCCTGAAACCTAGACCCTAAACACTAAACCCTCAACCCTAAACCCCAAACCCTAAACCCTAAACTCTAGACCCTAGGCGCTAAACCCTAAACCCTAGACCCTAAAACCCTAAACCCCAGAGAAGGGTTTGGGGGCTCGGGGGGCTGAAATCCGGAGATCTTTCTGCGACCTCCAGCAAGACAACATGTCGCTCATGTGTACAAAATTACCACGCATGGAAACATATTGGTAGTTCTCTAAATTAGCGTCCCTTTTAGGGTCTTTTTTTACGAGGGTGCCGTACTAGATTTTGGGAGCTAAACAGGGGCCCCGACCCATATACACATGTTCATGCACACATATGCATATGTCATGTGCATATGGAACTACATTTATGTGCTTATCTGTGGCTCTGTGTTCAACTACTTGTTTGCTAGCTTGTTGTATTGATTTGTTTTTCTACTTTCCATCCATCCATCCATCCATCCATCCATGCATCCATCCATCCATCCATCCATCCATCCATCCATCCATTCAACCATCCAGCCAGCCAGCCAGCCAGCCAGCCGGCCATCCGTCTATCCATCCATCCATCCATCCGTATATCCATATCCATCCATGGCGACAGACAGGCAGATAGGCAGACAGAAAGACAGACGGACAATCCAGGAGTCTTGGTGCAAAACTTGCTTCTTTGTTAAAGAATATAGCATGAGCAGAGGACCACTGAGCATTGAAGCCTCGACCCGAGGCCCTAGGCGGCCCTACGCCCCCAAAACTCTGAAGCCCGGAACCCCAAAACCCCTGAACAAGATGCCCTACGGTTGATGATATACATCCTGCATTACCCATAATAGGAAATATACCATAATTTCCACATATAACTTATTATGGGTGATGCAGGATTTATATCATCAACCGTAACATCTCTGAACCCCTGCAAAATTTCTGGCCGCTGCCTGGCCTCCCAGCGCAGCAGCGCCCCCACAACCAGAAGAGCCGCCAGGGATCCGAGCGCCGCAAACTGTCCGCTTTCGGGCTTCTTCAAAGGTTCCTTAAAAGATTCCTTCTAAGGGGTATTAGCACAGATATAACACGGAACCGGGGTTTAAGGGTTCCGTTAAGGGTTTTCCGGTAGCTAGGGTTTAGGGTTTCTAAGGTTTTATAAGGCTTCGTGCATTTGAAGAGGGTTCGGGTTTAAGGCTTCTTGAAATTCTTTTAAGCGTTCCTTTAGCGGTTCCTTTCAAGGCTTAAGGGTTTAGGGTTTAGGGCTTCAGGATTTGAGGGGTTAGGGTTGACTATATGAACCCGCAGCCCTCGATCCGTTAAAGATCTCTGTTAAAGGACTATAAGGGCCTCCTCATTCTAATCATCCAGGCCCAGGGATTTATTCGCGAGGGGTGTTGATTTTGTCATTGCTGCATTGAGTTGTTCTGCGAGGCTTCACACCGCGTTGTGAAGCCGCGCATGGCTTTGTAGCTCCGATACGGTTGGATAGATAAGTGAAGAATGAAACTGAAATCTTAAACAACCCTGAACCTAAAGCAATAAACCGCAAATCCCAAGCCCTGAACCGATCCTCGCCTTCCAAGGCACCACGCATCGGCGTTGGGTTTGAGCCTGAGCAACCTGCAGCTGGGTAGTTCTCCAAAAAGATTCCTTGTAGGGTTTTGGGTTTAGGGTTTTAGTCGGGTAGTTCTCTAAAAGGGTTTCTTTTGGGGTTTAGGGATTACAGTTTTGGGTTTTGGATTTCGGTTTTGGGTTTAAGGGTCTTCTTTATTAAGGTGCCGTACTGTTTTAGGGACCCGAATTTAGAGAACTACCGGTTCCGTAACGGCTATGCATATCTATGTGTGTATATATATATATATATATATATGTATATATATATATATATACATATATACATATATATATACATACATATGCATATATACTTTAGGTTTTTATTCGGGTGCTTGCAAGAGTCTGTAATGGTGTTCTTTGTGTTTCTGTGGCTGTTCGAGGCTTCTTAAGGTTTGTTTTGAGAGCTATTCAAAAGCAATATTGTGGGCGCCACCATTGTTCCAAGCGCAATCTTGGTTTGGGCTAGTTCGGCCAGGTGTATGCAACAACATGGATGTAGAGTTCAGTATAGACAAAACCCCTTCTTCCCTCAACCCTGAACCCTGTACCCTAAACCCCAAACCCTAAACCCTAAACCTTCTATCCTAAACCCCAAACCCTAAACTCTAAACCCCAGCTCCATAACCCCTGAACTCTACACTGATACCCCACATCACAACCCCCTCAAAAAAAGTCGCAACTCCTAATCGCGCGAACACTTCCGAAAGCCCGAGATTGAAGTTTGCGACCAACCCACACCCCTGAACTCTTAAACCTGTTAACCCTGAAGCCGCAATCCCTAAAACCGAAGAACTGAAAACCGTTAATGGCTCCAAATTCCCAAACCTTTACACCTTCGAATCCGTTAAACCCAAAACCCTGAAGCCTACGTGCAAACGGCCTCCTCGCTGCTGAAGCCCTCTTCCGGGGCGATCAGCTCCTCTTCAAGAATCATGGCACTTAGTAACTAAGATTATAAACAAGGTAACTATACTTCTAACTGCTTGTAACCCCAAGTACGGTACTTATGACCTTACTTACTAAGTCCCATGTTCATCCAAGCTGTCACCGCTGCTATGGGCCCGATAAGGTGTATTAAGGCTTTAGGATTGAGGGTTTAGGGTTAGGGGCTTAGGGTTTAGGGTTTAGGGTTCAGGCGTTTAGGGTTTAGGGCTTAGGGTTCGGCGCCTGGTAACCCATCCGGTTGATGATATAAATCCTGCATACTCTGATGGCCTTAGACTATTGGGGCTTCTGGTTGGCAGATGAAGGACTTCAGGATTTGGGGTTGGGGGTTTAGGGTTCAGGGCCTAGGGGTTTCGGGTGCAGGGTTCTGGATTTCAGGGTTTCGGGCGGGGCTTTGGGGGGTGAAAAATTTCAAGGCTTGGTGATATCAGCTTTTGGGGCCTTTCTCGCACCTACTTGGGTAGTTCTCTCAAAAAGTGTACGGCACCCTTAAAAAGGACCCAAAAGGGATCCTATTTTCGAGAACTGCCCATCTACCTTTTAAACTCCCAACCCATTCAGTGGTTTAGCTTACGGTTGACACATGACTTGAAGTCATATCCTAATTGGGGGTATGGTACTTATAACTCTATGCAATAACTACATACTAAGACCCCCGATCCTCCAAGTTCTCAGACCCTGACCCCCACGCAGGGAGAGTGGCTGCGTGCTTTAGCCCTCGGAAGATAAGCGCCTAGAGCTCCTAGGGTTTAAGGTCCAATCAGGGTTTAGGGTTCGGTTGCATTTTGGGTGCTAGAAATCGATTCATAAGCGGTGCGAACATGGCGAAGTGGAGGTCCCGATTTTCTCGCGCAACAAAAACGGATGCTAAGCCTGAAGAGCCTGCCTTTTTAAGGACTTATATAAGGAAATCATAATGTGGAACCCTAAAAAGGTAGGTTCTTCAGGGTTAAGGTAAACCCTGAGAGGAACCCTGAAGATTCTAAGCCCTAGCCCTAGGCCCCTCAACAGAGTAAAGATCCTTAGCCCGAAACCCCGGAGGCGTACGCCAGACCGATCGGAAAGCCTTGTAGCCCTTTGTCTGCAGCAAAGGAGAACCAAGAACGGAGGGAATGGTTTCGGGTCTAGGAGTCTAGGGTTTACGTTTTGGGGTTTAGGGTTTAGGGTTTAGGGTAGGGTTTAGGGTTTAGGGTTTAGGGTTTAGGGTTTAGGGGGGTTTACGTTTGGGTTCAGGCTTAAGGGTTCTCACTGCCAACCCAGAAACTCTCTTCTCTAAAGCCTTCACGTCAAAAACAACGGCTTTGCTCCTGAATCTCGTTCTGTGGCATCGCCATGCTTTTTCAAGCGGACGAAGGTGGTCACACAGCTGAGGGTCGATAGAGGCTGCGGAATTGATTCAGGATGTACGGAACGAGGTTCCGTGTCTGCACTGCGTCTCATCCATATTCCTCGTTCTTGACTGTGCTTACTCTTTCAGACTATTCTGCTTCCGTTCACATATGATTCATGTCTCCTTTTGTGGTTACCGACTACCACAAAAGTAAAAGAGTATCCAATAACTCCCCAAAACCGAAGCTCTGGACCATGCAAGCTGCAAGAACCCTCATAGCCCAAACTACTACTTGGAGGGTCGGGGGACTTAGTACTTGGTTATTTTAAGGACTTATAAGTACCATAACCCCAATTAGGGTCCCTTTTAGGGTACTTATAAGTCTACTTACTACCTACTTACTAAGTCCCCCGACCCTCCAAGTAATCCCAAACCGCTTCAGCTCCAAAAACCTAGCCCTCTAGACTGCTGAAGCTAAATCCTACCTTAACGCTGAAGAACCTCCCTTTTTAGGATTCCTTTTTTTTGATTTCCTTGTATAAGTCCTTAAACATGTAAGTCTTCAGGGTTAAGGTACACCCTACACTCCCGAACTCGACCTGAAACCCAACCCTAAACCCTGTACCCTAAACTCTCAACCGTAAACCCTCAACCCTAAACCCTAAACCTTAAACCCCAAACCTTAAACCCTCAACCTGAAACCAATCCCATTCAGGCCCTGCACATAGCTCGGTCCGACTTTTTCCGCGCCAGCTGTCTACACTCCACTCTGGGTCCGCTTCAGGGATCTTTCACTTGCGACCTGGCGGATTGAGCAACGAAGCCCAAGAAGAGGAACGGTTGGCTCAAAAAAGCCAACAAAAATCGACTGTTACAACCTTTTGAACTATGGTTGGGCTAAACTTACCCAACAAAAGTATCAAGTTACCTACTACTAGGAGATGATGTTATTTCGTAGGTCTGCTCTTTTGGGTTTGCTACACGGTTGAGGGCTTAGGGCTTTAAGGCCTTTTTTACAGGGGCCTTACTAATTAGAACAGGGTTTTCGGGCCCATGATACCATGAGTATAATGAAGAACCACCAACATAGTATAGGTAATTATTAAAGCCCCTACATTAACCCTAAACCCCTGGGATGTGAACAGGGGTCCAGGTCAACGGTCCGCGTTCTGAAGCTGAAAGAGCAGGTAGGGCTTGAGGGGAAGGACTTTAAATGTTGGGGTTTGGGACTGTGATGTTTGGGTCTGGGACTTAAGCTTTACGGCTTCGGTTCAAGGGTGTTTAAGCTTTCGGAGTCAGGGCTTAAATCTCTACGACAACCACACTAGCTTCCGCTCAGCACGAGTACATGTTGAAGACCATCCACAAATTTCTACATCAAGCCCGAAAATCACACCCCCAATCCTTCTGGGCGAAATAACAAAGCAATGCCGAATACCTCACGGAAACGAACTAGGTGTTGCATCCATAACCGTCACTGACGTCAACGCTTTTCCCTGGAAGCACCTGCAGGAGCAGAGTCGCAGCCTGTGCCTTGTGCTGAGTCCGATGCCTCTGCGTGGCTCCCCGCCCGCATCATCTCGACGAACATCTCCGCCTGTTCAGCCTCATCTTCGTGGGAATCCGGCCAGATAGTCTGCTTCAGGGTGCGCACGGGCAGAAACCGCTTCGCCCAGGGGCCCATCACAGCAAATGTAAAAGCCAGCAAGACAAAGCGTCCAGCCATCCCTAATTCATGCTTGGGATAGTATTAATATCTTGCATTCTTGTTACTTGTTGAGTTATGTACCAATGAAAATGTAAAATGTTAGCCAACAGTGGCAAAGATTCCTGCGCTGAAAGAATGCCAAAGCTGGAAGAATGACCCAGCCCACAGCGTCAGACTCAGATAAGAGCTTGAAAGCGCGGACCCTTCCTGGGCTTGTAAGTAACCAGTGAGAGAAAACATGAACTTGTATTTCATAATGGTTCCTTTAAGAAGAAAACGCTACAGTATAGTACCCCAAAGCCCAGTTGCGTTCATCTCATCGGATGGGAGGCACACTCCAAAGGAATCAATGCCCAAGTTGAACATCAGCAGATTGGTCGCAGCCGCAGTCAGGATTGCAATGCAAAGCAAAGGTGAGAGCGGAGACCAAAAAAACAAGATTTCCATCCTGGGTTCAAAATTCGTTGGTTCCTTGGCCCCCAAACCTAAACCCTAAACCCTGAACCCTAAACAAGGACCCAGCATCTGTGTGGTCAAGAGCGCCATCTGTCGCAAGGGCAACAGGGATCCGGTGGTCTTAGGCCAGATTCCCAGCAGTCTCCGATGGCGGCCTTTGAGGCTCTTCTACTTGGAGGATCCTTAACGGGATCTATAGGGTGCCTTGAAGGGATCTATAGGGTTTAGGGTTTAGGGTCTACTTGGAGGATCAGGGGACTTAGTAAGTAAGGTTATAAGTACCTTCATTGGGGTTATAAGTAATTAGAAGTATAGTTACCTTATTTATAACCCTAGTTACTAAGTCCCATGATCCTTTAAGTAGGCGGTTTGGGACTTAAGGTACCATTTACCATAACTTAGGGTACCTCCAGGGTTCTATAAGGGCTGGGGGTTCAGGAAAGGGCTCTTGTTACAGACCTAAACTTGGGTTCCCATATACAGTGGGGTTTTGGCGGCTTTTGGGGTTAAGGTTCAGGGATCACCATGATAGGATCTATAGAACTTATATGGCTTCCCTTGATGGTGACGAACAATGAACTAATTCCTCAACAAGAACCCAGCCTTTTGCAGGATCCCCCCCTTCGGGCTCCAAGCGAGAGAGGTGCCAGGCCAGCCAGAGGATCAACGGCTGCATCGTGCTCCGGACCAGTAGCCTAAACGGGGTTCCTTTAACGGTTCAGGGTTTAGGGTTTAAATGGATCCTTAATGGTGTCTAAAAAACACTGCCAAAAGAGTATTGGTGATTCCATATTACTTTGGACCAGGTGCTTCTTTAGCAAAAAGGGCGTCAAGCCACCGACGATGGCACGGCTGCAACGGTCTTCGAAGCAGAAAGCGCTGCTGAAACCGCAGATGTCCCGCTGCGTGTTCAAGATCTCCTCTTCGAAGATCTTCCAGGTGAACCTGGGTTTAGGGTTTAGGGTTTTCATTTAAGTTACCACAAAGGGGCTCATGGTCAATGATATGGTTTGCTCATTACGGTAACTTAGGTTAAATCCTTTAAGAAGAACCCAGGAACTTGCCGTGTTCCTCCGATCCCTCCTGGCAAACTTTCCACGCCAGCTTCCAGCCTCCGTAACAGTTCTCGTCCAAGGATAACGTCGTCAATACCGCCAAGAGCCATGCGGAAAAAAGTCGGAACGTCATCAGTAACCTGTCAGGCCTGATTCCCGTCAGGCTCGAGAAGCTGGTTGAAAGTGGCCAGGCCAGCACCATGTCTATCAGAACTGCCTGCACCGGCGCCGTCGCGTGGAACAGCTTCAATGTGCCGTCATCAAGATCCCACACATTTTGTGCCGGAACCGACTGAGCAAAGGTGAAGAAGACTGATGGCAGAGATAGAAAGCTGACGATGCAGATCCAAAGAAGCCACGCAAAGGCCCTTGCCGTCTTCCGCCCTGCGAGCTTCTCTGCTGGTCGCGGCTTCTTGCGGATGCCGAGGACCAGGCTTCGGAAGAGCAACTGCATGGCACACCAGCATGCGACCACGCCCAAGTCGGGTAAGACACTCTCAGCCTTGAGGCTTGCAACGGTGGTTTGCCACAGCGGCGGGCTGCAGTCGTAGAACCGGCCGCCGAGGCCGAATATCAACAAAAGCGGACTCGACAACAGCAGAGCGCAGCAAGAGCTTCTCATCACAGCAAAGCTGGAGGAAGCCACCCGAGCTCTGGAACCCAAGTCGAACCTGCGAGACTCTTTGGAAAGTCTTCTCTTAAGTCGCCGACCGCACAGCATCCCAGCCAACAGCAATGCCAGGAAACCAGCCAGGACGAGCAAGCTGGACTCAAGAACCCTTGGAGAATAGTACAGGAAAGGCTGCAGCTCTTCCTCGGAGATCCATGACGCCAGTAACTCCTGTCCATCTCCCAGCATGTTCCCCATGACTGTCAGGCTCAGCACCTCGCTGTGGCTGATGCTCTCTGGCACAGCGCACGCGAAGCGGTTGTGATGCAGGGTGAGCTTGGTGGAACCGTTGGCTGGGCAAGACTTCAGCGACTTTGGGCAGTTCATCTCCACTGCTCTGCGGTCGCTAGGGAGCATCTCTTCCAAAGACTCAGAGAGTTCCTGGGTCGTAGTTTTGGGGGCCTTAAAGGTATTTATGAACAGGTACCTGTATAAGAACCCTAGAGGACATGTTTAAGCTTCCCAAACTGCCACCTGGGCTCCTTTCCACAGGGATAACTTCGCAGCCTGAACCTCGAGTTGTCCAAGCACGCAGTGTTCAAGTTGAGGCTGCCAATCCTTAGCCGCCCTCAGACAGAACCACGGTGGTTTAGGGTTTAGGGTTTAGGGGCTTCAAGGTTTAGGGATTAGCCCCTAGGAGTTATATTAAAAGAAACATGAAACATAATTCCTAAGAGCAGTAAAAAGAATCCTGCCTCCGATTTTGTTGTCGTGGAGCGTGAGGATGCCCAAACGGCTCAGGTGTTGCAAGCCTAGGTTACTTTCTTTTAGAGAATTGAGTTTATAAGTTGTAATACGGATCTATAGTAACTGGCAGGGTCCCTCAACTTAACACGAACTCAGAAGCTTCGAGGAAGTACGCCCGTGAGGGCGTTTCTATGAACAGCCAGCACTGTCAGCTGCGAAGCTGTAATGTCCGGCAAAGCTCCATGGAGCTTGTTGTCGTTCAAGGTGAGAAACTCCAAATCTTGAAGCTGCAACAAGCATGATGGGATCTTCCCACTCAGCCTGTTGTGGTTCAGCCGCAGCTCTTGCAGCATTCCGCCAGCAAACCCCAAGGCACAGAAGGAATCTATGAAATCGGAGATGCCTCCCGTCAGCAAGTTGTGGCTCAAATCCATGCGTTCGAGCTTAGCCACGGATTGGAGGGTCCCAAGCTCCCCTCTCAAAGAGTTGCTGCTTGCATCAAACACCTCCAATGCTGGCAGGTCTATGACGGGCGGAAGCTTCTGAAGAAAGTTCTTCTGCAACGAAAGTAGGCGTAGCTGCTGCAATCGGCACAGCTCGGGGGGGACTGCACCGGTCAGATGATTTCCGGAGACATCAAGCGCTCTCAAGCCTTCGATCAGACCCAGATCCCGGGGAATTTCGCCTGACAGCAGATTCCTGGAAACGTCAAGCACGCGTAGTTCCGAGAGTTGACGCAGCTCACCGGGAATTTCACCCGTCAAGTGGTTATCACTGAGCCACAGCCTGGGTCCGAAGTAGCCTAGCCCGGAAAAGACTAACCTCTTCAAGCATGGTAGGAGTCTATAAGCACTGCAAAATCAAGCTTTCATTCAAAACACCAACTTCGACTATGGTAGGGTTATACAACAACTAACAAAACCCACAAAAACCAACACAAACTATACAAAAACTAAAAAAGGTCAAAGATTGCCTGCTCTGCAACCAAGAAGCTCCTGCAGGTTCTGGAGCTCGCCGAGCTCTGGAGGGATCTCTCCGGAGAGGTTGTTGTCGTGGAGATGAATGTACCTAGGGTCTGGGGGTTAGGGTTTAGGGCAGTATGCGTGCGGTGGGTGCACTTCTTTAGAAACGGTGGCGCACCCACTTATCGCGCACCTGCTATTCACAAAACCCCCTCGAGGGGGTTTCCAACAAATAATTTGCCCCTGGCCAGGACAGGGCGGGGCAGGGGCTGTTTTCCGGAAAGTGGGAGGGCAAGAGGCCGGGCTGCCTGGAAACTGCCAGCCTGGGACCTAAGAAGGGTTTGGGTGGCGGCAGAAAGCGTGGCGGCGTCACTACAGTCGAAAGGCTTTACCCTCCGTTACCGTTCTGAGGGCACGCTCGGCCGGGGGCCTCGGTCGGAGCCTGGAGCGCCCATGTAAATGGTCAGCGGCGCTCTTGGCCGTTTAGGGTTTAGGGTCCAGGGTCAAAATGGTACTACTCAGGCATCTAGATACCTGAGCTGCCGGAGCTGAGCAAGTTCGGCGGGAACTTGCCCTCCAAAAGCCATCCCCATAAACGCAAGTCCGGTGATTTGGCCTTGCTCATCGCACTGGAAGTTCTGCCAAACCAAATCGCACGGGTTTTGCAGCATCACTTGGGCGTCCTCTGACTGGTTCTCAGTACTGTAAGGAATGGGGAATGGGTTATTGGGACTACTATCTAAGAGACGATCATAGGGATCCATTCCCCCATTTCTCACCCTAGACCCTAAAACCTAAACCCTAAACCTATTAAACCCTAAACCCTAAACCTTAAACTAAACCCTACACCCTAAACCCTAAACCTTAAACCCTAAACCAGGGCGTCCTCGGTCGGAATGCCGAGCTTCATTAAAATCTTCTGGAGCCAGGCTTCCTGGGTCGAGGTGGCCCACGCCATGTCGGCGAGCAGAGCACATCGCAGCAGCGACATGGCGGGGGGCTTTAGGGTTTTAGGTTTTTAGGGTTTTTAGGGCTTTAGGGGTTTAGGACTTAAGGGTTTAAGGGTTTCGTGTGTGGGGTTTTGGTTTAGGGTCGAAGCTCACAAGAAGACTTGTCGACAAACCCGAAGACCGTCAAGCCTTCAGCGTGCGTAAGTGCTCGACTGGAAGCATCTTTTCAGCCTCAAAGCTCGAGCCATTAAACTGCAAAGCCCTTCATTACTGAGCCAAGGATAAGCAAGGCATTGCCCAGTATAACGGGTCTTTTTGATTAGAATAGGGCTTTAAGGGCGTGTTACAGTATACATATAGGATGGAATTCTAAATAAGAATGATATTTGTAGCCTGTAGGATTTGTCGGGATCCTTAAACAATTATCTTATGTTTCTAACATACGCCATAGTCAATATCCTAACTAATGAATCCCCTGCACTAGAACTTCAAGGCGTCTCTCTTTGGAGGCCTTCCAATGTCTATGGCTTGGCGAAACCTCCGCGGGTTCCACCTACTGCTGCTGCACTGCCGCAAACCTCTTCATAAAATGCACGCAACATCCCCAAGAGCCCCTATACCTCCAATTCCGGATCAACCTGGAAGCTTATATAGCTAAACCTTAAAGCGCTAACCTCCAAACCCCTAAACCACAAACCCCTGAGCCGCTAAACCCTAAACCCCCACAGTGAGCCTCCCGAGAAATACACAAGAATGCTGCACCCAGCGGTAGTGTAGTGGGCAAGGCCTGCGTCCACGATGTCCTTGCGAGTCCGACATGTCCCGGGTCAAACTGCCGAAACCTATTGAGTGTCTCCGGTGTCGCTTCAATTAGATGGTATACAACAAATTTCTGTATGTACTCGTGTATACATATACTATACATGTATAGGCATACATACTTTTCGTTTATTTACGTATGTGTTTTCCATTCATCGATTTATGTGTTTGTTTATCGGTTTATCAAACTATCTATTCATATACTTATGTACTTATTCATTCATTTTTACAGTTATTTTATCTAGTTATGTAGTGGTGCACTTAGTTAGTTAGTTGTTTATGTATTTATCCATGGGTTTGTTTATGTGCCTGTTTGCACATATTCGTACTTATCTACTTACCTATTTAGTTTTTCATTGATTGATTGAGTTATTCATGCATGTACTTATTATGGCGCGCTTTCTTTGTTTGTTTGCATATTCACACATGTCTTTCTGTTGACCAACGAATAGGCTTGTCTTGGCTGAGCTGCATCTGTCACGCGATTGATGATATAAACCCTGCATTGCCCACAATAAGGAATATACCAGAATTCCGATAGTTTAGGGTCATTGAGGTAATGCAGGGTTTGTATCATCAACCGTAAACCCTAAATCCTTATGGATCCAAGAATTTGGGGGGTTTTCATTAAGACACCCCGGTCTTTGTTACAACTCTTTCAGATAGAACCAGGGTCTCTGAGTCAGGTTCCTACATTATGCTTCTTTGCGAGGCCTCACAGTTTCAGCGAAGCAGCAGGCATGGAGGGTAACATCATAACCATGTTGTGATACATGAAGAACATGAATGCCTCGATGCGCTGGTGATCTAGAGAGTTTGGAACCAGCCCAGATAAAGATCCCGAGCCTGAGAGGACTCCCACACACTCTCCTCGCTTATTCATACTTGGAGACTTAGAAAGGAGGTAATAAGGAGAGTTATAAGTACCCTATGTGGGATCCCAATTGGGGTTCTGGTACTGATAACTCTATAAAATTAACTACTTACGAAGTCCGCCGCCCCCAGAACGGCGCAATGCCTGCAGACGCTTGGACCCGGACGCGGCGGGCTCCGGAGGTACTCCATCAGAACATCGCGAGCATCGGCTTGGGGTTAAGGGTGACTCCCAGACCAAGCAACATGCATATGAAACCGGCAGCGAGCTGAATCAAAGCCTAGTCCTGCGAAAGCCGAACCCCATCCTTCATGACAGTCTTTCGGGCGTCAAAACTTGGGTCCCTAAACCCCTAAGCCCCTAAAATCCCCTAAACCCTAAACCCCTAAACACTGAACCCTAAACCGGGGTGCACGGGATGATGCGGCACTGAACCGGGACAGCCTGCGGCTGCGGGCCCGACGGTCCGAGGATTTCTTCTAAAAGCGATGTCAAAGGGGACATAAGAAGCCGAAGAGGAAGAAGAGCATTAAAGATTTTTGGGTTTAGGGCTTCTTCAAGGGATCTCAGAAGAATATAAGAACCCTTATAAGAAGCCTGGAAGACTGAGAGTTTCGGGACTACTACTACTACAGGGGCTGAAGAATCAGAATGGGAGGACTTTGGGTCATTCCTTTATCGGTTCTACATAGGGGTTACTATAATGGTTCGGTATATGGGCCTTAAGAATTAGAATGGGATTTTGGGTCATGCTGTATTGTCAGCATCATAAGGACCCCGAACACGAATAGCTTGTTTTCTCAGGCGGCGTACAGTCCTGTCGAGCGCGCACCGAAAACACCATGAATTCAAGAGGTGAAACGGCAAGAGACTGCGGAACGCCCAGGCGACAAGTGGACAGAGGACTGCCTGGTGCTTAGTAAGGACTGGGGAATGGATCCCTTTCGTAGCCCCTGAATAATCCCCAACAATAGTCCTATAGACCCCTTATGGATCCCTTATCGATCCTTTAGAGGAACCCTTAAGGATCCCTTATTCCCCCATTCTCTACTAAGAACCAGACAGAAGTGGACAGAGGAAATCTGCCACTCGGCGAGCGGACCTACAGAGTCCCTACTGCAGGCAAGAGAGACCTGACAAGGAGCTCATGTACTATATCTCATATACTGTATATCTTAAACCGAATACAATTCAAATATTCACTGTACATTTTAAGAAAAGGACGAATGATACTGAGCACTAGTCAGGCCTCTTGATTAGGCTGGAGGATTAGACACCGTTTCTTTTGTCTCGGTGCCTCGCACAGTCAGGAAGGTGAACCGTTCCAGCCAGTTATACAGCTTCAAGCGAGGGAGTGAGAATAGGCCTTTCAAGACAATCCTGCATGGCTGGACGAATCTTTATCAGAAGTAGTGATGCATGCCATATGCAAGAGCTACCTGCTACCCACCACACTCCTTGAGCTTGAATACGACCCTCCGCTGGACTCTTGCTCAGATAAAGCTCAACGTCTCCACGTTGAGCTGCACTGCACCACCTTGCTGCAGGTCCAGCCACTGCGCGCTGGCAGCCTGCCAGGTTTAGGGCTTGGGGTGCGTGAGGTTCAAAGGTTTCAGCATTCTGAAGGGCTTTCAAGGTTTAGGGATATGTTGGGGGGGTTTTGCGGCATCAACCTTTAGGGCTTGTTTGCCAAATCTGCGAGGGTTTTTGGGCTCCGGCGCTGGATCCCTCGACGCCGATGGTAGGGGTGGAACTTTGAGGATTTGGTTAGCCTTGGCCAAAACTGAGCATGGCTGCAATGACCGAGAGTGCGATGTGAACGGCTGCTTGGCCGAATATAACCCTAGCATGCACCACCTATCGACTCCCACCTTTTGTCAGAAAATCCTTACATAAACGGCGAGAAGCCCAACCTCTACAAGTTCTGTATATCGCAGCATAGAACCCTCGACCCCTAAACCTTTCGAGGTTCAACATTGGCCGGCGAGCATAGCTTGGCCGACGCTCCGTGCACCCGTGATCACCAAACCCGGACCCGGAGCCTCTCCTCTGAAGCTGAAAGCCTAAACCCGAGAATGAGTCGAAACACAACTAGATGTAAATACAAGCAGATGGGTAAAAATACAACTGAAATCTTCAGAAATTGGTCTAGATGGGGGAACATACAACCAGATGGGTGAGTATGCAACTCGGGTTCTTTGGGGGGAAACCCAACTCTTGCGAGTTCTGCAGATCGCAGCTTAGAGCCCTAAACCCTAAACCCTAAACCCTAAACCCCTAAACCCGAAGCCCTAAACCCTCCAAAATAAGTCTGGATTTCAATTTCAATTATGTTTTGAAACCGATTCTAATACTTCATTGCGGGTTTTAGGGATTAGCTTCGAGAAACAATTAAAATCGGTGTTAATACCTTCTCAATTTTTCTCTTGCCAATGACTTGAAATCAATTTTAATACCCTGGTCCAGAGGTTCTGAGTTCGGAAACACTTGGAATCGATTTTAATTGATCTGGCTATTGGGACCCCTGCGCGGGGTATTAAAATCGATTTTAATTGGTCCGCCTCGTGACAACACTTGGAATCGATTTTAATTGATTTGGCTATTGGGACCCCTGCACAGGGTATTAAAATCGATTTTAATTGGTCCGCCTCGTGACAACACTTGGAATCGATTTTAATTGATTTGGCTATTGTGACCCCTGCACAGGGTATTAAAATCGATTTTAATTGATATGGACACATTTGTACACCTGGATGACAGGACTTGGGACCGTTTAAAGCATTAAGGGGGCGATAGCAACCCTACGGTTTCGTGATCTAGGCTTTCGTACCCAGGTGCTATACTTGGAGGTTCATGGGACTTAGTAACTATGGTTATAAATAAGGTAACTAGACTTAAAATTGGTTGTAACCCCAGCTAAGGTACTTACAACTGTACTTACTAAGTCCCATGAACCCCCAAGTAAATCTTCAGGGCTTGGGGATTTGGGGTTTTGAGGGTTTACCTGTAGCCCCAATGTAACCCGAAACCCTAAACCCTCGAGAGGGAAAAACCCTTAACCCTTGACCCTTAGCCTTTAACCCTTAACCCTTAACCCTTAACCCTAAACCCTAAACCCTAAATTCTAAGCCTAAACCCCAACCCCTAAACCCCAACCCCTAAACCCTAAACCCGAGTAGGTTCAGGGTTTGTGAAGGTAGTTCCTTCAGAACTCAATTCGGGGCCTCGAAAAGGCCCAAGAAACCCTGCAAGAATGGTCAGATCTTTGGCAAATCTGCAGTCTTCTGGCTTGGCAGTTTTGTGTTTTGAACACAAACCCTAAACCCTAAACTGTCTACCGTGAGAGTGCTGCAAACCCGAAAGACCTGAACCCAAAGCCGTGAACCTGAAACCCAAGGACCGAGCTCCGCGGACCTCACCCCTAGACCTTAAGCCCTCGACGCTCTACAGTACCCTCATGAGTCCTGCAAAGCCGAAAGACCCCAAAGCCCTAAGACCCCAAAGCCCTGCGCCCTAAACCCAACAAGGAGCCCTGTGAAGCCCGACAACCTGAAACCGACACCCACCCTTACCCCCACAGACCTCAACCCTAAACCTTAAACCCTAGACCGTCTACCCTCAGAGAGCCTCAAAGCCCGTAGACCTGAACCCACAGCTCTGTGAAACCCGAGGACCTCAACCTGAACTCTTCCCGAAACCCTGACCCGCTCTGGAAACCGTCCTCCAAGCAAAAAGTATTAAAATCGATTTTAATACCTACCGGGCGGAGTGGCCGTCCATATGCATTAAAATCGATTTAAATACACCCGTGTGCCTGGTCAGGTCACCCTGGAAGGTATTAAAATCGATGTTAATTGATGTCCCTGGCCGACACGGCCCGCCCTCCGGGCGGATAAACAACTCGATTTTAATTGACAATTAAAATCGAAATCCAGTGCCATCCCCTAAACCCTACAAATACGCCCTAAGCCGTAAGTACACTCCAGGCACCTCGAGGAGGCGCAGGGAGAGGGACTCGCGGCAATCTGAACGGCGCTCTTTGGGGTTTGTTTAGGCTTTGCGGTGTCAGTTTTGGGTTTTGGGTTTTAGGGTTTAGGCGGCTGAGGGTTTAGGCTTTAGGTTTGAGGGTTTAGGCGGCTTATTTTCGAGGGTTTAGGATCGAGGGTTTGGGCCCGAGATGGTTCTCCTATCAGTGCACGCTTCTGGGGCCAGCCCAGATTGATTCCGTTACCTGGCAACTCCACAAGCCTGGGTCCTTGCCGGACTTGGTGGCCCTGTTCCTCAAGTTTTCGAATTCGCAAAAGCCGCCACGATCTCAGCCTCAGTGCCCAAAGCTTTCAAACTTCCGGAAGCCTCCTCCAGCAAAGAACCCTGAAAACCAAGTCTACAGACCCGGGTCTCACGTCTGAAGTTCCCTCAAAATCTTCATGGCCCTCACTCCCCTGAGGTGCGTGAAACTCCCTCCCAAAACCCCAAACACAATGTTGTTCATATTGTTCATTAAGTTGTCAGATATTATGTTATAGTATGCTATAGTATGAAATATTGCATTACTTTTTTCAGACTATGTCAGATTTTCAGGTGCAGCCCCCCCCAAGATCCTCAAAGCCCCCGCGGCGATGGCCTGGCCGCAGGGTCTGAGTGGCGGCCGTGACCACCGGCGCCACCAGCGCCGCGCGGGTGAGCCAAAGGAGGTCGAAGGCGAAACCGCCGGCGGCCACCGACAGACCTCGGCAAGGGGATTCGGACTTTAAGGCTTTTGGGGGCTTAGGGTTTAGGGTTGGGGGCTTAGGGTTTAAGGGTTGAGGGTTCAGGGTCTAAGGGTACAGGCTGCGGATCGCAGGCTAGAGGATCCAAATTCCCGGAAGGACCCCTTCTAACCCCCAGCATTTGCTTCAAGCCTGAAGACGCAAATTGCAAGCCCTACCGGGACCCTATAAAGCCTTCCTCTTTGGGTTCCCTATTATGATTTCCTTGTATGAGTCCTTCAAAACGTAGGGTTGTTTCGGGTTAAGGTATACCCTAAGCCCCAAAACTCCGACGAGGTGTTTCCTGCTCGGGCCTTGAAGCCCCTTGAGCTTTCCTCAAGCAAGCCACAGAGGACCCTAAACCCCTAAACCCTAAACCCTAAGCCGCGAAAGCCGCAAAACCTGAACCCTAAACCGCCTAAACCCTAAACCCTAAACCTTCAACCCTAAACCCTGAACCCTAACCCCTAAACCAAGCCGCATAGGAAACAGAAGCACTGCAAGTCGTTGACCTGCAGGGCAGGCCCAGGCCACCCACCACTTGGAGGGTCGGAGGACTTAGCAGGGCTCCTTAAAGGGCTCCTCAAAGGGATCTGGAAGGGGATCTATAAGGGAGGTCGGGGGACTTAGTAAGTAGGTAAGAAGTAGACTCATAAGTGCCCCAAGTCGTCCTAATTAGGGGTTATGGTACCTATAAGTCTGGAAAATAACTACTTACTATAAGTCCCCGACCCTCCAAGCACCGACACCGCCTCCAAAACCATCCGAAATAGGGGTCGGAAGAGTAGAACGGGGTTTTGGGAGGCTCCAGGAGCCCGAGCCGCAGAGCCCCCCCCCTGCAGCCCAAGCTACATGCACCACTTCCTTGGCGGATCTAGAAACTCTGAAGATTCCGGAACCCTGCCTGGCGCTGCCTATAGGGCTTGAGGGTGCCGAGAACGATGCTGGTCCCCAAGGTGAAGCTCAGGGTGAACATGAGCTGGAAAGAGTTCACCGCCTCGGACATTTTCGTGTAAATATGTGTCGTCAAGACACTCTGACAGCTTCAAGTTTAAGCCGCCCAAGGGAGTTCCAATCAACCTGCTGACGAAGCTCAGGACTCACCGAAGGATAATCCCCTGAAGGAAACGTCAGACTCTACACCCAATCTCAGAGCCAAAGCTGAGGCGGGACGCTGCGACGATGCCCACCACCACAAGCTTCAGGGCAACCTCGACCCAAATGCTCTGGCAATTGGCCTTGGAGCATGCGGTTTAGGGTTCAGGGCTGAAAGTGGTATTGGGGGCAATTCTCAGATGCATTCAGCCCCAAGCGGTTAAGGAGTGATGGTCACAGGTACGTACCTTCCTTTCAACAGCCACAGCCTGACTCCAACGGGGAAGGTTGATTGTCGTGGACAACCCGGGGATGCTGTGATGCGGCACGTTGCTGGAAAGGCCTCTGTCTATGCTTCTCTCGGAAGACCTGCTTGCAAGGTCGGCAGGCAGGCACTGACTTCAGCCCAAGAAAGGCCGCAAAAACAGCTCCGGTCGGCTCAAACAAGGTCTTTATAGGAGCAGGAGATGCGCTCCTCATACTTTAGACTCCTGCGTGAAGGCTTTCGGGAACGACGGCCCAAGGTCCGGGAAGCTTCTAACTGTTGCTGCACTCCGCGCCAGACCGATGCTTCTGTCTTGGTACAAAGTGTCCAAACTTGTAGAGTCTCACATCTTAGGCCCTTTGAGCATGCCCCAGAACTCTTTATTCTTAAGATATGAGCTACTCTCGAGTTCCTTGGACCAGGCGCATATTTGAAGAAGAGCTCCTTTGCACCAGCCAAGACTCCTCGGCAACACCGTGTCGCGTGAGGTCGCGGGTGGGATGCACAATGCAGTCCTTCACAATACCCTTACAGCCCAAACTACCTAAAACTGTGTAGGCACCTGGGTGTAGGAGAATGAGAATGCTGCATATGATGAACAACACCCCAGTTCCACTCTGCAGGGCCCATGCTGGAAGCGGCTGCCTTCAAACTCCATTTCAAAAAATAGCTGTGTGCAGACACGAAATTGAATGCTCCCAAGCCTAGCTCCAACTTTGGGTCCAACCCTAGGCAAGTTCTGCCAGGCGTCTGTCGGACGGCGACGCTTCTTCGATAATGCAGCGCTCCTTCAACATCCTTGCAAATGCAAGCCCGCTCTCCACAGCAACAAAGCAGCCCATGACGATATATGACGATTGTGCTTGAGGTTTCACTCTGCGAAGTTGAGGAAATGTGCGAGCATCAGCTGGTATTGCAGGGCGTGCAGAGGGTTCTTGCAAACAGACAGGTCAGGAAGGCGCGTGTCTAGAGTCTAGAAGGGCCTTAGTCGCACTCCCACCTATGGGGTTTTGGATGGTTTGGGGCATGCAGTGTACAGCCAAGCTCGTAACTGCAGCCTGCGTCAGCTCACATGGGGATCCTATGCCTCAGAGAGAAGTTGCAACATGCAGGCGTATCCCCAACATTCCCCAACCCTAGCGCCTGGTGATTGCCTGCCACCGCTGCAAGTCGGCATCTGCTTTGTTGTCAAGGGCCGTGGATAGGATGTTGTCGGCCTGCAAACTACCCTCAACAGCTCGCCCCGGGCACTCGGTGGACCTTGCTTTCTGGCTGGGGTTCACAACTCTGACCCCAGAAGCATCATCGACTCTGTCGTTGAGGCTTCTAAATTCTGTCAGGTGGCATCGAACTCCACTTCGTCGCTGCCGCAGCGCCCATCCCCGGGCTGCAAAACCCTCGGCACAGCCAAAATCCACCGTGATCTTGAGGAGTGTTACAGAAAAGGCCGATTCTTGAACCCTAAACCCTGAAACGAATCCTCTGTGCCGAGCGGCAGGCAGCCATCGGAGGCCGTAATGTGCACGGAGCCGCGGAAGAAGACGGCACAGTAGGCAACTGCCGACGCCAACTGCAATCGAGAACTCATCTCCTTCGAATCCTGCCGACAAAGAGATTGGGCTTTGCAACTTACGGTTTAGGGTTGAGGGGGTTGAGGATTCAGGATCAAGCTAGAGAAGGCTCTACGACAAGGTTGGCAAGTGTCCTCGGACTTAGCCTGCAGTGGGACCATCCGGAGTTTTGTGATCTCCCCCTGCTCGGATGATAAGTGGGCAATGCGTCGGCTTGCTGCAAGACTCCATTGCTGTTTGACCATCAAGCCGACCATGCACGCTGGGATAAAAATGCCGTAGCCAACGGCGCATCCCCGGCCGATTGCAGCGACCTCGGTGGCAGTGCACTGGGCAGTACTGCGAGCGGTGCCGAGCGTGCACGCATGGAAATGCATGGAAAATCGATGTTTAAGAGAAGTGCTGGGGTGTCGTATCGACTCGAGGCCGCGGCCCAGGGTGCTTCCGAGCACTTCAGGTGCGGCAGCAAGGAGCGGAAGGCGTGTTCCTCCCCCAGCGGCTCTCCATCTGCGCCGGGCGCAGAACTTAAGACGTGATGCCCTAACCCCATAAGCGAAAAAAACAAACTGAACCCCCAAACCAAACCATCAGCCGTAACCTGCAGAAACTTTGGGCTGCTTGCCGACCTCCATCGAGCTCCTGACACCGCAGGAGTCCCGCGCAGCTCGAGGCTCCGCCAATGAAGGCCAAGGACAACACTTGCAGCGCCATGCTTATACCTGGCGACAGACAACACGACCTTGCTTATCCTTGCTTTGTACCGCCACCCGTCTTTCTACCAAAGCTTCAAGACTTCCAACCCTTCTAATGATTCTAACGTAGCAGCTGCTCGCGAGACTTCTCTGCAGACGGAAAAACATAAAGGCTGGGAGTCTCTGTGGGTTTAGCTAGACTTGATATTAAGAAATCATCATCGTCGTACGCACACTGCCACGTATTAGCTGCTGCTGGCTTTGGTGCTGGTACCAGCGCTAGTAATGGTAACGGTACGGGAAATGCTCTTGGTGTTGATGGTGAAAGTGGGACATACTCCCATATGATACTTTGCCGTATTACTGAAAGCAGCTGGCAGCCGATAGTAGTTCTGAATTAAAGCCCTAGAAGCAAGCAAAGTCGGAGTAAGCATATTGGCACATCGTGATCGTATAACCTCGCAATGGGGGAAGACACTGCAGTAACAGTTGCATGGCCCACCTCGACCTCGCAAAAAGGCTTCCAGGATGGCACAGGCGGCCAAAAGCAGCAAGGGCAGTACCGGTCCCAGTAGAGCACAAGCCAGGCGGGCGTTCCTGGCGGCGCAAAGGGATCTTCAAAAACTGAGATGGGATTTGGGTGGCTGCCCCTGCGGCCTTCCGTACTCGCATTCCAAGCTCAAAGCGTCCCGGAGCCCGCCCGCTGTCAGCTGCAGCCACTGAATGTACTCCTGGCACTGCCGCCGTGGTATGCGAATCAGTCTCACAGACTTGACATCCCTATACATCCCTGAACCGATTCTGGCTGGCTACCGTCACTGCATAGCGGCCTGGTCCCAGGTCCGCGCGGTGGTCTCGCCGGTGCTCTTCTTGCTCAGGGCCACGAGCACGCCCCAGAGCTGGAGAAATTGCAGCAGCACAGGGCCTTGTGCCAACAGCAGCGGCAAGAGAGCCTCAAGCAGGCAGCTGCTGGAATTACGTCTTCGCTTGCTCGAACTTGCATTCCCTTCCCAGTGGTAGCCGCCACAAACTGTTATAGTTGTTCTCCAAACCCTCTCTTTCTCAGCTCTGCACACTACTCCCCATCTTGGCTGCCGGGATGCAGTGTAGGGTGTCGGAGCCGCTGGAGTTGCTGCTGCCGGGACTGGGCGGCTCCTCAGCTGGTCAGGGCTTGTGCAGCGGCCGAAGATGGCCGGTAATTGCATGACTATGACCACAAAGATCGGTGTGAACATGTTCTACTGCTGATCACCAGCACGCAGGCATATCATGATAGCTGATTTGCAGAACCCAGTCTGCGCACCTCCAGGCGAAAAAGGCGGAGCCTCCAGCCGCCACCGTTGCCGCAGCGAGCGCGATGGGCCACCGGGCCGCTTCGTAGCCTTCCTCGCAGAGCATTCGGCGTACTTTTGTCAAACGGCCGGCTTCTTTTTTTAATTTCGCTCTGCGACCGGATGCCAACCCTGTCCTCGCACTTCTTGCAGCGCCGGCCCTGGCTGCGGTACTTCTCAGCGCAAGCGGAGCAAAGGGGCCCCTCGTAACCTCAACGAAGGCAAGGGACACTGAATGTGAGAACTTCTAAGTTTACATTGGCCTGGTTGCAGAAGAACAGCATGGAACAGCAATGATACACAGTGCCATCACCGTACCGTACCAGAAACGATTACATAATGAAGAAGTGCGGCGGCCACGTCAGCTGGATAACACAAGAGCGTCCAACAAGCTACATGCCGCATGCCGAGGGGGATCCAACATTTGGGCCATTGTCTATGTGCACTTCGGTGCACTTGTGACGTGCAAAGCTCCCTCCGACAGCCCTTTGCCGAGCAGCCGGACACGCACCCGAGCTCCGAAGCATTCGCTGACGCGTTGCAGCGCTCCTCTGCGGGATCCAAGCACCTGCAACAGAGAGGCTGAGATATGCCAGGCATCTTCCACCCTAAGTCTATTCGCCTCAGATTCATCCCTGCATTCTCCGTAGAAGACCTGTACTGACACAGCTGTGCAAGCACGAGACTCTACGAGAACTTCGGTGGTGATCTCAGGGACAACTCTTGGGAGGCTCTCAAGAGGAACGCTATCACGGGCAGAAGCGCTCTAATTCGACGGAAGGTTAGCTGCACAATGCTCTCCAAGCCACTTCTTGGCTGTGGGCGCTCCGGGGTAGAGGCGCGCGTGCCCGAGAGTTGGTGGTGCTTTGGTCGCGAGGCTTCCGGGGTCCTCGCAGTCCTGCCAAGTACAGCCCGACCGACATGGGAGGGCTCTGCTATCTTCCTCTTACATGCCCCAGAACCTGACCACACCCGACTCTGCGCCCGCTAGGACCCATGTGGGCTCGCTGGAGTTCTGCCACGAAGAGGGCTTAGGGTCAGAGTGCATGGCAATGTATACGTGGCATCCAGGGGTGGGCAGATGATGCGGCAGCTGATTTCTCTTCTTGAAGTCCGACAACATGAAGCTGAAGCAACCCTCCCGTGAATCCCAGTGAGATTCCCCGGTCCAGCTTCAGGTCGTTGCAGTCCACGCACTGGCCGTGGAGAGCATCACTGGGATAGTGGAGGGCCTCGTGGGCATCGCACTGGCAGGAGTCGCCGTGGATCCTGCGCAGCTAAGCAGAAAGACCAAACTAACCCTCCGGGCACCCTGTGTGGACCACTCGTGGCAAGGTAAAGTAGACCCCTGATCAAGAAATCCCTCTCCTGTCGTCACGATTAGAACAGGGATCCGAGCATACCTTAAAGAAAGCCATCTGTTAAAAAATGTTACGAGTCATCAGAGGCTTAATCATCGGCCAGGCTTCTCGAGAATCAACTGCCGGGGCAGCTGAAGTCAGGTCTAGCTGGTTCGTGGTTCAAGGCATCTGCCAGACCCTCAAATTCTTCGACTGTTGCCGGCTCTAAACCCTCCCACCATGGGTCCTTCCAACTTCGCACCGGCAACTTCGCAAGGAGTCCGAGCCTACTGAACCTTGCGTGCTGCTGCCTGGGGGACACTTCCGGCAGTCGCTCTGGTCGAATGTGGGATTGTACTGGTCCTCGCTGCAGCGGTGACAGTCGGTGCTCGTTCCCTGCCAGCCCGGTTGGCAGCCGCACAGGACATCGGGCAAGAAGCGGGATGGCGTCACTTGCAGGACTGCACTCGGCAATCCGTAGCACGCAAACCCTCTTGCGGCATCTGTTATGGTGGGGCGCTCGGTGGCGTTCAGCCATCCCTTGGCAATCAGATCCCTGGCCTCGGTGGTATCCACAAGCGCCACATTGGTCAGGTCTAGTCGGACGCCGTCTTCCAGGGCTTTGCGCAGCATGCCGTGTGGAATGTCCACACATCCGTTGTCAGCCAAATATAGCACGCTGTTGGCATTGAGGGCCTCAATCCGCCGGATACTGTTTCCGGACAGGTCCAAGGTCTGCAGAGCGCCTGCCAAGGGAGCGGCAATGCCAGCCCAGCTTACGTTATCCATCATCACCTCCAACTTCGTCAGGTCCAGAGCGTCCCCCGTAAGGTTTGCGTGCGAAGCGGCAACTTTGCCCAGCGACTTGCACGCAGCGAGCGGCAACAGAAGGTCCATAACGTCGCCATTCATGGGACAGCTGGACACCTGCAACCGCACTGAACTGCAGTGATGTTCGATACTTCTGGGGCAGGGACTATGGCTGGGCATCAACGGGCTGAGCCAAGAACAGGGCAGGACATTCATTGGAGGAGCTGAAGTGCATTAACACGGTGACAGGCAAGCAGCGTCCAGCTCGACTAAGGCGGGCAGCAGCGCCCCGTCACTGAGTGGATCGCTGTCGAGGCAGCGGAGCTTCGACAGCTCGTCGCCACGGGGCAGGAAGTCGGCCTTGCTTGCCTGAGCAGAAGCAGACCGCCTGTGCAAGTGCCCAACAGATCCCAACATCACAGACCTTGGAACCAAGGGCGGGGCCGCGAGGTTTAGGCGTCGCAATTTCTTCAGTTGCCCTCGCCAGTGCCGCGTCAGACCTCCGGGCCGTCAGACTTTTGATTGACAGTGCACGCAGTGCTGCTTTCAGCATCTGCTGCTGCGGGATAGATTTCAGGAGTTCGTACAAAGCAGGACAGACCAGAGTCAAATCTGAGATGCGGCATATGAAGCTTGTTCAAGCCGCACATTATCCTACCGAAACCTTGCCAGATGTAAACGATGTAAGCAGAACCTCAGCCAAGGCTTTTGTCGAGCGCTGTTCGCTTCGAGTGTCAACGGCACGGATCTGCAGCCAAGTTATATGTCAAGTGTTGTGGCGGCTTGAAGCACAGCACAGTCTGAACATTTGTTGAGAAATGCTGGACACGTGATGTATGGATCTGGCAGCACCATCGAGCCACGTTCACCAACCACAGCTACGTTTCTGTCCCATCCGTTCGAGAAGGATTCTGGCGTTGCACTGGGCCGACTGCGTGCTTCACACTGAAGGCCGCAACCTCCCTTTTCCCGTCCCGGGGGCGAGCTTGCTGGGCTCCGCCTAAAGGCAATAACGCAGCCTGTGTATTTTGGTGTTCAACTCTTGCCGCGTTCTGAGCATTGCTGGCAAAGGATATCCTTGCAAACCACCGAGATTGTCAAAGAACATGTAGACTTGAATGACGAAGGCTCCCTCAGCTCACGGAAGCCCGCAGAAAGCTGACGAACGACATGTTTTTTGGCTGTGCTGTCACAAAACATCATATAAACGTTGGCACGTCAGTCAACGAGGCATACCCTTCGACATCCCTGATTTTGAAAACACGCAACTTCCTCAGGTGAACTTTGTCTCCCGCATGCTTCTGCAACCTCTCTCTGGCCCCTGGAGCGGAACTTCAAAGTAGTGTTTTCCAGCTAGTGCCAAAGCTTAATATTCGATAGATTTGGGGCGTCGAGAGCATAGTGCTGTGCTGCCGGGCGTTGCTTGCATGTTCGTCAGCATCCGACGCAATATTTGCATGCTAAAAAAACGGTGCCCGTGACCTAAACCTCCGACAAAGGACGATTAGCGATTGTCTTGTTGGATTTCGACTTAATTTCAATTTACGAGAACTATCAGAGCCGGTGGGGCCCTTTCCTGTCAGACAAGGGGGCAAAGATTCCCATGACTTTTCGAGAAAACCCTTTTTGCTCTTTGGGGAAGATTGCGCAGGACAACTCAAAACAATCACTGTGTACTGGGGAGCAATTAAAGCACAGGAACGCAACCTTCAGAGTGCCCATAGGCCGTGAGTCTTGGGAAGTTTGGGCTCCCGCCTCCGGTCACGGCAGTGGATGCGAGGTCGGCCTCTTCCAGATTGGCGAACTTCGTCAGGACGTCCAGGGAGCCTGAGACCCGGGTGCCCTGGAGGCGCAGCTCACGGAGCTCCCGCATCGCCTCGAAGGCAGGGACTGGGATAAAAAAAAGCTGAAAGCTCGCCGAGTCAACCAGGGCCCCGGGCCTGCAGCGACCCAAGCTCCCCGCCGACACGGGTGTTGTGGAGCCACAGCGTGGTCATGCGGGTCATCTTTGCCAGCGTCTCCAGCGTCCCCGCGATCTTGGTGTCTTCGAGGTCGAGCACTCGCATGTTGTGCATGGAAGCCAGGGGCACGAGATCCCCGCGGACGCGGGTGTTGTAGAGCCAGAGCCCGGCCAAGCGGGTCATGTTTCTCAGAGCCTCCAGCGTGCCGTCCACTTGCGTGTATGAGAGACGGAGCTTCTGCATCTGTCCCATTCGGCTCAGGAATCCTAGATCTCCTCTGATCTGGGTAGAGGACAACTCGAGCAGCTTCAGGTGCACCAGCGTGGCAAGGACGGACAGGTCGCCTCTGAGCTTCCGGTTCATGAACAAATCCAGCTCCTCCAAATCTGCGAGGCCCCCGATTTCGGCGGGAAGCTTTCCTGTCAGCACCCAAAAACAAACAGCCAAACCGCACAACCCGGACGCATTGACAGCATGGAGGTTTTCTCTGGTCAGGCAGCGGGAGCAACGGTCCTGTCAAGTTCCGATTGCCGAGATCGAGACTCCGCACGGTGCACTCGTCAGAGTGGCACTCCACGCCATCCCAGCCACAGTGGCTCCCCGGAAAATCACGCCTCGGCCAGGAAGGGCCTAATAAGCCCTGGCCCGAAGCCTCGAAGTCTTCAATCCTGCAAGTCTAGACCGAGACACCCTCACCCTTGAAACCCCTTCGACGACAGAAGCCCGCCAATGAGGGAGCATGTCTTCTTTCCATTTCAAAACTTTACGTTAGCAAAAGCCACACACCTTATGCGTCTTGAAGAACCTGGCCCAGCGGCGCGTCAATGCCCAGCTTCTGAAAAATCGTGTGGAGCAAGGCGGCGGCGGGACCTCAACGAGACGAACTTATTAATACTAAAAAAGCAGGCGGCAAAGGAATGCAAGGTTTTGGGTTCAGGGTTTAGCCCTCACCAGGATTACTACAAGGGTTTAGGGTCATGTGGTTTAGGGATGTACAGAATGCTAATGCTGAATGCTGCTCAGACTAGATCGCTTGGCTTTTTGCAAATCCCTGGTGATGCGAGCCAACGACTTGCCATGCTGCCGTTCATGCGATTCTGAACAGTAGCTGAAACCTCATCAATCCATCAGGACTACTGATTACTCCAGTACGGCCGTACGGCACAGCATGCCCACGCCAACCGCACACTCCTCAAAGTCTCAGAGACGGGGGGCAAGCGGTGACATCCGACACCTGCCAGCATGCGCGGTTTGCGACTTCGGAGTTTCGGACTTCGAAATTTGCCGGGCTGAACATTGATGGTCTGGGGTTGATGGCTTTAAGGATAAGCTTTTGGAGCTTGGTCAGACTCCTCCTGCTTAGTTTCGCGCAGATTCTGTTCCCTCACCTGCCTGCCTTGGCAACTGACAGCGAGCCGACGGACCGGAAAGAAGCCTTCTGCTGAAACGCACAAACCGCAGAGGTAAAGCTCTGCAAGAGATCGCCGTGCCTCTGCGTCGAGATGGAGACTTGCCTCCGACGGTTCATGTCGAACCTCAGGGGTTTTGGCTTTAGCGTTTAGGGGGCGTGCCCACATGTATGCTGATGCACTTGTCGCACAAGTCAAGACCTAACTGGTGGAGTGACAATCTGACAGAGAACGTGCCATAACAGAAGAGCCATACCTTGCCTTGATATTTTGACTACTTGACTGGGGTTTGGGCATGTATTATACCAAAGTTCATTCGGATCCATGCAGTACATGTTGACAGGCCGACCAAGGAGTGCTTGAAGGGAACCCTAGTTCAAGTAGACTATTAACCCTAAACCCTAAAACCTAAAGCCTTACAGGAAACATTGAAGAAACCCAACACCTGTAAAGGAACCCTCGAAAGGAACCAGAGTCAGTCTGTTAGACGAATTAACAAGCCTAAACCCAGGAGCCCTTTGAAGGAACCCTTCAAAAGGAGGAGCCCTTGCTAGGGAACCCTGACTGCACGTATCCCCAGGCCTCGTCCAGCTCCAGCTCGAGACCCGCCTTCTGCGGCTCATGTCGGACCTCAGCTCCCGGGCTCCGGCGGCCATCGGACTCCGAAGCTTCCAGGAGTTCCGGGTTGAGAACTTGAATGGGATTCTTTGAGAATTCTTTGGGTTTCGGGTTTAGGGGCTTGCTGTTGTGGTTGAGGGGTTTGGGGAACATCATTTAGGGCTTCAAGTGAAGGGTTTTGTGCATCTCTCCTGAAGCAATGACGTCCTTCGAGAAGCGCCCCTGTGATTTGCCAGGTTGTTTTGGTGTACTGGCACTTGCTCGACGTCTGGCTGCACACAACAGCACACTGGCACTTGCTCGACGTCTGGCTGCACACAACATCACTGCTAGACATGCGAAGACGTGAACGCTCATGCGACGAAAGTGATCTCAGGTTCCAATGACCTAAGAAACTTCAACATGCTGCCAGTAGCAGGTCCTAGAGCTGCGCAAAGAGTTGCAAGAAGGATCTGCGGCTTTATCACAGCGTCTCCGTCCAGTGCCTCTCAAGGTCAGCACTTCCCACGATGCGATGCACCGAGTTCTGAGGTCCCCGTAAACCGCACCTGAACCAAGACCCAAGATCTCTCCAATCCTTCGCTTCCCTGGCCGCTGAGCTCCCAGCAGCGACGCCCAACAGCCAGAGCCAGCAGAGCACCAGGAAAGCCGCCATGGGCGCGAATAGCCACAAGGAGCACTCGAAGTGCTCGCGAAGTATGAAAAGCGACCCCGCAACTCAGGCTAGACACTTCAGAATTGGAGGATATGCTAGATCCCAGTGCAGGCCCTGCAGGCCCAAGAAAAGGGGCGTATGGTCTCTGGTGCTTTCCCCCAGCTTCAAGTTGAGGTTCAGGCGCAGGGTCTGCGAGAAGTTTGCAGACGGACTCGGCTAGGCCGAAACACTGCAGCATCATGCATCATCCTTGTCATTATAGGCATGAACTTCGAGCATCCCAGCCAGCAGCGGCCTTCAATCGGAGCCTTGCGGCCCAACCCTTCATCCCTACGTGTCCTGCACTGCAAAGCCCGTCACCCTGTGATCCATTCATGGCAGACTTTTGGGCGTGAAAACCCGATGAATGAGTGGGGACTGGGCCGGGAGATGACGACTTCCTAAGGCAGCTACTGGTAGGGAGGGGGTAAGGAGAGATGCTACCCCCCTTTTGCTTGAAGTTGACATGCTTTACGAAATCAAGAACCCGATGTCGAAAAGCTTTTTCTTCTCAGGCTGCGCAAAGTCCCGTCGAGCGCGTAACAAAAGCTCCATGAATTCAAGAGGTGAAACGGCACGAGACTGCGGAGCGCCCAGGCGACAAGTGGACAGAGGAAATCTGCCACTCGGCGAGCAGACTCGCAAAGTCTCTGCTGCAGGCAAAAGAGACCTGACAAGGAGCTTGCGTATTATATCTCATATGTTATTGCTCATAAAACTAAACATATCTTATACATTATACATTAGGTATTATGACCTTCACGAGCAAGCGAAACGGACGAATAATATTGAGTATTGTTCAGGCCTCTTCATCAGGCTCGAGCGTTAGACACCGTTTCTTTTGTCTCGGTGCCTCGCACAGCCAGGAAGGTGAACCGTTCCAGCGAGTTATACAGCTTCAAGCGAGGGAGTGAGAACAGGTTTTTCAAGGCAGTCACGCATGCAGGGACGAGTTTCCATCAGAAGTAGTGACACAAGCCATACGCAAGAGCTACCTGCTACCTACCACACTCCTTGAGCTTGAAGACGACCCTCCGCTGGACTCTTGCTCAGATAAAGCTCAACGTCTCCACGTTGAGCTGCACAGCACCTCCTTGCTGCAAGTCCAGCCACTGCGCACTGGCAGCCTGCCAGGTCTAGGGTGTGGGGTTCAAGGGTTTAAGGATTCTGAAAAGCTGTTAGTGCCTTTAGGGTTTGTTTGCCAAATCTGCCAGGGCGTTTGGGCTCCGGCGCTGGATCCCTCGACGCCGATGGTGGGGGTGGAAGTTTGAGGATTTGGCTGGCCTTGGCCAAAACGGAACATGAGCTGCAACGATCGAGAGTGCGATGTGAAGCCAAAGCGTGCTGAAGGAACTTGGGGAGGCTTGGCCGAATTTTGCCCCAGCATGCAACACCTATCAACTCCCCCCTTAAGCCAACAAAAAAACTTACATAAACGTCGAGAGGCCCAATATTTACAGGTTCTGTATATCGCAGCATAGAACCGTCGACCTCTAAACTTTTCGAGGTCCAACATTTGTCGGCGAACCTAGCTTGGCCGACGCTCCCTGCACCCGTGAACACCAAACCAGGACCCAGGAGCCTCTCCTCTGAAGCCCTAAACCCTAAACAGACTGGTGGCCTCTTTATCTGTTCCTAATACTGCCTGGTCTAGCCCTAATCAGGATCCTGATACAGCCCCTAAAACAGCAACCCCAAGCAGAGAGATCACCGACCTATACAACCTAAACCCGAAAGCAGAAGCCAGAAAGTTGGAACATCACTGTCCCACTCATGCCCCCATGGTAGAGAAGAGGGACTTCCGGCACTAATCATCCTAAATCCATGTTCCAACCTTCTGGCATCAAAACCCTTAGCCCTGATTCCTTCGGAACTGGCGGTCCAGCAAAACTAACAACAACGTCGAGAAGCCCAATTCTTGCGAGTTCTGTAGATCGCAGCTTAGAGCCCTAAAACCCTCAAAGTAATCCTTATACGACCCTGAGATTTAAGCCCCGAAGATCCCTAAACCCTAAACGTTTAGGGTTTAAGGTATTTAAAGCCCCGAAGATCCGACCAAGAAAGGGCAGCGGCCACTCCAGGCACCTCGAAGAGGCGCAGGGACAAGGACTCGCGGCAATCTGAACGGCGCTTTTTGGGTTTGTTCGACTTTGCGGTGTAAGTTTTGGGTTTGGGGTTTTAGGGTTTTGGCGGCTGAGGGTTTAGGGTTTAGGTTTGAGGGTTTAGGCGGCTTATTTTCGAGGGTTTTGGATCGAGGGTTTGGGCCCGAGATGGTTCTCCTATCAGTGCTCGCTTCTGGGGCCACCCCAGATTGTTTCCGTTACCTGTCAACTCCACAAGCCTGGGTCCTTGCCAGACTTGGCTCTTCCTTCACGTTTTTGCGGCTCCGAACCCCCATCCCCAAATCTGAGGCCAAATTTTCAACACGTACAAGATGCGCTGCTACCCGATGGGCCTCACAACCCACAAAGCCACGGAGACCAGTTTCCGAATTCATGAAAGCCGCTACGATCTCAGTCTCAGTGCCCAACGCCTTCAAACTTCCGGAAGCCTCCTCCAGCAAAGAACACTGAAAACCAAATCTACAAACCCGGGTCTCACGTCTGAAGTTCCCTCAAAATCCTCATGGCCCTCACTCCCCTGAGCTGGGTGAAACTCCCTCCCAAAACCCCAACACAATGTTGTTCATTAAGTTGTAAGATATTATTTTATAGTATGCTATAGTATGAAATTTTGCATTACCTCATACATTATGTCATATTCTTAAGAGCAGCCCCACCAAAAACCCCCAAAGCCCCCCTGGCGATGGCCTGGGCGCAGGGTCTGAGTGGCGGCCGTGACCACCGGCGCCACCAGCGCCGCACGGGTGAGCCAAAGGAGGTCGAAGGCGAAACCCGCGGCGGCAACGGAAAGACCTCGGCAAGGGGAGTCAGTCGGACTTTAGAGCTTTTGGGGGTTTAGAGGTTTTGGGTTCAGGGTTTAAGGGTTGAGGGCTCAGGGGTTAAGGGTTTAGAATTCAGGGTTGAGGGGTGTTCGGTTCAGGGTTTAGGGTGGGAGCTCTTTGAGGCCAATTCCTTTAGCTATGGCAAGCTTGAGCTTCCCAAGGCACCACTGAGATGGCCTGCTCTTTTGGAGCCCTTATCATTAGAATCGGCTACTGGGGTATATAACGGTATATATGATACCATAGATAGTACAGTTAGAAGGCCTCGGAGAATGACCCGGAGAAGCACTTGCAGATCGCAGGCTAGAGCATGCGAAGTCCCCGAAGGACCCCCTAAAAACCCCCAACATTCGGCAGTCTGAAGGGGCGAATTGCACTGCCAGGCCGCATAGGAAGCAGAAGCACTGCAAGTCGTTGACCTGCAGGGCAGGCGCCGCCGCCACCACCAGGCAAAGACCACCCGAGCTTTGGGGCGTCGGAATGGTATCGAAAAGAACACTGCAGGGTTTTGGGGAAGAAGTAGAGCAATAATGCAATAACCCCCCGATTCCGAGAGGGGACTCGGGCTCAGAGCCCCTGGAGGCGCCATGAGCCCAAGGCACGGAGCCCATGTAAAGCCCAAGCTGTACACTTAACCTTTTGGGTCGCCTCCTTTTGTGGGCTTAGGGGTGTAGGGGTTTGGGGTTTAGGGTTTACAGTACACCCCCGGTTTCCTGATGAAGGAGCTTCAATCAAAAGCAGAATCTGAAGAGCAAACCCTGCCTGGCGCTGCTTGTAGGGCTTGAGGGTGCCGAGGACAATGCTGGTCCCCAAGGTGAGGCTCAGGGTGAACATGAGTTGGAAAGAAGTTGCCACCTCGGATATTTTCGGATTGTTAGCCGATCAGCCTCCATCTTACGCACAGCTGAATCACAATCGATCTGAAGACGAAGCGAAGGAGCCACGGGAGGATGTGTCTGCCGCAATGCCTCCAATCTAGGAGTCTAGAGTGGCTCCTCGCACATCCGGTGAAGATCCTCCTCCAGACCCCAGCATTGACCATGCATCCAGAGAATCTCTATATCCTGAAATCTCATCCTCGAAAGGAAACCTTTCCCTGAATACCCGATCCCAGAGCCAAAGCTGCGGCAGGGCCGCTGCCACAGGGACCGCGACGATGCGCACCACCACCAGCTTCAGCGCAACCTCGACCCAAATGCTCTGGCAATTGGCCTTGGAGCTTGCGGTTTAAGGCTTAGGCTTAGGCTTTCGGCTGAATTCGTGGCTACGAAGTTGAGTAATGCGCGGCCCGGGTTAACGATCCTCCTGTAAAAGGCCACAGGCTGGCTCAAATTCGGAAAGTGATCGACTGTCTCTTCATGCCTCAAAGGAGAAGCCCAAGAACGGCCACACAAGCAGTACCGGTCAGCCCAAGCAAATTCTACACCGGATCGGAGCACGTAGAATACGGTTTGTGGGCACGTGCTCTGGAATAGCAGCAGAACGACAACGGCAGAAGTGCACTCCTGATGTTTCAAACTCCTGTGCGAAGGTTTTTGGTAGATGACAGCCCAAGTTCCTGGAAACCCCCCAATTTCTGGCGCGCTCTGACGCTTCTATCTGGCAAAATGTCGTGAAAACTGCCCGAGGAAGTAGAACAAACTGGAAAGGAGTCAGTTCTCTTTCCTCTTATATACGATTCTTTAAGCATGCCTTCGAAATCCTCAGATCTACACCGCTACCTTAAATCCCAAACCCTTCTAGCGGAGTCCCTGAGACAAGGCACATATTTGAAGAAGAGCTCCTTTGCACCAGCCAAGACTCCTTTGCAAAGCAGTGGCTGGGGTTCGGTAATAACGATAATAAGAATAATGAGAACGAAAATAACAATAATAGTAACAATATCTATTAATGGTAATAACCGTAAAATATATTAACAACAAGAACAATCATAATTGTAACAATAATGACAATAATAGCAATAACAAGAATAAGAATATCAATAGTACTGTTGTACCAATATTCATAATCATCATAATGATACGGACAATCATAGTAACAATAACAACTGCAACCATAAGAACAGCATTTTATGCACTATCGAGCCATTAGAAGCAAGCTTTCGAGAGCCTGTAGACAGTGAGATGGAGGCTCTATTCTGTGCCGCATCTTCCGCGGCAGCTTCCACAAGGTGACGAGTTCGCAGTGGGAAGCCGTGTGCATCACAGCAACACAAGATGCGGCTTAGACGCACCCGGGCACAGACAGTAATCCTCTTCATAACAGGTATTTGGGCATGGGAGAGTAGTACCAATGAGCCATGTCAATGCAGGCCACACCCAATCTGGCCTGAACTAGATTCGATTGGGTGCGACAGGTTCCGCGCCTCTGCCCTCACAAACACCATAAAACATGTGCACATCATCAACGGCCAAACCCAGGTCCGACTTAGGCTCCAACTTTAGGCAAGTTCTGCCGGGCATCTGTCGGATGGCGCCGCTTCTTCGATAATGCAGCGCTCCTTCAGCATCCTTGCGAAGCGCAAGCTCGCTCGGCAGTGAATGACGATGCTGCTTCAGGTTTCAACCGAAGTTGAGGCGGGGTGTGAAACAACAGCCAGTATTGTCGGGAGTACACAAGTTTCTTACACCGACACCTCTAGGGTCCCCATCAACACATGACTCACAAAACAAACGCTGCAACGGCGCCGCCTGGTGATTGCCTGCCATCGCTGCAGATCGGCATCTGCTTTGTTGTCAAGGGCCCTGGACAGGATGTTGTCGGCCTGCAAGCCACCCACAACAGCTCGCCACTCGGCAGATTTCACAGCTCTGCACATCTTCAATGGAACCCAAGCTCTCGACCACTGAAACCCGCAGCTCTGAATGCCCAACCCTCAACACCTCTGCTCTTCAAAAGATAATATAGAATCTGAGACCTCGACAACCCGAAGTATGAAGCTTGTGAGCTCTCGAGGCTGCCAGGTGGCATCAAACTCCACTTCGTCGCTGGCGCTGCGCCCAGTCCCAGGCTGCAGAATCCTCAGCACGGCCAGATACCGCCGTGATCATGAGGAGTATTTTGGGAAAAGGCCGAAGCCGTGCCGAGCTGCAAGCAGCCATCGGCCGGCTTTATCTGCACGGAGCCGCGGAAGAAAACGGCACAGTAGGCAACCGCTGCCGCCAACTGCAGTCGAGAACTCATCTCCTTCGAATCCTGCCGAGGGTTTAGGGTTTAAGGCTGGGTTTTGAGTTTAAAGTCTGGATCTCGGAGTCTGGGATACGTGTATAGGGTTGTTGGCAAGCGTCCTCGGAACTAGCCTGCAGCGGGACCATCCGGAGTTTTGTGATCTCGCCGTGCTCGGCCGACGAGTGGGCAATGCGTCGGCTTGCCGAAAGACTCCATTGTTGTTTGGCCATCAAGCCCACCATGCACGCTGGGATAAAAATGCCGTAGCCGACGGCGCATCCCCAGCCGATTGCAGCCACCTCGTCAATGCACGCACGGTACTGCGAGCATTGCCGAGCATGCGCGGATGGAAATACAGAGTGCTGGCAAAAAACGGAGGTCTCGCATCGACTTGAGGCCGCGGCCCAGGGTGCTTCCGAGCACTTCAGGTGCGGCAGCAACGAGCGGAAGGCGTGTTCCTCCCCCAGCGGCTCTCCATCTGCGCCGGGTGCAGAACTTAAGACGTGATGCCCTAACCCCTTAACCGAAAGAAACAAACTGAACCCCCAAACCAAACCGCAAGCCGTAACCTGCAGAAACTTTGGGCTACTTGCCGACCTCCATCGAGCTCCTGACACCGCAGGAGCCCTGCACAGCTCGAGGCCCCGCCGATGAAGGCCAGGGACAACACTTGCAGCGCCATGCTTACACCTGGCGACAAGCAAGTTTCGGTTTTGGGTTTAGGGTTTACAGCTTAGGGGTGCTGCCACCAGTCTGTCTAGTGCCATACCAAAGCTTCCAGACTTCCGATCCTTCAGAGTCTAATCCCTGCCCCTCGAGTTGCGACCACTGGCGAGACGCTGGGTTGAGACGGACTTTAGCAGTAGTACTAACAGCGCTAGTACTAAAAACTGGTACTAGGGACGGTACTGGCACGGATATTGCTCATAATCTGATTCGTCAATAGCAATAATCACAAAGATAGCAATGGCAATATCGAGTTAAAGGCACCGACGGAGCAAAAGTAAGAGTAAGTGTAGTAGAACTCGTATTTGTCATCAGAGCTGAAACAACAACACGGTGGTAATGCTAGAACTGTCCAAACCCTCCCGAAGGTGCTGGGATGATTTCTGGAATAAAGATTTAATACTACCAGCACGGTGGGTCCTCACAATGGGGGAAGCCGACTGCAGCAACAGTTGCATGCCCCACCTCGACCTCGCCAAAAGGCTTCCAGGAGCACGCAGGGGGCCAAAAGCAGCAAGGGCAGCACCGGTCCCAGCAGAGCACAAGCCAGGCGGGCGTTCCTGGCGCCGCGGAGGGGATCTTCAAAAATCGAAATGGGGTTCTGATTGAATTAGCTGCCAGGAACTTTTGGATTGCGGCCTTCCGTACTCGCATTCCAAGCTCAAAGCGTCCCGGAGCCCGCCCGCCGTCAGCTGCAGCCACTGAACATACTCCTGGAAACACTGCCGTGGCATGCCAATCATTCTCACAGACTCGGCATTCCGGAAACGATTACTTTTGGGAATGGTTGGGAATCATGGCCCCACTTCGGCATCAAAGGGAAGGGCGGCCTGGTCCCAGGTCTGCGCGGTGGTCTCGCCAGTGCTCTTCTTGCTCAGAGCCACGAGCACTCCCCAGAGCTGAAGAAATTGCAGCAGCACGGGGCCTTGCGCCAACAGCAGCGGCCAGAGAGCCTCAAGCACGGCTAAGCACGGATCTGCCGGGCTAACGTCTTCGGTTGATCAAAGTTGCATTCCTTTCCCAATGGTAGCTGCCACAGACTGCTACTGTTACAGTCGTTCTTGAAATCAGAATCACAGCAGCAAAGCTGGTTCGTCATCCCTGTCTCTGCCTTTCCTGCTCCGGAGACCACTCCCCATCTTGGCCGCCGGGATGCAGCGTGGGGCGTGGGAGTCGCTGGAGTGGCTGCTGCCGGGGCCTCTGCTGGGCGTCTCCTCAGCTGGTCAGATCTCGTGGTTGGATGACTATGACCACACAGTGTCAACATGTTCTTCTGCTGATCACCAGCGCGCAGGCACGGCGCAGGCATGTCATGATAGCTGATTTGCAGAACCCAGTCTGCGCACCTCCACCAGGCGAAAAAGGCGGAGCCTCCAGCCGCCACCGTTGCCGCAGCGAGCGCGACGGGCCACCGGGCCGCTTCGTAGCCTTCCTCGCAGAGCATTCCGCATACTTTTATCAAACGGACTGCTTTGCAAATCTCGCTCTGCGATCGGATACCAACCCTGTCCTCGCACTTCTTGCAGCGCCGGCCCTGGCTGCGGTACTTCTCAGCGCATGTGGCGCAAAGGGGCCCCTCGTAACCTCAACGAAGGCAAGGGACACTGAATGTGAGAACTTCTTAGTTTACATTGGCCTGGTTGCAGAAGAACAGCATGGAACAGCAATGATACGCAGTGCCATCACCGTACCGTACCAGATATGAATACTTAATCAAGAAGTGCGGCGGCTACCTCAGTTGGATAACACAAGAGCATCCAACAAGCTACTTGCCTCATACCGAGGGGGACCCAACATTTGGGCTATTGGATATGTGCACTTCGGTGCACTTGTGATGTGCAAAGCTCCCTCCGACAGCACTTTGCCGAGCAGCCGGGCACGCACCCGAGCTCCGAAGCATTCGCCGACGCGTTGCAGCGCTCCTCTGCGGGATCCAAGCACCTGCAACAGAGAGGCTGAGATATGCCAGGCATCTTCCACCCTAAGTCTATTCGCCTCAGATTCATCCCTGCATTCGTCTCCGTAGAAGACCTGTACTGTACTGACACAGCTGTGCAAGCACGAGACTCTACGAGAACTTCGGTGGTGCTCTCAGGGACAACTCTTGGGAGGCTCTCAAGAGAAACTCTATCACGGGCAGAAGCGCTCTAATTCGACGGAAGGTTAACTGCACAATGCTCTGCAAGCCACTTCTTGGCTGTGGGCGCTCCGGGGTAGAGGCGCGCGTGCCCGAGAGTTGGCGGTGCTTTGGTCGCGAGGCTTCCGGGGTCCTCACAGTCCTGCCAAGTACAGCCCGACCGACATGGGAGGGAGCCCTGTGAGGGACTGCCATCTTCCTCTTACATGCCCCAGAACCGGACCACACCCGACTCTGCGCCCGCTAGGACGTGGGCTCGTAGGAGTTCTGCCACGAAGAGGGGTTAGAGTCAGAGTGTGTAGCAATGTACACGTAGAATCCAGGGTGGGCAGATGATGCGCCAGCTGATTTCTCTTCTTGAAGTCCGACAAAATGAAGCTGAAGCAACCCTCCCGTGAATCCCAGTGAGATTCCCCGGTCCAGCTTCAGGCCGTTGCAGTCCACGCATTGGCTGTGGAGGGGGTCACTGGGATAGTGGAGGGCCTCGTGGGCATCGCACTGGCAGGAGTCGCCGTGGATCCTGCGCAGCTAGGCAGAAAGAACAAAACACCCCTCCGAACACTCTGTGTGGACCACTCGTGCCAAGGTAAAATCGTAAAGTAGACCCCTGATCAAGACATCCCTCTCCCTTCGTAGCGATTAGAACAGGGATCCGAACATACTTTCAAGAAAGCGATTTGTTACGAGTCGTCAGAGGCATAATCATAGGCCAGGCTTCTCGACAATCAACTGCTGGGGCGGGTGAGGTCAGGTCTAGCTGGTTCGTGGCTCAAGGCATCTGCCAGACCCTCAAATTCTTCGACTTGCCGGCTCTAAACCCTCCCACCACGGGTCCTTCCAACTTCGCACTGGCAGCTTCGCAAGGACTCCGAGCCCTCTACACCTCCTGTACTGCTGCCTGGGGGACACTTCCGGCAGTCGCTCCGGTTAAATGTGGGGTTGTACTGGTCCTCGCTGCAGCGGTGACAGTCGGTGCTTGTTCCGTGCCAGCCCGCTTGGCAGGCGCACAGGACATCCGGCAAGAAGCGGAAGGGTGTAACTTGTAGGACTGCACTCGGCATTCCGTAGCATGCAAACCCTCTTGCAGCATCTGTCGTAGTGAGGCGCTCCGTGGTGTTCAGCCATCCTTTGGCAATCAGCTCCTGAGCCTCGTTCGCATCCACAAGGGCAACGTCTGTCAGGTCCAGTCGGACACTGTCTTTGATTGCTTTGTGTAGCGTTCCGTGTGCGATGTCTACTTGTCCGTTGTCAGCAAACGACAGCATGCTGTGGGCATTCAGAGCCTCAACCCGCCGGATCCTGTTCCCGGACAGGTCCAACACCTGCAGAGCGCCTGCCAAGGGTATGGTGGTTCCCCCGTAGCTCCCGCCGTCCATCTCCACGGACAACTGCGTCAGGTCCAGAACGTCCCCTGTGAGGTTTGTGTGCGCAGCGGCAACCTTGGCCAGCGACTTGCATCCTGCCAGTGGCAGCAGAAGGTCCATGACGTCGCCATTCGCGGGGCAGCCGGACACCTTCAACCGCACTGAACTGCAGTTATGTTCGATACTTCTGGGGCAGGGACAGTGGCTGGGCATGAACGGGCTGAGCCAACAACACGGCAGGACATTCCAGGAGCTGAAGTGCATTAACACAGCAATAACAGGCAAGCAGCATCCAGCTCGACTAAGGCAGGCAGCAGCGCCCTGTCACTGAGCGGATCGGTGACGAAGCGGCGGAGCTCCGACAGGTCGTCGCCACGGGGCAGCAACGGCCTTGCTTGCCTAAGCAGAAGCAGACCGCCTGCTCAAGCGCCCAACACATCCCAACATCACAGACGTTGGAACCAAGGGCGGAGCTGCGAGGTTTAGGCGTCGCAACTTCGTCAGGTGCCCACGCCAGTGCCGCGTCAGACCTCCGGTTGCCGTCAGACTTTTGATTGACAGTGCACGCAGCGCTGCTTTCAACATCTGTTGCTGCGGGATAGATTTCCGGAATTCGTACAAAGCAAGACAGACTAGAATCAAATCTGAGATACGGGTATGCAGCCAAGTTATATGTCAAGTGTTGTGGCGGCTTTAAGCACAACACGGTCTGAACATTTGTTGAGAAATTCTGGACACGTGATGTATGGATCTAGCAGCACCATCGAGCCACATTCACCAACCACAGCTACGTTTCTGTCCCATCCGTTCGAGAAGGCTTCTGGCGTTGCACTGGGCCGACTGCGTGCTTCACACTGAAGGCGACCTCCCTTTTCCCCACCCCAGGGCGAGCTTGCTAGGCTCCGGCTGGAGGCAATAACGCAGCCTTTGTATTTTGGTGTTCAACTCTTGCCACGTTCTGAGCATTGCTGGCAAAGGGTATCTTTGCAAACCACTGAGATTGTCAAAGAACATGTAGGCTTAAATAACGAACGTTCCCTGAGCTCGCGGAAGCCTGTAGAAAGCTGATGAACGACATGTGTTTTTGGCTGTGCTCACAAAACATCATATAAATGAATTGGCATGTCAGTCAACGAGGCATACCCTTCGACATCCGTGATTTTGAAAACACACAACTTCCTCAAGTGAACTTTGTCTCCCACGTGCTTCCGCAACCTCTCTCTGGCCCCTTGACCGGAACTTCAAACTGTTTTCCAGCTAGTGCCAAAGCTTAATGTTCGATAGATTTGGGCCGTCGAGAGCATAGTGTTGTGCTGCCGGGCGTTGCTTGCATGTTCGTCAGCATCCGACGCCACATTTGCACGCTCCGAAACGGCACCCGTGACTAAACCTCCGACAAAGGACGATTCGCAATTGTCTTATTGGATTTCGAGTTAATTTCAATTTCCGAGAACTATCAGGGGCGGTAGGGCCCTTTCCTGTCAGACAAGGGAGCAAAGATTCGCATGACTCTTCGAGAAAACCCTGTTTCCTCTGTGGGGAAGATTGCGCAGGACAATTCAGGACATGCACTGCTCTCTGAGCAGCAAAAACAAACAGGACGCAACCTTCAGAAGTGCCCATAATCCGTGAGTCTCGGCAAGTTTGGCCTCCGGTCACGGCAGTGGATGCGAGGTCGGCCCCTTCCAGATCTGCGAACTCCGTCAGGACGTCCAGGGAGCCTGAGACCCGGGTGCCCTGGAGGCGCAGCTCACGGAGCTCCCGCATCGCCTCGAAGGCAGGGACTGGGATAAAAAAAAGCTGAAAGCTCGCCGAGTCAACCAGGGCCCCGGGCCTGCAGCGACCCAAGCTCCCCGCCGACACGGGTGTTGTGGAGCCACAGATGGGTCATGAGGGTCATCTTTGCCAGCGGCTCCAGCGTCCCCTCGATCTTGGTGTCCCCGAGAGAGAGCGCCTGCATCTGTTCCATGGCAGCCAGGGCCACGAGATCCCCGCCGACGTGGGTGTCGTGGAGGCACAGCCCGGTCATGCGGGTCATGTTTCTGAGGGCCTCCAGCGTGCCGTCCACTTGGGTGTCTGCGAGACCGAGAATCTGCATCTGTTCCATCCGGCTCAGGAATCCTAGATCCCCTCGGATCTGGGTAGCGGTCAACTCGAGCAGCTTCAGGTGCACCAGCGTGGCAAGGACGGACAGGTCGCCTCTGAGCTTCCGGTTCATGAACAAATCCAGCTCCTCCAAATCTGCGAGGCAGCTCTCCTGTCAGCACCCAAAAACAAACAGCCAAACCGCACAACCCGGACGCATTGACAGCATGGAGGTTTTCTCTGGTCAGGCAGCAGGAGCAACGGTCCTGTCAAGTTCCGATTGCCGAGATCGAGACTCCGCACGGTGCACTCGTCAGAGTGGCACTCCACGCCATCCCAGCCACAATGCCTCCCCGGAAAATCAGACCTCGGCCAGGAAGGGCCTAATAAGCCCTGGCCCGAAGCCTCGAAGTCTTCAATCCTGCAAGTCTAGACCGAGACACCCTCACCCTTGAAACCCGTATCATCTGAGACTTCGACGACAGAAGGGCGCCAAGAAGGGAGCAAAACTTCTTTCCATGTCAAAGCTTCACGTCAGCAAAAGCCAGACCTTATACTATAGGAGCCTGAACAGTTAGAATAGGGATTTATCATAAGGAACCCCCAACATGGTATAGGCAACTATTTAAGCCCCCTAGAGTACATCATGAACAACCTGGCCCAGCGGCACGTCAATGCCCAGCTTCTGAAAAGTCGTGCGGAGCACGGCGGCGTCGGGACCTCAAAGAGACGAGCTTATGAGGATGAAAAAAGCAGGCGGCAAAGGAATGCAAGGTTTTGGGTTTAGGGTTTAGGGCTCATCAGGCTTACTACAAGGGTTTAGGGTTTTGGGGGTTTAGGGATGTACAGAATGCTAATGCTGAATGCTGGCATGGCTATATGCAATACCCTGGTGATGTGAGCCAATGTCCTGCCATGCTGCCCTTCATACGATTCTGAACAGTAGCTGTAGCCTCATCATTCCATCAGGACTACTGATTACTACCGTACGGCCGTACGGCACAGCATGCCCACGCCAATCGCACACTCCTCAAAGTCTCAGAGACGGGGGGCAAGCGGTGACATCCGACACCTGCCAGCATGCGCGGTTTGCAACTTCGGAGCTTCGGACTTCGAAGCTTGCAGGGCTGAACTTTGATGGTCTGGGGCTGATGATGGCTTTGAGGATAGGCTTTACAGGATTGGGTATCGAAGCTTGGTCAGACTCCTCCTGCTTAGTTTCGCGCAGATTCTGTTCCCTCACCTGCCTGCCTTGGCAGCTGACAGCAAGCCGATGAACCGGAAAGAAGCCTTCTGCTGAAACGCACAAACCCCAGAGGTAAAGCTCTGCAAGAGATCGCCGTGCCTCTGCGTCGAGATGGAGACCTGCCTCCGACGGTTCATGTCGAACCTCAGGGGTTTAGGCTTTAGCGTTTAGGGGACGTCCCCGCATGTATACTATACTGATGCACTTGTCGCACAAGTCAAGACCTAATTGGTGGAGTGACAATGTGATCGAGGACGTGCCATAATAGAAGGGCCATACTATGCCTTGATATCTTGACTACTTGACTAGGGTTTGGGCATGTATTATACCAAAGTTCATTCGGATCCATGCAGTACATGTTGACAGGCCGACCAAGGAGTGCTTGAAGGGAACCCTAGTTCAAGTAGACTATTAACCCTAAACCCTAAAACCTAAAGCCTTACAGGAAACATTGAAGAAACCCAACACCTGTAAAGGAACCCTCGAAAGGAACCAGAGTCAGTCTGTTAGACGAATTAACAAGCCTAAACCCAGGAGCCCTTTGAAGGAACCCTTCAAAAGGAGGAGCCCTTGCTAGGGAACCCTGACTGCACGTATCCCCAGGCCTCGTCCAGCTCCAGCTCGAGACCCGCCTTCTGCGGCTCATGTCGGACCTCAGCTCCCGGGCTCCGGCGGCCATCGGACTCCGAAGCTTCCAGGAGTTCCGGGTTGAGAACTTGAATGGGATTCTTTGAGAATTCTTTGGGTTTCGGGTTTAGGGGCTTGCTGTTGTGGTTGAGGGGTTTGGGGAACATCATTTAGGGCTTCAAGTGAAGGGTTTTGTGCATCTCTCCTGAAGCAATGACGTCCTTCGAGAAGCGCCCCTGTGATTTGCCAGGTTGTTTTGGTGTACTGGCACTTGCTCGACGTCTGGCTGCACACAACAGCACACTGGCACTTGCTCGACGTCTGGCTGCACACAACAGCACACTGGCACTTGCTCGACGTCTGGCTGCACACAACATCACTGCTAGACATGCGAAGACGTGAACGCTCATGCGACGAAAGTGATCTCAGGTTCCAATGACCTAAGAAACTTCAACATGCTGCCAGTAGCAGGTCCTAGAGCTGCGCAAAGAGTTGCAAGAAGGATCTGCGGCTTTATCACAGCGTCTCCGTCCAGTGCCTCTCAAGGTCAGCACTTCCCACGATGCGATGCACCGAGTTCTGAGGTCCCCGTAAACCGCACCTGAACCAAGAGCCAAGATCTCTCCAATCCTTCGCTTCCCTGGCCGCTGAGCTCCCAGCAGCGACGCCCAACAGCCAGAGCCAGCAGAGCACCAGGAAAGCCGCCATGGGCGCGAATAGCCACAAGGAGCACTCGAAGTGCTCGCGAAGTATGAAAAGTGACCCCGCAACTCAGGCTAGACACTTCAGAATTGGAGGATATGCTAGATCCCAGTGCAGGCCCTGCAGGCCCAAGAAAAGGGGCGTATGGTCTCTGGTGCTTTCCCCCAGCTTCAAGTTGAGGTTCAGGCGCAGGGTCTGCGAGAAGTTTGCAGACGGACTCGGCTAGGCCGAAACACTGCAGCATCATGCATCATCCTTGTCATTATAGGCATGAACTTCGAGCATCCCAGCCAGCAGCGGCCTTCAATCGGACCCTTGCCGCCCAACCCTTCATCCCTACGTGTCCTGCACTGCAAAGCCCGTCACCCTGTGATCCATTCATGGCAGACTTTTGGGCGTGAAAACCCGATGAATGAGTGGGGACTGGGCCGGGAGATGACGACTTCCTAAGGCAGCTACTGGTAGGGAGGGGGTAAGGAGAGATGCTACCCCCCTTTTGCTTGAAGTTGACATGCTTTACGAAATCAAGAACCCGATGTCGAAAAGCTTTTTCTTCTCAGGCTGCGCAAAGTCCCGTCGAGCGCGTAACAAAAGCTCCATGAATTCAAGAGGTGAAACGGCACGAGACTGCGGAGCTCCCAGGCGACAAGTGGACAGAGGAAATCTGCCACTCGGCGAGCAGACTCGCAAAGTCTCTGCTGCAGGCAAAAGAGACCTGACAAGGAGCTTGCGTATTATATCTCATATGTTATTACTCATAAACATATCTTATACATTATACATTAGGTATTATGACCTTCACGAGCAAGCGACACGGACGAATGATATTGAGTAGTATTCAGGCCTCTTCATCAGGCTAGGGCGTTAGACACCGTTTCTTTTGTCTCGGTGCCTCGCACAGCCAGGAAGGTGAACCGTTCCAGCGAGTTATACAGTTTCAAGCGAAGGAGTGAGAACAGGTTTTTCAAGGCAGTCACGCATGCAGGGACGAGTTTCCATCAGAAGTAGTGACACAGGACATACGCAAGAGCTACCTGCTACCTACCACACTCCTTGAGCTTGAAGACGACCCTCCGCTGGACTCTTGCTCAGATAAAGCTCAACGTCTCCACGTTGAGCTGCACAGCACCTCCTTGCTGCAAGTCCTGCCACTGCGCGCTGGCAGCCTGCCAGGTTTAGGGTGTGGGGTTCAAGGGTTTAGGGATTCTGAAGAGCTTGTAGGGTTTAGGGTTTTTGGGTGGGGTTTACGGCGTCAACCTTTAGGGTTTGTTTGCCAATTCTGCGAGGGTTTTTGGGCTCCGGCGCTGGATCCCTCGACGCCGATGGTGGGGGTGGAAGTTTGAGGATTTGGTTAGCCTTGGCCAAAACTGAGCATGGGCTGCAACGACCGAGAGTGCGATGTGAGGCCGAAGCGTGCTGAAGGATCTTGGGCCGGGGAGGCTTGCCCGAATTTTGCCCTAGCATGCAATACCTATCAACTGCCCCTTTATACAAACAAAAACCTTACATAAACGTCGAGACGCCCAATCTTTACAAGTTCTGCTAATATCGCAGCATATAACCCCAGACCCCTAAACCTTTCGAGGTTCAACATTTACCGGCGAACATAGCTTGGCCGACGCTCCCTGCACCCGTGAACCCCAAACCCGGAGCCTAGAATCTCTCCTCTGACGTCTAAACCCTAAACCCTAAACAGACTGGCGGCCTCTTTATCTGTTCCTAATACTGCCTCCTTATATACAGCCCCTGAAAACAGAAACCCCAAGCAGAGAGATCACCGACCTATACAACCTAAACCCCTTTCCCTAATCCTCAAAAGTAGTCTAAAGCCTATACCCGAAAGTAGAGGGCAGAAAGTTGGAACATCACTGTCCTCATGCCCCCATGGTAGAGAAGAGGGAATTCCGGTACTAATCATCCTAAATCCATGTTCCAACTAACAAACTGGCGGTCCAACAAAACTAACAACGACGTCGAGAAGCCCAGCTCTTGCGAGTTTTTGTAGATCGCAGCTTAGAGCCCGAAAAACCCTCAAAACAAACCTTACACGCCCTGAGATTTAGGGGTTTAGGGTTTAGGGTCTTTAAGGCCCCGAAGATCCCTAAACCCTAAACCTTTAGGGTTTTTAAGTATTTTGAGGCCCCCGAAGATCCGACCAAAAAAAAAGGCAGCGGCCACTCCCAGGCACCTCGAGGAGGCGCAGGGACAAGGACTCGCGGCAATCTGAACGGCGCTTCTTTGGGGGTTGTTTACGGCTTTGCGGCCGGGGGGGGGGGGGGTAAGCTTTGGGTTTGGGGTTTTAGGGTTTAGGTGGCTTCGGGTTTTAGGGTTTAGGCGGCTGAGGGTTTAGGGTTTAGGTTTGAGGGTTTCGGCGGCTTATTTTCGAGGGTTTTGGATCGAGGGTTTGGGCCCGAGATGGTTCTCCTATCAGTGCACGCTTCTGGGGCCAGCCCAGATTGTTTCCGTTACCTGGCAACTCCACAAGCCTGGGTCCTTGCCGGACTTGGTGGCCCTGTTCCTCAAGTTTTCGAATTCGCAAACGCCGTAACGATCGCAGTCTCAGTGCCCAAAGCTTTCAAACTTCCGGAAGCCTCCTCCAGCAAAGAACCCTGAAAACCAAGTCTACAGACCCGGGTCTCACGTCTGAAGTTCCCTCAAAATCTTCATGGCCCTCACTCCCCTGAGGCGCGTGGAACTCCCTCCCAAAACCCCAACACAATGTTGCTCATATTGTTCATTAAGTTGTCAGATATTATGTTATAGTATGCTATAGTATGAAATATTGCATTACTTTATACAGACGATGTCAGATTATCAGGCGCAGCCCCCCCCAAGATCCTCAAAGCCCCCCCGGCGATGGCCTGGCCGCAGGGTCTGAGTGGCGGCCGTGACCACCGGCGCCACCAGCGCCGCGCGGGTGAGCCAAAGGAGGTCGAAGGCGAAACCTGCGGCGGCCACCGAAAGACCTCGGCAAGGAGAGTCAGTCGGGCTTTACATGGTTTAAGGGTTGAGGGCTCGGGGTTTAAGGGTTTAGAATTCAGAGTTTAAGGGTTTAGGGTTCAAGCTGTGGGAGTTCTTTGAAGCCAATTCATGTAGCTATGGCAAGCTTGAGCTTTACAAGGCAGCACTTAGATGGCCTGTACTCTTGGAGCCTGAATCATTAGAACCAGGGTCTTGGGCCTGGGGTATATATGGGCGGTTGTCAAAACTATGGTCCCTTTTTGGGTCCCTAATATAGTACGGCACCTATTATTTAGGGTACCCAACAAGGGATCCTAATTTTGACAACCACCCATATGAAGGCCTCATCTGTTCTCGGGGGCCTTTAGGATGCCTCCTGGCAAGATTGGAGAAAAAGAACCGCAGGCTAGAGGATGCAAAGTCCCGCCGGAAGGACCCCATGAAACCCCCAACATTCGGCAGCCTGAAGGGGCGAATTGCAAAACGTGAACCCTGAGTCCTAAACCCTAAACCCCTAAACCCCAAACCCTAATCCCTAAATCGAAAACTCCGAGGTGTCAAGCTCTTGGAGGATCCTTCCACTGCCAAGCTGCATAGGAAGCAGAAGCACTGCAAGTCGTTGACCTGCGCGGCAGGCCAAAAACACACGTTTTCGCGGTGTCAAAATAGTACAGAATAGGGGGTTGGGAGGAAGTACAGCAATAATGTCATAACCCTGGGACCGACCCCTGATTCCGAGATCCGACTCGGCCTGAGAGCTGCAGAAGCCGCTAGGAGTCCGAGCAACGGAGCCCCCCTGTAGAGCTCATGCTACTTGAAGGCTCATGGGACTTAGTAAGTGAGGTTGTAATTAGGATAACCCCACTTAGGGGACTTATAACCCCAATTATAACCTACTTACTAAGTCACCCACCACCCCCGGTTTTCTGACGAAGAGGCTTGCTTCAGAGTTTGGACAGTCAAAACAAGAGTGAAAAAATGACATAAGCGTGATCAAACGAGTTCAAAAGCTCGGAAGATCGCGGAAGCCCTGCCTGGCGCTGCCTGTAGGGCTTGAGGGTGCCGAGAACGATGCTGGTCCCCAAGGTGAAGCTCAGGGTGAACATGAGCTGGAAAGAGTTCACCACCTCAGAGATTTTCGGGTGGATATGTGTCGTCAAGGCGCTCTGACAGCTTGAAGTTTAGGCCGAGGGAGTTTCAATCAACCTGCTGACGAATCTCAGGACTCACCGAAGGATATCATCCCCTGAAGCAAACGTCAGACTCTACACCCAATCTCAGAGCCAAAGCTGTGGCGGGCCGCTGCGACGATGCCCACCACCACCAGCTTCAGCGCAACCTCGACCCAAATGCTCTGGCAATTGGCCTTGGAGCGTGCGGTTTAGGGTTGAGGGCTGAAGGTGGTTCTGGGGGTAGTTATCAGATGCACTCAGCCCCAAGCGGTTACGGGGTGGTGGTCACAGGTATGCACCTTCCTTTAAACGGCCACAGCCTGACTCAAACCGGGAAGGTTGATTGTCGTGGATAACCCAGGGAGCACATTGCTGAAAAGGCCTCTGTCTATGCTTCTCTCGTCGGAAGACCTGCTTGTGCAGCAAGCTAGGCAGGCAGGCACTGACTTCAGCCCAAGAGCGGCCACAAAAGCAGCTCCGGCCAGCTCAAACAGCAAGGTCTTTCTAGGAGCAGGACGACAATCACAGAAGTGCATTCCTCATAATTACTTTAGACTCCTGTATGAAAGCTTTCGGGAAGGACAGCCCAAGGTCCGGGAAACCTCTACTTTCTTAGACAAGGCGCGTATTTGAAGAAGAGCTCCTTTGCACCAGCCAAGACTCCTCGGCGAACAGTCGCTCTGAGGTCGCGGGTGGGATGCACAATGCAGCCCTTTACAGTTCAGGCGCTGGCAAATGTCCAGACGAACTTTCCGTGACCGCCCTATGGCCGCATCACCCTAAGGGCCCAAACTACCTGAAAAAAATCTCAGTGCAGCAGGTACCTGGGTTTAGAAGAGTAGTAATGTTGCATAGAATGAACAAAACCCCAGTTCCACTCTGAAGTGGCCCTTGCTTATGCCTAGCATAGTTGCCGCACAAGGCTGGAAGCGGCTGCTTTCAACAGCCATTTCAAAGAATATCTGTGCACAGCTACGAAACCGCATATGCCCCCAAGCCTAGCTCCAACTTAGGCTTCAACTCTGGGTAAGTTCTGCCAGGCATCTGTCGGACGGCGCCGCTTTTTCGATGATGCAGCGCTCCTTCAGCATCCTTGCAAAACGCAAGCATGCTCTCCACAGCAACGCAGCAGCCCATGACGATTGTGCTTCAGGTTTCACTCTGCGGAAGATGAGGAAATGTATGAGCATCAGCTGGTACTGCATGCCGTGCAGAGGTTTTTATTGCATGCCGTGCAGAGGCTTCCAGGATCTAAACCGCCAAGTCTGGAAAGCACGTGTCTAGAGTCCAAAGGGGCTTTGATTCCGACTCACACCTATGGGGTTTTGGATGGTACAGCCAAGCGCGTAACTGCAATCTGCATCAACTCATAAGGGGATCACATGCCTCAGAGAGAAGTTGCAACATGCAGGCGTATCCCCGACCCCAGCGCCTGGTGATTGCCTGCCACCGCTGCAAGTCGGCATCTGCTTTGTTGTCAAGGGCCGTGGATAGGATGTTGTCGGCCTGCCAGCTACCCACAACAGCTCGCCCCCGGCACAAGGTGGACCTTGCTTTTTGGCTGGGGTTCACAACTCTGCCTATCCTCAATGGAATCCCAACCGTCGGACCGTCAACCACTGAAACCCGCAGCTCCCAATGCCAAACCCTTGACACATCTGCTCCTCAAGAGATTCAAGAGATATTATGTAGACTCCGGGACCTCCACAGACCCAAAAAGCATCATCGACTCCGAAGTTTGAGGCTTCTAAATTCTGTCAGGTGGCATCGAACTCCACTTCGTCGCTGCCGCAGCGCCCATCCCCAGGCAGCAAAACCCTCGGCACAGCCAAAATCCACCGTGAGGATGAGGAGTCTTACAGAAAAATACAGGAAAGGCCGATTCTTGAACCCTAAACCCTGAACCGAATCCTCTGTGCCGAGCGGCAGGCAGCCATCGGAGGCCTTCATCCGCACGGAGCCGCGGAAGAAGACGGCACAGTAGGCAACTGCCGACGCCAACTGCAATCGAGAACTCATCTCCTTCGAATCCTGCCGACAAAGACTTGGGCTTTGCAACTTACGGTTCAGGGTTTAGGGGGTTGAGGGTTCAGGGTCAAGCTAGAGAAGGCTCTACGATAAGGTTGGCAAGTGTCCTCGGACTTAGCCTGCAGTGGGACCATCCGGAGTTTTGTGGTCTCCCCATGCTCGGATGATAAGTGGGCAATGCGTCGGCTTGCTGCAAGACTCCATTGCTGTTTGACCATCAAGCCGACCATGCACGCTGGGATAAAAATGCCGTAGCCAACGGTGCATCCCCAGCCAATTGCAGCGACCTCGGTGGCAGTGCACGCATGGAAAATCGATGTTTAAGAGAAGTGTTGGGGCGTCGTATCGACTTGAGGCCGCGGCCCAGGGTGCTTCCGAGCACTTCAGGTGCGGCAGCAACGAGCGGAAGGCGTGCTCCTCCCCCAGTGGCTCTCCACCTGCGCTGGGGGCAGAACTTCATTCCTGGTGCTCTGAACCCTAAGCCCTTAACCCTAAAATACCTAAACATCCTAAACACCCTAAACACCCTAAACGCCCTAAACCCTGTAGACTGAAAGCTACGGAAACGTTGGTCTACTTGCCGACCTCCATCGAGCTCCTGACACCGCAGGAGCCCTGCACAGCTCGAGGCTCCGCCGATGAAGGCCAGGGACAACACTTGCAGCGCAATGCTTATACCTGGCGACAGACAACACGACCTTGCTTATCCTTGCATTGTACCGCCACCCGTCTTTCATCGTCTTTCTACCAAAGCTTCACGACTTTCAACCCTTCGAATGATGCTAATGTAGCAGCCGCTCGCGAGACTTCTCTGCAGACGGAAAAACATAAAGGCTGGGAGTCTCTGTGGGTTTAGCTAGACTTAATATTAAGAAATCATCATCGTCGTACGCACACTGCTACGTATTAGCTGCTGCTGGTTTTCCCATATGATACTTTGCCGTATTACTGAAAGCAGCTGGCAGCCGATAGTAGTACTGAATTCGAGCCATCGAAGGAACCAAAGCGGGAGTAAGCATAATGGCACATCGTGATCGAATAACCTCGCAATGGGGAAAGACACTACAGCAACAGTTGCATTGCCCGCCTCGACCTCGCAAAAAGGCTTCCAGGATGGCACAGGCGGCCAAAAGCAGCAAGGGCAGCACCGGTCCCAGTAGAGCACAAGCCAGGCGAGCGTTCCTGGCGGCGCAAAGGGATCTTCAAAAACTGAGATGGGATTTGGGTGGCTGCCCATGCGGCCTTCCGTACTCGCATTCCAAGCTCAGAGCGTCCCGGAGCCCACCCGCTGTCAGCTGCAGCCACTGAACATACTCCTGGCAACGCCGCCGCGGCATGCGAATCATTTTCACAGACTTGACATCCCTGAACCGAGTCTGGCTGGCTACCGTCACTGCATAGCGGCCTGGTCCCAGGTCTGCGCGGTGGTCTCACCAGTGCTCTTCTTGCTCAGGGTCACGAGCACGCCCCAGAGCTGGAGAAATTGCAGCAGCACGGGGCCTTGCGCCAACAGCAGCGGCAAGAGAGCCTCAAGCACGGAGCTGCCAGAATAACGTCTTCGCTTGCTCAAAGTTGCATTCCCTTCCCAATGGTAGCTGCCACAGACTGCTACTGTTACACAGTCGCTCTTGAAATCAGCATCACAAGTACTTAAGCTGGTTCGTTATCCCTCTCTCTAGCTCTGGACACCACTCCCCATCTTGGCTGCCGGGATGCAGCGTGGGGCGTGGGAGTTGCTGGAGTGGCTGCTGCCGGGGCCTCTGCTGCATGGCTCCTCAGCTGGTCAGGGCTCGTGCAGCGCCCGAAGATGCTCGGTGATTGCACGTTTTTGCACGAAAATTACCACAAAGATCGGTTTCAACATGTTCTTCTGCTGATCACCAGCGCGCAGGCATGTCGTGATACCTTGCTGCATAACTCAGTCTGCGCACCTCCACCAGGCAAAAAAGGCGAAGCCTCCAGCCGCCACCGTTGCCACAGCGAGCGCGATGGGCCACCGGGCCGCTTCGTAGCCTTCCTCGCAGAGCATTCGGCGTACTTTTGTCAAACGGCCGGCTTCTTTTTTTAATTTCGCTCTGCGACCGGATGCCAACCCTGTCCTCGCACTTCTTGCAGCGCCGACCCTGGCTGCGGTACTTCTCAGCGCAGGTGGCGCAAAGGGGCCCCTCGTAACCTCAACGAAGGCAAGGGACACTGAATGTGAGAACTTCTTAGCTTACATTGGCTTGGTTGCAGAAGAACAGCATGGAACAGCAATGATACACAGTGCCATCACCGTACCGTACCACAAACGATTACATAATCAAGAAGTGCGGCAGCTACGTCAGCTGGATAACACAAGAGCATCCAACAAGCTACATGCCGCATGCGGAGGGGGACCCAACATTTGGGCCTGGTGATTGGTTATGTGCACTATGTGCCACTTGTGATGGTGCAAAGCTCCCTCCGACAGCACTTTGCCGAGCAGCCGGGCACGCACCCGAGCTCCGAAGCATTCGTTGACGCGTTGCAGCGCTCCTCTGCGGGATCCAAGCACCTGCAACAGAGAGGCTGAGATATGCGAGGCATCTTCCAACCGTCTATTCGCCTCAGATTCATCCCTGCATTCGTCCCCGTAGAAGACCTGTACTGGCACAGCTGTGCAAGCACGAGACTCTACGAGAACTTGGGTACTGCTCTCAGGACAACTCTTGGGAGGCTCTCAAGAGGAACTCTATCACGGGCAGAAGCGCTCTAATTCGACGGAAGGTTAACTGCACAATGCTCTGCAAGCCACTTCTTGGCCGTGGGTGCTCCGGGGTAGAGGCGCGCGTGCCCGAGAGTTGGCGGTGCTTTGGTCGCGAGGCTTCCGGGGTCCTCACAGTCCTGCCAAGTACAGCCCGACATGGGAGCAAAGGGACTGCCATCTTCCTCTTACATGCCCCAGAACCTGACCACACCCGACTCTGCGCCCGCTAGGACCCATGTGGGCTCGTAGGAGCTCTGCCACGAAGAGGGGTTAGAGTCGGAGTGCGTAGCAATGTACACGTAGAACCCAGGGGTGGGCAGATGATGCGCCAGCTGATTTCTCTTCTTTGAAGTCCGCTGAAGCAACCCTCCCGTGAATCCCAGTGAGATTCCCCGGTCCAGCTTCAGGTCGTTGCAGTCCACGCACTGGCCGCGGAGGGCGTCACTGGGATAGTGGAGGGCCTCGTGGGCATCGCACTGGCACGAGTCGCCGTGGATCCTGCGCAGCTAAGCGGAAAGACCAAAATACCCCTCCGGGCACTCTGTGTGGACCACTCGTGCCAAGGTAAAGTAGACCCCCTATCAAGAAATCCCTCTCCCTTCGCAACGATTAGAACAGGGATCCGAACATACTTTAAAGAAAGCCATTTGTTACGAGTCATCAGAGGCATAATCATAGGCCAGGATTCTCGAGAATCAACTGCTCGGACAGGTGAAGTCAGGTCTAGTTGGTTCGTGGTCAAAGGCATCTGCCAGACCCTCAAATTCTTCGACTTTTGACGGCTCTAAACTCTCCCACCATGGGTCCTTCCAACTGCGCACTGGCAGCTTTGCAAGGACTCCGAGCCCTCTGCACCTTGGGTGCTGCTGCCTGAAGGACACTTCTGGCAGTCGCTCTGGTTGAATGTGGGGTTGTACTGGTCCTCGCTGCAGCGGTGACAGTCGGTGCTTCTTCCATGCCAGCCCGCTTGGCAGCCACAAAGGATATCCGGCAAGAAGCGGAATGGCGTTACTTGTAGGACTGCACTCGGCATTCCGTAGCACGCAAACCCTCTTCCGGCATCTGTTATGGTGCGGCGCTCGGTGACGTTCAGCCATCCTTTGGCAATCAGATCCCTGGCCTCGCTGGTATCCACAAGCGCCACGTTGGTCAGGTCCAGTCGGACGCCGTCTTCCAGGGCTTTGCACAGCATGCCATGTGCGATGTCAACTTGTCGGTCATTGTCAGCCAGCGATAGGAGAGTCTTGGCATTGAGGGCCTCAACACGCCGGATCCTGTTTCCTGACAACTCCATGGCCTGCAGAACGCCTGCCAAGGGAACGTCAACCTGCGAGTAGCTCACGTCATTCATCTCGACTGACAACTTCGTCAGGTCCAGAACGTCCCCCGTGAGGTTCGCGTGCGAAGCGGCAACTTTGGCCAGCGACTTGCAGGCTGCCAGCGGCACCAGAAGGTCCATAACGTCGCCATTCATGGGGCAGCCCGACACCTTCAACCGCACTGAACTGCAGGCATAATCGATACTTTTCGGGCAGGGACATTAGTTGGGCATGCACGGGCTGACCCAACAACAGGGCAGGACATTGCGGAAGCCGAAGTGCATTAGCACAGCAGTGACAGGCAAGCAGCATCCAGCTCGACCAAGGCGGGCAGCAGCGTCCTGCGCGGATCGGCGGTGAAGAGGCGGCGGAGCTCCGACAGGTCGTCGCCACGGGGCAGGAAGTCGACCTTGCTTTCCTGGGCAGAAACAGACCGCCTGCTCAAGCGCCCAACACATCACAACATGACACCTGACCGTCGTGAAACCAAGGGCGGAGCTGCAAGGTTTAGGCGTCGCAACTTCGGCAGGTTCCCACGCCAGTGCCGCGTCAGACCTCCGGTTGCCGTCAGACTTTTGATTGACAGTGCACGCAGTGCTGCTTTCAACATCGCTTGCTGCGGGATAGATTTCCGGAATTCGTCGTACAAAGCAAGACAGACTAGAGTCAAAATCTGAGATGCGGCATATGAAGTTCAGGCCGCCCATTATCCTACCGAAACCTTGCCGGATGTAAAAGATGTAAACAGAGCCTCAGCTAAGATTTTTGTCAAGCGCTGTTCGCTTCGAGTGTCAACGGCACGGATATGCAGCCAAGTTATACGTCAAGTGTTCAACAATGCTTAACCACAAGACATTCTGAACATTGTTGAGAAATACTGCACACTGGATGTATGGATCTAGCAGCACCATCCAGACACATTCACCAACCACAGCAATAACGCAGCCTAAGTATGTTGGTGTTCAACTCTTGCTACGTGCTGAGCATTGCTGGCAAAGGGTATCTTTGCAAACCACCGAGATTGTCAAAAAACATGTAGGCTTGAATTACGAACGTTCCCTGAGCTCACGGAAGCCCGTGAAAAGCTGATGAACGACATGTGTTTTTTGGCTGCATTATGTAAATGTTGGCACGTCTGTCAACGAGGCATGCCCTTCAACATCCCTGATTTCGAAAACACACAACTTCCTCACGGGAACTTGGTCTCCCACACGCTTGCGCAACCTCCCTCTGGCAGGAAGAGACCCTTGACCGGAACTTCAAACTAGCGTTTTCCAGCTGATGCCAAAGCCTAATATTCGATGGATTTGGGGCATCGAGAGCATAGCTTCGTGCTGCCGGACGTTACTTGAATGTTCGTCAGCATCCGACTCAACATTTGCACCCTCAAAAACGGGCCCGTGACCTAAAACTCCGACAAAGGACGATTGGCGATTGCCTTGTTGGATTTTACTTCAATTTCAATTTACGAGAACTATCAGGGGCGGTGGGATCCCTTCGGGAACAAAGATTCCCATGACTCTTCGAGAAAACCTTTTTCCTCTTTGAGGAAGATTGCGCAGAACAACTGAGGACAAAGACGTGCACTGAGGAGCAATTCAATCAAGCACAGGGCGCAACCTTCACCGTGAGTCTTGGGAAGTTTGGGCTCCCGCCTCCGGTCACGGCAGTGGATGCGAGGTCGGCCCCTTCCAGATCTGCGAACTCCGTCAGGATGTCCAGGGAGCCTGAGACTCGGGTGCCCTGGAGGCGCAGCTCACGGAGCTTCCGCATCGCCTCGAAGGCAGGGACTGGGATAAAAAAAAGCTGAAAGCTTGCCGAGCCAGGGCCCCGGGCCTGCAGCGACCCAAGCTCCCCGCCGATGCGGGTCTCGTGGAGCCGCAGATGGGTCATGCGGGTCATCGCCTCGAAAGGCAGGGATTACCATCAAAAAGCTGGCAGCTTGCCGAGCTATGGCCCGGGCCTTCAGCGACCCAAGCTCCCCGCCGATGCGGGTCTCGTGGAGCCACAGATGGGTCATGCGGGTCATCTTTGCCAGTGGCTCCAGGGTCCCCTCGACGTTCGTGTTTTTGAGAGAGAGCATCTGCATCCGTTCCATGGCAGCCAGGGGCACGAGATCCCCGCGGACGCGGGTGTTGGGGAGCCGCAGCCCTGCCAAGCCTTTCATCCTTCTGAGGGCCTCCAGCGTGCCGTCCACGTGCGTGTCTCCGAGACCGAGAATCTGCATCTGTTCCATCCGGCTCAGGAATCCTAGATCCCCTCGGATCTGGGTAGAGGACAGACTGAGCAGCTTCAGGTGCACCAGCGTGGCAAGGACGGACAGGTCGCCTCTGAGCTTCCGGTTCATGAACAAATCCAGCCCCTCCAAATCTGCGAGGCCGCCGATTTCGGCCGGCAGCTCTCCTGTCAGCACCCAAAAACAAACAGCCAAACCGCACAACCCGGACGCATTGACAGCATGGAGGTTTTCTCTGGTCAGGCAGCAGGAGCAACGGTCCTGTCAAGTTCCGATTGCCGAGATCGAGACTCCGCACGGTGCACTCGTCAGAGTGGCACCGCACGCCATCCCATCCACAATGGCTCCCCGGAAAATCACGCCTCGGCCAGGAAGGGCCTAATAAGCCCTGGCCCGAAGCCTCGAAGTCTTCAATCCTGCAAGTCTAGACCGAGACACCCTCACCCTTGAAACCCGTATCATCTGAGACTTCGACGACAGAAGGGCGCCAAGAAGGGAGCAAAACTTCTTTCCATGTCAAAGCTTCACGTCAGCAAAAGCCAGACCTTATACTATAGGAGCCTGAACAGTTAGAATAGGGATTTATCATAAGGAACCCCCAACATGGTATAGGCAACTATTTAAGCCCCCTAGAGTACATCATGAACAACCTGGCCCAGCGGCACGTCAATGCCCAGCTTCTGAAAAGTCGTGCGGAGCACGGCGGCGTCGGGACCTCAAAGAGACGAGCTTATGAGGATGAAAAAAGCAGGCGGCAAAGGAATGCAAGGTTTTGGGTTTAGGGTTTAGGGCTCATCAGGCTTACTACAAGGGTTTAGGGTTTTGGGGGTTTAGGGATGTATAGAATGCTAATGCTGAATGCTGGCATGGCTATATGCAATACCCTGGTGATGTGAGCCAATGTCCTGCCATGCTGCCCTTCATACGATTCTGAACAGTAGCTGTAGCCTCATCATTCCATCAGGACTACTGATTACTACTGTACGGCCGTACGGCACAGCATGCCCACGCCAATCGCACACTCCTCAAACTCTCAGAGACGGGGGGCAAGCGGTGACATCCGACACCTGCCAGCATGCAGGGTTTGCGACTTCGGAGCTTCGGACTTCGAAGCTTGCAGGGCTGAACATTGATGGTCTGGGGCTGATGATGGCTTTGAGGATAGGCTTTACAGGATTGGGTATCGAAGCTTGGTCAGACTCCTCCTGCTTAGTTTCGCGCAGATTCTGTTCCCTCACCTGCCTGCCTTGGCAACTGACAGCAAGCCGATGGACCGGAAAGAAGCCTTCTGCTGAAACGCAAAAACCCCGGAGGTAAAGCTCTGCAAGAGATCGCCGTGCCTCTGCGTCGAGATGGAGACCTGCCTCCGACGGTTCATGTCGAACCTCAGGGGTTTAGGCTTTAGCATTTAGGGGACGTCCCCGCATGTATACTATACTGATGCACTTGTCGCACAAGTCAAGACCTAATTGGTGGAGTGACAATGTGATCGAGGACGTGCCATAATAGAAGGGCCATACTATGCCTTGATATCTTGACTACTTGACTAGGGTTTGGGCCTGTGTTATACCAAAGTTCTATAGTGATTATACACGGACTCTAAGCGTATACTATTACTAATAGTTCGGGTCCATGCAGCACATGTTGACAGACCGCCCGCCACCATGAAAAGAGAGCCCAATTGTCAACTGCGAATGGGAAGTAGACAAGCTTGGCGTTGCTTTCGCCCCCAAGCACTTGGGCCTCATTTCAACTCTCGCGTTGTGGATGCAGTACGAGTCGTACTGGTCGTAGTACTTGTAAGTGATTTGCTCGACATTAAAGCAGCACAAAAACCGTGGGTTGGTTGAGCCTTAGGTCTGGATATGTATGATCCAATCACAACATCCTAACAGGGCTCCACATCACAAGGATGAATGCTGCAAACTTAACCCAACCACTACTCCCGCAGCAACAGGGACATGTCCAAAGTTGAATGTGAGTATGGAAAGCATCCGTTGGGACAATAAGGTATTGAATGGGACAGTTGAACGCGCCAAGGTTCATACAATAGGTTCTGGAAACAAGCATTAAAATTAAAAGTCATGCACTCAGAAGCAGGCGACGAGCACTCTATGGTCCATGACATAGCGAACTGGTTGCATACGATGAACCACACACAGGTCTTTCACCCCGAGAAACCCTCAGGAAGTACATTGACAGACATGGTGCTTCCGATCTTCGGACCCCAAAATCCTAGATCCCGGTAAAGCCGAAGATCTTCGAAAACCACCCAACCCCCCCAAACCCCCCAAACCCCTACACCCCAATACACTCCAAACCAATACCTAACTCGAACCCTAAACCCCAAATCTTACATACCTCATACCGTCAGAGGACGCCTCGAAGCCTCGAAGAGAAATACCCCGCTTTCGAACCCCGAACCCTTCAACCCTAAACCCTGACTTAAAGGAGTGCTTCAAGGGAACCCCAGTCCAAGTAGACTACTAACCCTAAGCCCCTAAACCCCTAAACCCTGAAGCCTTACAGGAGCCCATTGAAGAAACCCACACCTTTAAAGGAGCCCTTGAAAGGAACCATTTGTCAAACTGTTAGACGAATTAACAACCCTAAACCCCAGGAGCCCTTTGAAGGAACCCTTTAAAGGAATCCCTGCTAGGGAGCCCTGACTGCACGTAACGCCTTGCCTCGTCCAGATCGAGGCTCGCCTCCTCCAGCTCATGTCGGACCTCAGCTTGGGCCCGGCGGCCGTCGAAGCTTCCAGGAGACGTTTGGGGCTTCGAACTTGAATGGGATTTCTTTTTTGGGGGCTTAGGGTTCTAGGGGTTTGCTCTTGCTGCGGCTGTGCAAAGATCTGCGGCTTCATCACACAACTCGAAAGACCCCCCGGCGCATGCACCGTCCTCTCCCTCTCAGGCTGAGCAGTGCCCACAATGCGATGCGCCGAAACCGGACCCCCAAACCCCCATTATACTATAGTGATGAGAAGGAACCCTCACAATACTGTTGGTAATTATTCCTCCTCTTGGAACCGGACCTGAACCAAGAGCCAAACCTCTCCAATCCTTCGCTCTCCCGGCCACTTAGCTCCTGGCAGCAACGCCAAAGAGCCAGAGCTGGCAGAGCACCAGGAAAGCCGCCATGGGCGCAAATGGCCACAAGGAGCACCCGAAGTGTCCGCGAAGTATGAAAAGTGACCCCACAACTCAAGTTAGAACCTTCAAAAACCCAGATCATCGGGTTTGGAAGGCTTTGAGGATGTGCTGAATCCTGGTTGAGGCCCTGCAGGCCCAAGAAAAAGGGGCGTGTGGTCTCTGGTGGATTCCCCCAGTTTCGAGTTCAGGTTCAGGCGTAGGGTCGGCAAGAAGTTTGCAGACGGACTCGGCTAGGCCGAAACCTGCGGACACTGCAGCATCATCAATGTCATTACTCGCATGAACTTTGAGCATCCCAGTCAGCAGCTGCCTTCAAAGCGGAGACTGGCGGCCCCACCCTTTATCCTTGTACCTGTCAAACTCGCAACCCTGCGATCCGTTCATCATGTTCTTTGGAGCATGAAAGCCAAGCAGATGACTGGAAACGGGGCCGGGAGATGCCGCTTCGTGGCTTCACAAGGCGGCCAGGGAGTCGAGGAGTTTTGGCTGAGGAGTTTGGGTTGAGGGGTAGTCCCGGGTATAGGATGGATGCCACGCCCCCCGAAAATTCCAAGCTGGCCATTTTTTTTATCCCACGGCAGATCGCAAAGCCTGAGCGAGGGAAGGAGTCGGAATGGGACGTTTAAGGCAGTCCTGCATGGCTGGAAGGTGCTGGAAAGGTTTTATGGGAAACACACATCAGTGCATATACCAACGCAAACGACTACAGACAGCACTCCTTCAGTTTAACTACGACCCTCTGCTCCCCGTCGAGTCGGCGCTTGATCCCTCAGAGCAGGGTGAGGTGGGCCGGAAAACCTGCAACAAATTGAACAAGGCGACCAAAACCGAGTGGACAGCAGCATGCACCACCACCAAACCTCCCAAGAACCAAAAAAAACACAGAAAAAAACAACCTGTACAAGCTCTGCATATCATAGTGCAGAGGCCCACGGCATGACAGTGAATCAACAAAGCAGATATGGCACGACCGAGGCAAGCTCTTGTGGGAGCGCCCGTTAACGCCAAACACATATGCTCGGGATTTAAAAAACTTGGAACCGGGCTTTGGGTTTTGTGTCTGCCCCGGCTCCTAAACCAGCTTTCCAATCTTGCTTTCGCTCCACAATACGGTTTTGTCCGTGAAATGTTCCCCGGTCCGTCCGGCATCGCATTCTCTTGGCTCCAATCGTTATTCTTTGACAAGGTTGGGCACAACACTCCCTATGTGGCAATCTGGCGGTCTGTGAACAGTCCGTCTTCAGTCTTCCCACAAAAAACAACCTTTGCAAAATCAGAAAACAGAATAGGCGGGATAGAAACATCCTTAGAAACAAGAGCAAGTACAACGCATGCATATGGACCAGTTATCCTTTTCGATCCTTCGAGCAAAACATTTTCGTCCCACGTTAATCCACGTTATGAGTTTCCGTCATCCATACCAGGGTAGGTCAAACGCATCTAGACGCCCTACAAAGACCACGGACTCAATGCTTTTGCCTGACTGAGCAAGTGCAGCGCCAGCGTTGTCAGCGAGACCACAAGATGATTGCGACCTGCTACCACAACAACAATAGCATCTTCCTACTTCCCAAACCACATCGAGCAAATCAAGAATACTTCCGAAGCAATGAAGCAACGTGCCAAAACTTCGCTAGCGCATGCAAAGTGTCGAAGAGCTTGGTGGCTCGGTGCAAAGCGAAAAGAACAAACTCAAAGATGCAAAACTTGAACAAACTTCAGCCAATATGCTTGGGATTCAAAGCCAGTGCGTTTCGCGCATCGTGTTTTCTCGTCCTTTGCGTGGGAGAGAAATGTACCAATGCAGACTGACGTCTGAGCCGTACGTGCTGGACAGTCAAGTGATTGAACTGATTGGAAATGATGGCAAGATCATCAAATCGTCAAAGAGTTGTTCGAGAGGTGTCCAAAATGCGACAACTTGCAAAACAAGCAGAATTTTTTTGGCGTCAAAAAGGAGCATTGGAGCTGCTGCAGCGCGGACTTCTTCAACATGCTGTTCTGCACACAAAAAGAAGCCGTGCTCAGCCAAACTTCCAGGTCTTTCCACTTTGGTCGTATAGACAGAAACACAACTGAGATTTTCAAAGACGGGCAAGAAAGGAGCTATGACCAGCAGACTTTGCCGGCAGACGTCGTTCAGCAAAAAAATCCGGCAGTGACGCGCTCTTTGCTGTTGTGGATCGGTCGCTGAGACCCTGTAGCTCGTGTACGTCGGCGCCTCCGCCGTATCAGTAAAAAGCCACAAGGACTTGCACAGAGAACGCTGGGCTCTTATGATCAGGAGCAAGATCCACAATCCGATTCGAACTCTCTCTCTGGTTGCCTGCTGCGCCGCACGTGGCGGTGGCCTCACTTGGCCAAAAGTAGGCTCTCCAGCTCTCCAGTCTCCACAGACTGCGCCGTGACAATAATGCTCTCAGGGTGCGCGCAACGAAGAGGCCGTTACTTGAGGTTCGTTAACACGCGCTCCGCGGTTTGGTACCACCTCGCCTGGAACTGCTTCATACTGTCCAATGGTCAAGCCTGGGACATTGCTGGCCATCATGGGACGGAGCCGCCGCCAGGCACCAGCTTGATGGTATGTCTGTCCATTTCCGAGTGCCTATTCGATTTGGATACCCCTGCTAAGGTGGAGCTGGTTGAAGATCTTTGTGACCTTCGGGGATGTAGGGTAAAATGGGGCTGCTCTTGTGTTCGGCCCCGAAATATCTTTTTTCAGACCCCGCGCTTGGTCCATCTTTTTTTGGCTTGACTGGGCCTCGTCGACTACGGCTGTAGCACTCGGTCCCTACAAACAAGCAAGGCAACAAACAAACAAAACTACAACAAAGCGGTGAAACAGAAAAGCGAAGCTCTACAAAGGGCTGCAGCGCACAGGCTTTACCTGTGTTGGCCGTTCAGCACAAACTACGGAGCCTCAGCGACCGGTCCGGAGCAACAAAGAGCCGTCGCTCTGAGCTGCCCAAAACAACAGGTGGAGCCAAGACCAGGCTCCGGCAGCCGTTCTAGTCTCGCCAGACAACGGACAGCCCCTGTGTTTTGTTCCGTCGCGATCGTGCACACCAAAATCCAAAAGTCCAAAGCCCACTGCATGCGTGAGCGGCTTCCAGACAGGAGCGCGATGGCCAGAGTCGCAGGAAAGCAACTCATTACTAGCCGGCGACTCTTCACACATCCAAGGACAAAACCAAACGTTCCTCGGCGTGCAAAGCGCAAGGGCGTCGCGGACGCCGGCGTCCAGCGACAACAAGTCGCCCGTCACAGCACGCAGGTGGCCGGGCGAGTGATGCAGACCGTGGGGAGCAAAATGTTGTGCGTCGAACCCAGAGCAGCGCAAGCCAGGGCTCCGCCACGAGGCAAACAGTGACCAAGGTCACCCTTTTCGAGAGTGCACACCGGACCTGGAGAGACTCAAGTGGTGGGTAATGCACAGAGTAGGAGTGGCATGGAGGGTGAAGAGAACCTAAACGACGTATGTCGTCGGTTGCAGCGGCTTCCACGGGGAAAGGCGACTTCAGCCAGATATGACCCGACTTGCCTCAAAAGGTCCGTCACAACCCGGCCACCCAATCCAATTGCTAAGTGCACTGGCAACCAAGCCTGCACCTGCGGTGTCGATGGAGCGAATTGTGGTGCGACGCAACCTCAGAGCAGCGCAAGCCAGGGCCCCCCTCCCCCCTCCCCTCCCGGAAGGCAAACCGGTGACCATGATCATCCATTTGGAGCGTGCACACCAGACCCAGACTCGACTCAAGAGGTGGTGCATAGCGTCAGAGCAGGGGTGGCATGGAGGGTGGAAAGAACCTCAACGATGTATGTCGTCGGTTGCAAGACTTCCATGAGGAAAGCGACCCCAGCCAAGAAGAAGCGACTTGCCTCGAGAGGTCCGTCACAACCAGGCCACCCAAGTCCAATTGCCTGGTGCACTGGCAACCGAGCCTGCACTATCGGGGTCCGATTCGGCATGGCGGCAAGGGCCCGCCCGCCCACTCAGTCGAGCCCGGCCTCGACGAAGGCCATGTAGCCCGTGCGGAGAGCTCAAGGGAAGTAACGACACAACGACGTATGTCGTCAGTCCCACGGTCGGCAAGTGAAAGTGGAGGTCACCGAGACAACCCAGCCGCCGCACCGCGCGGCCAGCTGTCGAGCAGGCGTTGCATGTCACGACCACTCGAAGGAAAGTGACTCTCCTTTAAGAGATAGAGCATCTGGTAGTTTTTCTCATTGTAGATTTCCTTCACCCTTGTATATGTATACTGATGATTGTCATGGTCGTCGCCATGAAGATGTGGCATCAAATCGGTGGAGATACAAGGAAATTGGAGGCCAGGTCCGAGGCCCCCCGTCCCTGCGTTCCTGGGCCCCAGCCTGAACCAGGGGCGCTCACCACCCGGCAGCTCCTGCGCCTGGTTCTCCTCTCGGGCGACCAACCGATGAAGGAGGACCATGCATCGCTTTGGCTTCAACTGCGTCGAAATGCGCAAAGCGCCACAAGCGGGTGGGAAAGTAAAACTGCTTCTTTTGCGGCCCGCGTATCCAATAGGCCACGACCGCTCGGAGATCCCAGCCCTCGGAAGTGGCCGCAGCTCGAACACGCCACAGGGCGCTATTCAGCAGGCCCGCGGCCTGAATCGAGAGAGAAGGCTGTGCCTGTAAACCCAGTGAGATGTCCGCAAGCGGGAAGAGCAGGCGAAAAGTGCCCCTATATGTGCCCGGATACGTGAACATTCGCGGATCAAACTCGCCGCGTCTCAAGTAATAGCGCAACCAGCGCAAGCATGAAGGGTAACTCATCGGCTCAAGGGGCCGGAGCAACTCGGCGTCATCGTCCAGTGCCGGAAACAGAAAGCTAGGAGCCACCCCAAAGTCGCGCACCTCCTGCGAAGCGATGGAATCAAGAACCCGGAGCCACCTAGCCACCCAGGAATGTGTGCCATGATGCAAGAAGCCTTGAGTGATTAGGCCGAAGGGTTGGCCCTGATGCG